TTCCAAATGAGCTCATCGCCGTGTCTTGGGCCTTGCTATTGAGTTCGTGCGCGGGCCAGCGATCTCAATCTCCCGTTTTTTTCTTCAACGGTGATCTTACCAAGGTGGATATACCTACCCGCACAATCAGATTGGCAAACCTAGAAAGTTCGCTGAACTCTACTTCAACTGCTCCTATAAATTATTACTCCAATTTCTCCACCGCCGTGGTCATTGAAAGTGAAGATTCAAGAACCGAGGCCCGCTCTCCAAGCTGTTCCAAAGATTTCTCGACTTGTTCTTCTTCGGCTTCGTCGGCTTCGTCGCCTTCTTCACTGTCACTACCACCTTCATCGTCAGCTTCAGCTTCAGATTCAGATTCGGCCTCGGCTTCTTCTCCTCCCACTACCCCCACTATCCCCACAGCCACTCTGTCTTGGACCCTGAACCGCAAATCTCAGATGAGCGTGCTGCATTCTACAGGAGGCATGGATGCCACCACCTTGCATCGACTCGGCAGCCAGCTGAAGCAGATCGTGCATGAGCAGGTCATCCAGTCAGACAAGCGAGTAGATTTGCCTGCTCCGGAGTCTCCTGCATTGTCGATTTTAAACCCTTCTCCAGAGCTGTTACCAGGCCCACAGCTTCTCCATGAGCTTGCCTTGAGCGGCTCCAATGACTCAAACAATGCCATCGAGTTTCTGGCCGCGGATGGAAACATTCGCAGTCTCTCGTACAGCTCACTGGACCAACTATCTTCCAAACTAGCAACGGAAATTATTCATGCTTCAGCTGCTCGAGTGAGCGATGGGCGGAAATTGGTGGTCCCCGTCCTGCTGCCACAATCCCTCGAGCTGTACATCGCCTGGCTGGGAATTCTCAAAGCTGGCGGAGCGTTCTGTCCCCTGAACACCGATGCCCCGCCTGACAGGATAGAATTTATTCTGCAGGACGTTGCTGCATCAGTGGTGGTTACGCAAAGTAGCTTGGCTGCTCGGGTTCCACAAGACGAACGCCTGGCAGTGATCAAGGTGGAGGAGATTGTGAACTCAACTGACAATCTGGAAATTTCCCGACCAATGGCGCAAGCCTCGCCCTCACCTTCTGATCTGGCCTACGTGATGTACACATCAGGATCAACCGGTCGCCCGAAAGGTGTGGGCATTTCTCATCTGGCTGCTACCCAATCTTTGCTTGCGCATGATATCTTGATACCCCATTTTAATCGCTTCCTTCAATTTGCTTCGCCTACTTTCGACGTTTCCGTTTTCGAGGTCTTCTTCCCTTTCTTCCGCGGGGCTACGTTGATCGGCTCCGACAGGGAGCAAATGCTGCTTGATATTTCTCACGTCATGACTGAAATGAGGGTCGACGCGGCGGAGTTAACTCCCACGGTAGCGGGGGAGTTGCTACGCACCCGAGCAGCGGCTCCTTGCCTGCGAGTTCTTCTCACTATCGGTGAAATGCTCACGAAGCATGTCGTGGAAGAATTTGGCCAGTCTGGAACTGAGAACTCGGATGGCATTCTCCATGGTATGTATGGTCCGACCGAGGCTGCAATTCATTGCACCGCAGCCACGCATTTCCAAGCCGACTCTGCAGTTAATTTGATCGGGAAACCGTTCAGCACTGTGTCTGCGTTCATTATGTCCCTAGAGTCGGAGGACAAGCAGCAGAGTGCTGAGCTTCAGCCTCTCCCAATTGGCCAGATTGGCGAGCTTGTGGTGGGTGGTCCCCAACTAGCAGATGGGTATATCAATCGCCCAGAGGAAAATGCCAAAGCATTCATCGACAGTCCAGTCTACGGCCGACTCTACCGCACGGGTGACAAAGGGCGCATGTCCTCCACAGGCGAAATTGAGTGCTTTGGACGAATCTCTAGTGGTCAAGTCAAACTTCGAGGCCAGAGGATAGAGCTCGGAGAGATCGAAAATGTCATTTGCAAATCGCCCAATGTGCGAAGCGCCGTTGCTATTGTTAGTGGTGGTAGTCTGGCAGCCTTCGTCTTGGCGAATGATCAAGGCACCACGGACCGTGAACTGCGAGATACTTGCCGTCAGTGGTTGCCCCGGTTCATGGTACCTGGCGAATTCATTTTGATTGACCAATTCCCCCAATTGCCGTCGGGAAAGATTGATCGCAAGGGACTCGAAGCTGACTTCGTCCGTCGTCGCAATGCTGCCCAATCTGTCGATCAACTCACTTTCCGCGATGAGGTTGAGGAGACGATCGCGTCTTGTGTATTCGACGTGCTTGGCAAAAGCATACCAGTCGATGATTCTCTGGTCTCTGCTGGTCTTGATTCACTTGCTGCTATCAGACTAGCTTCTCACCTCCTGGATACGGGGATGCGTTTGGACGTTGCGCGCTTGCTGGAGGCAGACAGTGTGGATGGAATATGGCACCTTGCGAAAGCGCAGGCCACCAGTGAATCGACGGAAGATACTCAAACAGCCGTTAACCGCATCCGTCAACTCGTCAGAGACGCCGGCGCAGCAATGATAGAAGCACTCGGACTGAGTAAACAGGCTGCCGAGATCGAGCCATGTAGCCATATCCAACAGGCGATGATATTGGAAACTGCGCGAGACAATAAGGCTTACTGCAATTGGATCGAATTGCAATTTCAACCCACAGTCACCTCTGATAACATCCATGATGCGTTTGTCAAGACCTTTCAGCAGAATGCGTTGTTGCGTTCGGGATTTGTTGAAATCGGCCTGAAGGAGAATTCTTACGCTCGCTTTACCTGGAATACTCATGACGCCCAAACAATACAGAAGTGTGATGTTTTCAACTATGAAGTCTCCTTGATCTCAGAGAATGATCTTCTCCATCCTCTACGCCTTCAATTGAAGGAGTCAATTGATGGTGTGCGGGTGCTCGTGCATATTCACCATTCGCTGTACGATGGCTGGTCCTGGCAGTTGATACTGAAAGATCTCCAACACATCTTGAATGGCGAGGAACTTCCCCCAAAGCCAGCATACAATATCATCACCGACTTCTTTATCGATTACAAACTCAGCGAATCTGCCAACGAATCCTCAAACTTCTGGCGTGACCAACTGCAAGCCACCCCCTCTCTCGCCTTCCCCAGCTTCCACGGCGTAAGCGATGTATCGCCGAAGACACAGGAAGCCAACCGGGTGCTGGATATTTCCATCTCAAAGCTCAATGAGGTTTCCCAGAGACTGCACGTCAGCCGACAGACTATCTTCCAGGCTGCTTACTGCTACATGCTCTCAACCTATCTCGGGTCCAAGGACGTCACCTTCGGAACCGTCTTCTCAGGCCGCACTTTACCAGTGAAAGGCATCGAAACGGTTCTCGGGCCCTGTATCCGCACACTACCGACACGAATGGATCTAGACAAGATGCAAAATGTCACAGACCTCATGTTGGCAATTCAGAACATGAACCGCAAATCCCTTGAGCACGGGAGTCTCCCTCTGCAGGATATCAAGAAGGCGTCTGGAATTGACCCACGACGGAATCTCTTCGACACTGCCCTCGTGTGGCAGGAAAGTATTTGGTCTGATGATCAGAATGCGAATGCCCTCTTCCGCGAAGTTGGCAATGGAGAATTCCTCGAATTTGCATTCTTGTTAGACCTTGAGCCGAGAGAAGATAAGATCCATGCAAAGATGTCCTACCAGCAGTCTATATTGCCATATGAGCAGGCGCAGCTTCTCCTCGAACAGATTGATTTGATCGCTTCTATTCTCATTGAGAATCCACAACTGCCAATTGAGGAAGTTGCCTCCCACCTTCCTTCGTCAATATTGTCAATCTCGAACCCGGAGCTCGAGACACAGACACAGACACGGACACAGGCTGGTCTTCCAAGCTTGGTCTCGGATATCGAGAGAATAGCCTTTACAGATCCGTATCGAACAGCGGCGGAGATTCTGCTGCAGGGTGCTTCTGTTTCCGAGTCCACGATTATTGAGAGAATTTCCTACGCCCAATTACACTCTCGATCAAATCGTCTCGCCCATTACTTCACTAAAGCTGGAGTTCGAAGGGGTGACCTGACGGCACTTTCCCTTGATGGGTCTATTGATACCCTGATTTCTATACTTGCTCTCGCCAAGATTGGAGCTGGTCTTCTATCTTTAACGCACGATGCTGATGCTTCGCCTCAACTCACTAATTCAATTCTTGCCACTGCGAATCCGCGATTCTGCATTATCAATCGATCTGTGATCGATTGGACACTACCGGAATCAACCTCGCAAATTCCTATTCCAGATTCCTTAAGCGAGCTTGACGACTACCCCGCCTCTTTCACGAACGATGACGGATTCCATATTATTTGTGCCGAGAATCCCTCAACGAATAATGACCACATGAACCTGAACCTGAACCTTCTCTCCTTTTCCTCTAATAATATTCAAAGCCACCTCAAGGCTCTTGCGGATTATTATCCTGTTCCCATTTCCACTGGATCGAAGTTACTGCATACATTCCCTCTTGCATCTGCCAGTGAGTAACTAACTACGAATGACTAGCACCTCGCTATATTGACCCACCCATCCATTTCTCCTACGGAATACAATGCTAATTTCTTGTCACTATCGAATAGGCTTTTATATCGACTTACTTTTTGCATGGAACTCCGGAATCGCTTTTTGTTCAGCATTAGACGGGCGGGACTTGAACTTGAAGACCTTAAATTTGCCGCATATCATTAACGCGATGAACATAACGCATTTGCATTCTACTCCTTCTTTGTTGTCGAGTATGGGTCCCGAGCAGGTTCCCAATCTCCAATGTATTCTTGCATCTGGGGAGCCCTTGAGGGCGAAGATTCATTTAGCCTGGGCTGGGAGGGGGATTTTTTCAGGTATGCAATGTGTGGATCTGGAATAAAAAAAGAACTACAAATCGATAACTAATCACTTTTGGGACTAGGTTACGATTCGCAGGGGATTGCGGGAGTTGCGACTGTTTGCACAAATGTTGATCTGGCGGTATCTCTGACTAACATTGGTATACCGCTGAGAAACACGTCTGCGATGATTATCGCGGATACGGCGACAGCGACAGCGCCAGTCAATCTACTCCCTCGTGGTGCGCTAGGAGAGCTTTGCTTTGGCGGAGACCAAATTGTCAGCATTATGGAATATCTATACTATATGGAAAAAAAAACACTAATCTTTATCTTTAGGGACGCATCTTTCACTCAGACAGACTTGGTGAAGAGAAATTCATTGATCACCCCCAGTTTGGTCGACTTTGTCGGACTGGTGATCGTGGCAGGATACTTTCAGACGGGACCATATCTCTGGCTTCCGGCCTCAAAGTACACGGGAAAGAAATTGATGTCGACGAGATTGATCGTGCTCTCCTCTCTTCGGGCATGGTTGAAGATTCTGTTAGTATTGTACTGGATAACCCCACCACTAACCAGCAGCAATTGGCAACCGTCTGGACTCCATCGGAAAAGGCTCGAAAATCAACAGATTCCGAAAATTTGGAAGACATTGCCAAAGATCTTCTTACCGAACTCACGACAAAGCTTTCATCGACTGCATCGACTTCGACTGTCCCGTCTCTACTTGTTCCAATGAGCGGGATTTTCATGACAAAGTCTCACACAGTAGACTATGCAAGGATAAAACAAGAAGTTGAGCAGATTGATCCACAGAGACTTGCACTGTTCTCTCTCCAACTCGATGCGGAAAACTCCGATGCTCCTCTGAGTGAGGTTGAGCAGATCATTGCTGGAGCACTGTCTACAATAACTGGAGTGGATTTGAAAAGCATTGGCAGATACAGTTCATTCTATAAGCTTGGACTGGATTCGCTTTCTGCAATTTCCTTCTCACGAAAGCTGCAGGAGTCTGGACTCGAAAGACTCCCCGTATCGACGATTCTTCAACGCAGCTCCGTTGCTCAACTAGCAACTGTTGCAAGTATCATGACGAATGGACATGTGACCGCGCCAATTCCAGTTGAGGATAAGCCCAGCTCAGTGTTCGATGAAAATTTTCTTCGCGAAGTCAATGATGAATTTATCAGCGAAGATGTATCTGTCAAAAGCGTCTACCCCTGCACACCTCTGCAGGAAGCAATGCTGGCAGCCAAATCAGACGATGACTCGGCATATTTCAACCACTTACTTTTACGCGTGAACACCGAAATTGAAGGCTTGAAATCTGCATGGAACCACATGTTGCAAAGGCACGATATTCTCCGAACTTGCTTCAGACCGACCAACGATAAGCGTTTCGCGTATGCACAGATAGTGCTGGAGACTGCCTCTTTACCATGGTTCTATCTCGAAGTCTCATCTCAGGGACTTGATCATGATGTCGAAAAGAGAAAGTCCGAATTCGAAAGTCGCTCTCCTGTCAAGGACATGCTTCCGTATTCGTTGACTGTATACGTGAACCCCGCTGACAACACCGCACACCTGCTTCTGTCTATTCACCATGCCCTTTATGATGGAGAAGGAATCGCGCAACTTCTTCACGAGCTCCAGTCTTCGCTTGCGGGTCAATCATTGCCAGACACGACACCATTCCACAAGTTCATTGATTACATGCTCTCGACGAACACAGAAATATCGGATCAGTATTGGGATCAATACCTATCTGGCATCTCACCAAGCCTTCTATCAGCCCCAGCCCCAGCCCCAGCCAAAGAAAAGACGCCTGACCAATCTGCTTCTCGGCAGATCCAGGTAACCTTAAATGGCTCCTTCACCTCATTCAAAGACCAATGCAAAAGTCTTTCAGTGACGCCATTGAATGTTTTCCACGCTGCCTGGGCCAGACTCCTATCCTTCTACGCCGGGTCATCAGATATCTGTTTCGGCAATGTATTCAGCTGCCGAACGATTCCTCTAGAGGGAGCAGATCAAATTGTCGGCCCTTGCTTCAACACACTTCCAATGAGAGTCAAATTCACGTCCACCTCCACAAACGTGGACATGATGAAACTATGCCAGAAACACAACAGCGAAATTCTCCCCCACCAATTGACTCCCTTGCGCCACATCCAGAAGCGTACGCTGCCTCCTCTCCACGGAGGCTCTATGCTCTTTGATACACTAGTCATTCTTCAGACTAGGGGTACCGAGCTCGATCGTCAATATTGGGAACTCCTCTCCGACGAAGGAAATATGGGATTCCCATTGATCTGCGAAGTCATTCCCGATGAAATCCGCGATACTATCCAGATTTCCCTCCACTACCAGCAGTCGTATTTGGGAAGTGATGTCACGGAGAGACTTGCGCGGGACTTTGTGGCTTTGGTCGAGAATATGACTCAGTATCCTTCTTCGCAGGCCTCTGATAAGAGATCTATCGGAGACAATGTGCCGCAGATCTTTGAGAAGATGATCAAGTCCAACACTTCTCAGATAAAGTCCCAGCAGCCAAATATCATCACTCGCCCTTGGTCTACTCAGGAGGAGGCGCTGAGGGAAATCCTTTGTCAATATTCTGCAGTCGATCCGGGTGGTGTTTCTTTGCATACGACAATCTTTCAACTTGGGTTGGATAGCATCAATGCCGTGCAGATTTCGGGCAAATTCCATAAAATGGGATACAAAATATCTGCGGGTGATATTCTCGAGGTATGTATCATGGAATTTTCAAAACATTACATTTATCCGCTTTTCAAGACTAATCTATATCTTTATTCAACTAAAGGCTGCGTCGATTGAAAACATTGCGTCTCTGCTCGATAATAGCGCAAAGAACAACCTGAAGAAGGAAGACGAATTTGACTTCGCTACCTTCGAGAGCAAGCATCTCCGCACCGCTTGCGAACAACATCAAATTCCCTCGCAAATCGTGCAATCCGTCCGACCCTGTACACCTGTTCAAAATGGAATGCTCGCAAGTTTCACCCATTCTAGTGGCAGTATGTACTTCAACATAATGGCTTTGAAGTCCCCGGTGGCTTTGGATCGAGTCCTACTCAAGGAAGCATGGTCATCCGTGATGTCTCAGCACGAGATGCTCAGGACTGGCTTTGTTCAATTACATGATCAGCAGTATCCATTTGCTATGATCACCTATGAGCCAGGAGTTGAGCTTCCTTGGTATGAAACATCCGGAGGCACCATCGATGCTCAAGGAAAGCGGGTTCTTGAAAACCTCCATCAACCTACCTGGGCCGTGTCAGTTGAATCAAGCGAAACCATCACGACGGTTCATTTCTCAGCTCTCCATGCAATCTACGACGCCCAGTCATTGACATCGATATTCTCCGACGTCATGGCATCCTATGAAGGCAAAATTCTTTCAAGCCGTCCCTCAATCACCGCAACCCTTGGACCAATTCTTCTCGAAAGCCATAAACAAAATATCGAACAATCGCGTGAATTCTGGCAAAGCACCGCCCCCGAAGCCCATGCCACTAAAATACCCGATTTAAACCCTATCCGAATCGAGAAGAAGGACTCGGAGTTACTTGAAAGTTCCATTCGCTGCTCATCCCCGCTGAAAGAGCTGGAAAATTCGTGCCGGGAGATGGGTGTGACTTTACAAGCCGCTGGACAAGTCGCGTGGGCAAAGTTACTTTCCGCTTACACCGGAGAGAAAATGTGACTTTTGGCACCGTTTTGTCTGGTCGGAACTTATCGGCAAGTGCTCAAGATGCTGTTTTCCCTTGTCTGGTTACAGTGCCTTCGCCTCATCATATTGGTGGAACCAATCGCGAGCTTTTGGAACGCACGTTGAAGAGAAATGCCAATCTGGTTAGGCATCAGTTTACGCCGTTGGCGCAGATTCAGAGGTGGATTGGTAGTGATGAGCCGCTTTTTGATACTCTGTTTGTTTATCAGAAGTTTGCTTCTGGTCCGACAGATGTGCAGAGATGGGAAGTTGTTGACGAGGAAACGAGGATTGATGTATGTTTGAAATTTACCTTTTCCCCCAAGCCTCTGCTAATCTTATTACAGTACCCCTTGTCAATTGAACTGGTTCCACGTCAAACAGATCTTGAAATTCGCATCAGCTATCGAAGTGACATTGTTCCAGAAGAGCAGGCCGAAATCCTTCTCGGTCAATACGATAAACTTCTAGAACAAACCATATTTTCTCCTGATTCCGATTCGGATGATAACCTGGTTCTGGGAAACACTTTGCTTTCTGTTACGCCTGCCAAGGAGCAATCACTGCCTACCTCAGTCTCTCTTCTGCATCAATTTGTTGAACAAAACGCTCAACGAATCCCAGACAAAACTGCTCTCGAATTTGCATTTGGTTCGAGCATTGACAATTTGCAAAAGAAGGTCTGGTCCTATCGCGAATTCAACGAGGATGGTAATCGAGTTGCACACTTCTTGCAAGAGAAGGGAGTCGTCCCAGGTGGCATGGTTGCCATTTGTTTCGATAAATGCCCTGAAGCCTCCATAGCGATTCTGGGAATTCTCAAGGCTGGATGCGCGTATGTTGCCATTGACCCTTCTGCTCCCATCTCTCGGAAACAATTTATCCTGGGAGATTCCGACTCCAAGCTCCTCCTTTGCAATATGGCCAGGGAGGCTGATCTCACAGAGCTTGAGGGGATTGACATCCAGGCACTTGACCAGCCAGGATTGTTCAAGGATTATTCTCCAGAACAGCCATCTCTCTCCCGTGAGATCCGACCTGATGATACCTCCTACTGTTTGTATACATCTGGTACCACAGGCACGCCAAAGGGCTGTGAACTCACCCATGACAATGCCGTGCAAGCGATGCTGGCATTTCAAAGGCTCTTTTCCCCGCACTGGGATGAAGATTCGCGCTGGCTGCAATTTGCATCATTCCATTTCGATGTCAGCGTTCTTGAGCAGTACTGGAGTTGGAGTGTTGGTATTTGTGTGACTTCCTGCCCTCGCGATCTCCTATTCGAGGATTTGCCTGGCATGATTCAAAAGCTACAGATCACACATATCGACTTAACTCCCAGTTTAGCTCGCCTGGTCCATCCAACCGAAGTCCCATCGCTATGCCGAGGCGTATTCATTACTGGCGGAGAAGCGCTGAAGCAAGAGATTCTTGACGCATGGGGAGAACATGGAGTCATTTACAATGGATACGGACCTACAGAGGTAACGATTGGCTGTACGATGCTTCCGCGGATGCGCGCCAATGACAAACCCTCCAACATTGGACCTCAATTTGACAACGTTGGATCCTACGTCTTCCGACCTGGTACTTCGACCCCTGTTCTACGCGGTGGTCTTGGCGAATTGTGCGTTTCTGGACCACTTGTTGGAAAGGGGTATTTGAATCGGGCAGAGCTTACGGTTGAGCGATTCCAAACGGTGCCAGAGTGGAACGATCGCATTTACCGCACTGGCGATTTGGTGCGGATTTTACATGATGGTAGTTTCCAGTTCCTTGGTCGTATCGATGATCAGGTCAAGCTTCGTGGACAAAGACTTGAGATTGGAGAAATTAATGAAGTCATCAAGCAGTCGACGTCTGCTTTGAATGAAGTTGCCACTTTGGTGGTTAAGCATCCGAATCAATCGAAGGATCAACTGGTTTCTTTCGTCACCAAGGCTGTTGCCACTGACACGAATAAGAAATCACAGAGCGTGGAGGTTCTTTCGCTTTCTTCTGGTGACGATCGTGAATTCTTGTCTGTCGTTAAAACTGCTTGTCACACGCATCTTCCGGGGTATATGGTGCCTACCCACATCATTCCGATGTCTCGCTTCCCCTTATCGGCAAATAACAAGGCCGACATGAAAGTTTTGAAGGGCATCTATCAAGAACTTTCTTTGGAAGATATTCAGAACCTGAATGCGATGACTGTTGATCGGACTAGGAAGAGTTCGTACGAAGAGAAGATTATCTCGATTTTGGCCGAGTTCATTGGGTCGAATGACTCGGAGTCAACTATCTCGTCTTGGTCAAGCATTTACGAGTTGGGTCTTGACTCTATCTCTGTTTTGTCATTCGCTAGGAGCTTGAGAGAGGGGGGCTTTCCTCAAGCACAGCCATCTTTGATTATGAAGCGTAAGTTGAAGTTCCCCGACTCGGAGTCTGGTGGATATATATTTCTAACACTCATCTCTTTCCCAGATCCCACGGTTTCCGGTTTGGCGACAGCCCTCGAGGAATCTAAATCTCCGTCCACATCATTCGATAGTCTTCACAGGCATGCAAAGCAAGCCATGGAAGCGTTTGCTCACAAAAATTCTCACTCTGTCATCGAAAGCATTGGTGTGTCGGATGGGGATGTTGAGCAAATTGCCCCTTGCACCCCGCTCCAGGAAGGCATTATATATCATTTCCTGTCGAGCCCCACACCACTCTACTGCTCTTCGTTTATTTTCGAACTCAACGCCTCTGTGGACCTGGAAAGACTGCAGGCTGCCTGGACACAAGCACAAAGTGAAGTTCAAGTACTACGAACACGGTTCTCACCATCACCCGACGGCTATGCTCAAATTGTGTTGAAGAAGGATGCACTCCCTTGGTTCCACAAGGAGGTGGAGTCGGACCAGGGCATTGAAAATGTTCGCAAAAAAGAGCTTCAGCGATGGATTGCCGGACTTGATAGTCTCATGACCCAGCTGTGGGAAGTTGGGGTGATTACTTCGCCTGGAAGTCGACTTTTGTGTCTCAACATATTCCATGCCCTCTATGATGGGAATAGTCTCAGGTTACTTCTCGAACTTGTTTCGCGGATATACCTAGAAGAAGACAAGGGTTCCGAAAAACCGCCCAACTTCCTCGATGTGCTTCACTTGGGCCCTCTTTGCAAAGACCCCTCCGAAGAAAAGTTCTGGAAAGACCATCTTGCAGACTATTCGCATAAATCCTTGCCTAGATCGAACGATACCGAAGTCGCCATTGAGTCCACTGTCCAGATCATTCAAATTGATGGAACTGAATCTCTGGATCATCTGCGAAAATCGCTTAACGTTACTGAACAGGCGATTCTCCATGCCTGCTGGCTATTGACGCTCTACGACCATTACTCATTCGTGCCATCTTTGGGTATCATTGCTTCTGGTCGAACGATTGATGTAGCGGGAGTTACCGATATCATTGGTCCCCTGTTCAACACCATCCCAAGTAATGTACAGCTGCGTGGTTTGAAATCCTGGTCAGAAGTCGCTCAGCGATGCCATGAGTATCACGCCTCGACAATTCCCTTCCAGTACACTGCCTTGCGAGATATAGTGAAATGGCTTGGACAGAATCCCGATGAGCCACTTTTCGAATCACTGTTCGTCTTCCAGAGAGACAATGCCGAGGGCGAGTCCTCAACTAGCAAGCTCTGGAACGCACAGGATGGTGAAGCCCGGCATGAGTACCCCTTGGCATTTGAAATTGCGCGCAATGGCAATCAATCACTCACCGCTACGCTTGCTGCCAAGGGGGACGTCTTGTCTTCGGAGGCAGCGAAGAAAATGCTTTTGCATTTCCAGAACGTTCTGTCCGACTTTGCTCAGCATCCAGACAAAGAGCTGCTTTACACCAATGGTATCGCAGAGGAAAGACCGCTACTGACAAACGGCCACAATCCCAATGTCCAAGAGCCGACTGCAAAATACGAAGATTCATCATTTAACTGGACTTCTCAGGCCTCCACAATCCGCGATGTTATCGCAAATTTGGCCGGAGTTGAAGTGCTGTCCATCAACCCTGAGACATCGATCTTCGAAGTTGGACTTGACAGTATCGATGCAATCAAACTATCCTCTCGACTAAGCAAACATGGAATCAGGCTACCGGTCAGTTCCATCATGCGGCACCGCAATGTCAAGGCAATGTCGGCACAGCTCTCCATGGAAGATATCCCCGAGCAGAACGGATCATACCCGAAACTGACCCATATGACCAATACCTTGACCGAGTTCCTTGAAAAGGAAAATCTTGTCCCTCACGGCACCAGTCAGATTCTACCTGCTACGCCAATACAGGAAGCCATGATAGCAGAGATGACTGCCTCAGAATTCCAACATTACTACAACCATGAGATCCTGCAGCTGGAGCCAAATGTGGACCTGACAAGACTCCGAGAAGCCTGGAGAACAGTCGTCAAGTCTCACCCTATTCTTCGAACTTCCTTCGTTGAAGTCTGGGATCCGAAAATACCCGCTTCATACGCCCAGATCGTGCATGAAGAAGATGCGTTTGATTTCAGAATCGTGGATCTGAATGGGAAACCTGTTGAGTCGATCATCGAGGCTCAGCGTATACGAGCTATGAACCAACTCTCAGATTCCCCACTGCTAAGTCTGACCGCGGCCATGGATGGAGATCATACTTATCTCGTTCTGTCGATTTCCCACGCCCTCTATGATGGGTGGTCAATCAATTTGCTCCACGAGGACGTTGCCCGCTCTTATAAGAGCGAAAACTGCACGCGACCACGTCCCGACGCTATTCTGGAGCAGATACTTGAATCATCAGGGGAGCGATCACTCAATTTCTGGAGAGCAACTTTGTCAAACTGCACGACGGTGTCTTTCCCAGCTGGAAAGAATTCAAAGAAGGATTCAAGCGTGGTTAATCGTGCAGAGAAGCCATTAGCTATCTCATTCGACAAGGCCGAGGCCTTTTGCCGACGCCATGGTATCACCATGCAAGCACTTCTTGTTAGCTGTTGGTCCCTTGTCCTGGCTACTCATGTCAAGAAGCTGGATGTTATCTTTGGCCTCGTTCTCTCTGGTCGGAATGTGGCTGATTCTGAGAATGTCATGTTTCCCACAATGAACACGGTTGCGATGCGTGTCATTTTACATGGTTCGCGGCTGGAATTGGTGAAATATGTCCAGGAAACTCTATTGGAGATGTCGGAGCATCAGCATTTCCCGCTTCGACGCGCAAGACCGGATGCACGGGCGCAGAATCTTTTCGATACGTTGTTCATTTATCAGAAGAGACCTGCCGAGGAGGAGAAGTCAGGAGAAGGAGAGGGAGAGGCTTTGTATAAGTCTACTGGGGGTGCGTCTGATGTGGAATATCCTGTTTGTGTGGAGGTTGAGGGTGTTGAAAAGGAGCTTGTTGGCCGGGTGGCCTGTCGGGGAAGTGTTTTGGGTGAAGAGGATACATTTGTGTTATTGGAGCACATATCCCATGTGCTGTCGTCGATTATTAACGAAGAGTCGAAGCAGACTGTTGAATTTACTGATGACGCCATGGATATATGTGATCATTCTGTCGTTCAGGATGTGGATATTTCCAAACCGGGTGTTCAGAATGGAGTCCCAGCCCAGACAAATGGTCACAGTCACGCAGAGTGGTTGCCCATTGAGTCTACCATCCGCAACGTTCTCTCAGTCGTGTCTGGCGTGCCCGAAGACGCGATTCACAAGACAGACAATATTTTCCAGCTCGGATTGGACAGTATCAGTGCGATTAAGGTGGCTGCGCTCCTCAAGAAACAATCCGTCAGACTCGCTGTCAGCGATATGATCAGAGAAGGCACCATTGAGAAGATGGCACACACAGCGACAGCGAATAACGGCCAGACAGAACTCAGCGACAAACAAATATCAAATGCCCTGACTGAGTCATTGGCCGGCATTGACCTTGTTTCATTATTCAAGCCTTACAACATCGATCCCCAACGAATCCAGAAAGCGATGCCTGCGACTGCTGGCCAGTCTTACTTCCTCTCAATGCACAGTTTGAATCCCGAGGTCTTCTACCCTGCATTCTACTACCTGGCTTCATCGCAGTTGAGCCAGGAGATTCTCGAAAACGCATGGACTTGTCTCACGGCGCAAATGTCCATTCTCCGCACGGCATTTATCCCGACCAGCACCAGCGCCAACCGGGGATCTCCGCCTTATATCCAGGTTATTCTTAAATCCGAATCAACGCAGAACCCCGTCATCTGGCACAAGAATTTCAACGACCTCACGCCGTCAGCGCTCATCGAACGGGAACGGGGCTTCGGTTCGGTTCCGGCCATGCTTCATGCTTGTCAAACATCAGGGGGAACAGCTCTGATGCTGCACATCCATCACGCTCTCTATGACGCCGTTAGCCTGCCATCCACTGTGGACAAACTCTCCCAGATTTACCAATCAGTCGCAGCGACAGACTCAGTCACGCCCGAAGCCGAATCCAAATCCAAATCTGACGGAGATCTCTCGCGTCTCGTGGCACTGCAGCAAATTCATTCTCCCGTTGAAGACCGTCGACGATTCTGGCAGCGGTACCTGGGCCAAATCTCAATTCGTCAGAATGCAGAACAATCATTGGCCAAGGGCAAGGGCAAGGGCAAAGGCAGTTTCGGAACGATCCAACAATTCTATCGACCTGGTCTGGTTTCAAATATGGCCAGTATCGAACTAGCCGCCAAACGCCGGGGCCTTAGTATCCAATCAATCTTTTTAGCGCTCTATACTCGCGTGCATGCGCGGGTTTTCACCGCAGGCGCAGAAGCAGGAGCGGGAGCAGGAGAAGAGAACACCCCGCTAGTGGTTGGATTGTATCTTGCTAATCGGTCTCAAGTCATGGATGGATTGTCTGAGTTGATGGCGCCGACGCTTAATATCGTACCATTGCGTCTGGACACGGATGGAAAGGATTCACTGTTTGTCGCAGCGAGGAAAATCCAGGACGATATTAATGAGATTAGTCGAGTTGAACATGTCGGTGTTTCTCTTGCTGAGATTGCTGAGTGGACTGGGGTTTGTATTGATGTTTGTGTCAACTTTTTGCGGTTGCCGGAGCTGGAGGAGGAGGGACAGCGGCCTGTGAACCTCAATCACGGGGCCAATGGGGTACAGGTGCAGTTCAAGTCGATACAGCGCGAAGACCTGGCAAACGAATACTCTAGCGCTGCCGACGCTCACGTCCAGACCAATGGGTTTCAGAAGACCAAGTCCAACGGTGACAGTGCTACCACCGGTTCAGTTCCGAACCAAACGATTCCCAGGGCGGCGGCTATCAAAGAAATCTTCATGGTAAGTGACCTACCCAATCCCGATCCCGATCTATCCAGATCTATTGATAGCCAAGCGAAACGGGCACTAATGCAATTTTTACGTATTTTACAGCCTACGATCGATGTGGAAGCAGCTGTACGTGATGGGAAGTTGGACTTTGGACTTTTCGCCCCCGGTACGCGCTTGGATGGGGTTGATGCTGAGAGGGTTATTGAGGGGGTGCGGATGGAGATGGGGTTTTTGATGGAGGAGTGAATTCTCCGATCCGACTTCCTGTCATAGGAGAACTCCTGACGAAGAAGAAGCAGAAGAATAAGAAAAAGAAGGCTCAGGGGTGCAGACTGCATACCAGGAGACCATTTGATCTGACCATCTATCTGGTAGGGGGGCAGGGAGGGGAGTAGGGATTGGATGGGATAGGATGAGCTGGTCTCGCCTCCTTCCCATACTCCTTCTTCACTAGTCCTGGGGGAGGAATACTCAGACTCACTTCTTTGTTCTCACCGATTGATACCACTCGGAATCGTTTATTGTTATTGTGGTTTTATTGTTATTATTTTGGTTACTATAGTTTCTTGTGATAATTCCTTTCTTTTCCTTTCTTTTTCCCTGTCCTGTGCATATAATTGCTTTTGTTTTTCCGGGGGTGCTTTTGGCGTTTGGATGTGTTGAGTCAATAAAGCGGATTGCATAGAACGAGAGGGGTACATTAGATAACTGTAAGTGTATGGGGGTGGGTGTGGTGTGGTGTGATTGTGACTGTTGACCCACAGACACGGATGCGGACGGGACGGGCGGATCTCCCAGGCTTGGGTTGGGCACTGGCAGGCCCCCACTAGAATATGGTTAGACACCAATATTGCCACTCTCTGCCACTCTATATAGTACTATATCTGTAAACAGTAAACAGAAACAGTAAACAGTAAATAGAAACTGTGATTGTATGGAGTAGTTTACTCTGCCAATACTGTACTAACTGAGTATGAGTAGCCCCGGCTACCAGAACGTGATGGATCAGATGAGAGCAGTCCAGTGGAAGTGTGGATATGGACATGGGGAGGCCTTCCGAAGCAAGGGCGAATCCGCGTGGTCTGTGGTGGTAGCCTGTGAGCACTGACCTTGCCCTAGCTAGTTTGGGTGCAATGTACAGACTTTGGCTGTGTGAAATGGTTTTTGTATTATTTTTTTTTATTTTTTTATTATTTTTTTTTCATTTTGCCTCTGGTAATAATTATAATAAATTAATTGTAAATATGGAGGGTATTTCGCGCAGCTGGATACTCCAGGTGGCGTTCTAGTGTTTGGGCTGCAGGGAGTTTTAACTTGGGCACAGCACAGGCACAGCACAGGCACACAGGCACCCCTCTCTGGTAGGAGCGTCAACACAAAGTTACGCAGCACGGAATAAGAGTACATAGAAGAGTACAGAGAACCTGTACTCTCTCGAGTACACAAAGACCTCTAGGTATACGGAGTACACTATAGTAGACACTCTATGTATACAGTTGTGTGTTGATGACATAATTGTTTATGTCACGTCGCGTCCCCCGCCGCTAATCCCAATCGGGCATCGAGGATCAACAACGCGACAGGCGCGTTGATTAACGCCCGCCATCGACTACACCTACACTCACACCTACACTTGGACCTCAACTCTTGGCCACATTCCACTCCTGTCATCTTCGATCTCCCCATCTCCAACGCTCTTCCACATCTTGTCGCCTTTTCGCTGGCCCGTCTCCCATCTCCCACATTCCTCTCCCGCCCCTCTTTTCGACCTCAGATCTCGCGTGGACCGACACCGACTCCGTCACCGACTACTCGAGGGAGGGGATTCGCCCCCTTGCACTTCCGTTCTTCCTTGAAACACTAGGGAAGAAGAATCCGACCCAACACTCCCCCCGTGTTGACTGGAAGCCGTATGTCCGCGTGTCCGGCCTGAAACATTCCCGCGCGTCCGATCAACAACTCCGCGCTCTCCAACCCCCCCCAGGTCTCATATCTCCCACCGCGCGCGCGCAACTGTACTTGTTCCGTCAACAACACCTACCACCATATCTCGCGGAGTCCGCTCTAGACGGGATTCCCTTCGACTTTTCATTATTTTAATCGACAACTCGCAATGAGTGGGTGAATGGCAGCTGCTCTTCTTTCTTCGCCACTCTGCGGCTGCGCCTTCCCAGCATTCCAGTCGTTCCCTTCGTTCGGTTCGACCTTTTTGACTCACGCCCTCCCCCGCCCCTCCTGAAGGAGAACGCGTTGTTTGTCCCTTTCCCCCCTATCGCCTCACTCTTCAAGAGTAGACCACCCTGGAAGGGTTGGAAAACACACCTTCGTCGAGAGCGAACCTTTTGCGTCCTCTTGTCCAAACTTTGTCAAAGCAGTATCAAAACCCTAATTTCATCCCATATTCTTGGGCGTCCCCCCGTTGGGTGATCTCCATACGTGATTGGACCCGGCTCTCATTCCCTGGGTTTGTTACGCGGCATATTGTGCATTCCCTAGCATCGCCATCATGGTTGCGACCTTCTCGCCGCACCGCGACTCAGGTGGAACCCTTCATCTTCCATCGCACTCGGGCATCCATCACGTTGATGCTAGTTCCGCCATCCGCCAGCTTCGGCGCTCTTTGTCGCGCTCGCCCTCCAAGAGCTCCAACTTCTTCCTCAACACCCGCAATCAATCACCTTCCAAATCGACCTACATCTCTTCTTCCCCTATCTCCCTCTCGCCGTTCCACTCAGAGCAACTTTGTGCTCTTCCCTTCATCTGGTCAGCCCTCACCTCTTGCCGTCCCTTACCCTCCTAGTGCCAAAATCACGCGGCCGGCCATGCGACGACGAACGTCCCCACGCAGTCCGGCCAAACGCGCTCTCGCTGTGTCAGCGGACAGCGGTAACGCCACTCCATCTCAACTGATTGCACCACCGCCAGGAGAAGAAAATGACCTGACCCTCGACGATTTGGCTGATCCTACCGACGACTCGATTTGTACGAATTTTGGTATATCAACTACCCCAGCTGCGCCGCAGAGTGAAACTCCCTTCGCGCCTCGTTCTACACTCTCGCGCATCGAAAAGCGGCGAAGTGGGACGTTTGGCTCATTTGCGACAGTCAGTCCTCTGAAGCGAAGTGACGGCATTATGAACCTCGACCAGGCCTCTCGAGGGAGTCCCTCTGCGAAGCGACGCAGCATGCACGCGCCCAACTTCACCGATTTTAGTATATTTGATAACAACTGCGAAACTGCGCCTCCAAGCCCGACAGAAGGCGAATCCCCATCTTTCCCTACTCCCATTCAACCATTCAGTCCCTTCGCCACTATCCCCAAGCGCTCCTCCTCTCTGCGACGCTCGACTTTGCAACAGAGACAGGGAGAACGACCTCTGTTTGGCAAACCCCGCGGCCCTGGGGACGGAGATATGTCTCCGGGAACTCCATTGGCAGTGCGCCCACGCATGTCCTTTGAGAGTGGTTTATTCGAGAAAGGACAGGATAGCAGCAACCTTTTCTCACCACGACCCCCAGCCAGTCCTCTCTTCTCCCCCCCACCATAACAACGCTCCTCCTGCCCTCCATGTCACCACTCAGGCCCCCCCGACCTACCGCCCACCCTCTCTCTCGAACAATCACTCAGTCCTCTTCCGGCTCCAGTTTGGATGACTCGCCAACTCATGAGCCGACACACAAATCGGGTCCGCCGCGCCCCATCTTCAATTTCTCCAAGTCGCTCCCTGCTGGTGCGACTCGCCCAGCCCCCGTGCGACGGTTGACCCGCGAAGATTCTGGAGAATTCGCGACACCAAACAACTACAAACTGGTGAAGCCTCTGCCCGCTGCATTTATGTCAACCGGGTTGATCTCCAAGAAGAATCGCAATGCAGAAGACCCCAGTGGTGCTAGTTTTAGCAAGAACATGCCTGACACACCTTGCAAACGACCCGTGAATCTGTTCACTGCGGGACCAAACCCACCACCAGAGCGCCTGTTTGATAAATCCCAATCCCGACTTAGGGAGTCCGAGACTGTACCTGAATCACCTTTTAACCCAACTCCGTTCGTCGCACGGTCGAAGCCTGGACCGTTCGCCAAAGGAATGGGCATCTTTGGCAACTCCTTCAACCGCCCCGAGGTCTCTCGCCGTGGAAGTTTCGTCAGTATTGACGGCGATGAGATGCAGGCTGAATCTCCATCCCGGCCTGACAGCCAACCACTCACTGATTCTGACTTCCCTCCTACTCCCACCAAACAAACCTTCCTTCCCTCGGTCACTTACCCTCCTTCGACTTCCCAATTCGCCTCACTCGAGCGGTTGTCAGAACCCAATTCAAGCGGTCACTCCACACCCTTGCGTGAGCGCTTCTTGCAAGCCACGCCTCAAACTCCCCGCGATCAATACTTCCCTCCGGACCCGAGCGGATTGTCTATATCTGTACCAAATGATCAGTCACATCCCCCTGACTTCGGCAGCTCCACCAACTCGAACGGTCTTCCCGCCACCCCCACCGGGCCCCGAGAGTCCTTACTTGCCAGCAAGCGCCCTAGTCTTTCGTTGAGTGGATACCAAGCTCCCGATGTGGATCCCAGCTTGACTGCACGCTTCGAGAAGGTTGAGCTTGTGGGAACTGGTGAGTTCTCAAAGGTCTTCCGAGTTGGTCAACCGCACGACGCCTCCGTCCCGTCGGTCTTTTCGCTTCCCTCTAGCGATCCAAAGTCGCCCATCGACTTGCCTCATCAGGTGTGGGCTGTGAAAAAGAGCAAGCAGCCTTATTCTGGTCTTAAAGATCGTGAACGTCGCATTCGCGAGGTCGAAGTGCTCAAGACTATGACCAACACTGACCATGTGATTCACTTTGTCGACAGTTGGGAAGACTTTGGTCACCTGTACATCCAAACAGAATATTGCGAAGAAGGTAGCTTGGATGTCTTCCTTGCTCAGGCTGGCCTGAAGGCTCGTTTGGATGACTTCCGGATTTGGAAGATTTTGCTGGAGCTCTCGTTGGGATTGAAGCACATCCATGACCGGGGCTTCATCCATCTTGACCTCAAGCCTGCTAATATCCTGGTGACCTTTGAAGGTGTCCTCAAGATCGCCGACTTTGGCATGGCTGCTCATTGGCCAGCCCAGGACGGCATCGATGGTGAAGGTGACCGTGAATACATCGGACCTGAGATCCTGATGGGCCGATTCGACAAGCCTGCTGATATCTTCTCCTTGGGTCTTATTGTGTTTGAAATTGCCGGTAATGTGGAGCTGCCAGACAACGGGGTATCATGGCAAAAGCTTCGCAACGGTGATATGAGCGATGTTCCCAGCCTGACCTGGAGCTCGGAAACGAGTATCTTCCGCGATGCATCTGGAAACCCAGTTTCCGAAGAATCATCGTTTGAGGATCTCTGCGCTTCGGATCTAGGTGTCGATGATTTTGGCGACGACTTCCTTACAAGTCGCCAACTGAACGCTCCAAAGCCCTCGCGGCTTGCCCGCAGCGGCGAACTTGTCGATCCGCCCGACTTCATGATCAATGCTCACCACGCTCAAGCGCTCGACAAGATTGTCGGGTGGATGATCTCCCCCGAGCCCCGTGACCGACCCACGGCGGATCAGATTCTCGAAACCTACGGTGTTCAATTCGTGAACCAGCGTCGGCGTGCAGGAGCTACCGTCTTCGAAGGCAATTTTGGCCCTGCCGACGAGATTCTGGCCGAAGACGCCGAAATGATCGATGTGTAATCTATCTCCCCTTTTTTGACTACTGTGCATATGGAGGGTGTTCTGTGCTTTCTTTCTTTTTTTTCCCTTTGTCATCTGTCCTCGGTGTTGAAATGACTCGGCGCTCTCTGTCCATTTCTTCATCCATCTCATGTCACGTTCCGATAACGATTTTGTCCCTCTATTGATTTCCAGGCTTCTCGGGTCGAAGCCGAGTCTCTACTTTTATCTTCTTGTCGTCGACTATACATACACGTTCGGCCGGCCACGATTCGACCGCGTTTGTTGTCTGTTGTTCGAATCTGTTTTCACCCATATCTATCTCTCGTCATGACCCTGTGGAGTTTGCTGAGGGTGTATGTGTATACCCTGGGTTTCAGCGTGGCGTTTTCGTTCGTTGCTGCGGCGTTGTCTGCTTTTACTTTTTTCCTTTGTTCCATTTGCCTAGCATTATTAGGTGCCACGGAATGTACCAACATCGCTTGTCGACTGGGATAGTCCTTCTCTCTCTCGTATTTGCAGTCCAGCAAGTCAATGTCAATGTCAAATGTGTCCTACAGTTTCTGGCCTGGCCTGACTGGTCGCATCATTTCGATGTGGGATTGAATTGAAGCTCGCCACTTTTGGCAGTCGCTTTTGATGTCTTTTTTTTCTATTTTTTTTTCCTATTTTCTTTTGTTCTCTGATTGTGATTGATGATAATGATTCCCACCATGCTGTGTTTGTCCTAGCGAGATCTGTTTGAGCCTTGTCTTCAAAGAAGAGTTGAAGAGTTGAAGAGTCTGTTCTAAGTACAGTATTTTCGGAAATCGGTGTCACCCCCTACACTATTTCATTGTTCCCGGAACCCTAAATGCCAAGATACACCAGACGTTATTACGCAAGAAATAAACGTAGCAATTTTCCGGTTTTTTATGGATACAGAAACTACGGAGCTAATTTACATACCATATGCCTCATAAGTGTATGGTAGATACGAGTATATTGCTGGAACATTCCAGATGCATGCAAACGGTTTAAACACTTCCCGCAGCGGTGGGTCTTGCGGATCTGATTACCTGTCATCCTCTCCATCCACGCAGCGTATCCGAGTAGTAATCCTAGAGCTTACTCGGAATCTATCTACTAACTCGGACTGACTGAAGACCAATGATCCTGCTGATCACTGTACTGTACTAAGCCTGTCAGGCACATTCTTCTCTTACCCCCCTATGTGGTGGCACCCTCTTATTCCAGCTAACGTACCGTCTTCCTCTTTGCCTTTCTTCAGATCCCTTTTTGATGGGCGTAGAAACCGGTACTACTCTTGATTCAATTAAGCACCATACTTTTCTTCTTATCTAGAGAAAGAGCCAAGTACTTGACTCATGCGATGTTGGCCTTTTTCGTGAATTTCGTTAGCTGCATATTCCGTCTCGTGAGCCGCCAGCCTGCGTACCCGTTGGTATTTCATGTCTAGCCGACATTTACTATTTTGCAACTGGCTGCTGATGTGACCTAAATTTCTGATGCAACTAGACCAATTGAACACTAAATGATATGTAATATAGAGCGGTTTGAGTTTTATAGTTCTCACAATCTCTCCACCTGAAACAATATTGAAGAAGAGCGTAAGGACTGGAAATGATAATCCTTGACGCCACCTATAAACCGAATCCTATAAAAGAAATCCGCCCTGACGCATGTCCCAAGGCCAGTGTACTATCTTTGATTGCAAATGATTGCGGCCGGCACTCAGGAGGAAGCCACAATTTCCTTTCGCCGTTCAAGGAAACCCACTGTCCATGAATGAGAGGTACGATTGTCAACCTTAGATTGAATCTCGAGGGATCCCTGGTCAGTGTAAAGACATAAGCCATGATGAGAAAACCTGAATTCCACCAACCCAACCGAACCTGAAAATTCCTCAAAGATAACACTGCGATGCCGAGGTAGTTCTTGGTAGACGTTGTCAGGTCGAAGTAAACGATCTGGTTGCGGCTATTAACGAGTCGAGATTGGTGTTAAATGGTGATACTCTGAGACTATTCTATAGCTGAGTCAGTCCAAATGTAGCGTACAAGTAAGTCGAGATATCAGGGCAGCTAGTCCCGGCAGGTGCGACCCGCAGCGGGGGTTATGCGGCATTACCCCCGCTCCTTCCTGGAATTTCAACTTTTAAAACTCCCAAGCCCCAGTTATATTGCATCTCTCCGAGTCTCTTCCTTCAACCCCTTCCTGCCCAATATAATGACAGAGACTTTCTCTGCCATAGATCCCTTTCGGCGACTTCCGGTCGAGCTCATCTTTCAGATTTTTGAGGATACGGCTGATTTTGTCGGTGTGGAAAGCTTGATATCGGTCTCCCGACCAGCCAGGGCAGCCTTCTATGCAGACCCCCAAGCGATAATGCAGGCTATTTTAATATCCAACCCTATTACTTTACAGCCCGAACTCAGATCGCTGGTCTCCAACATCGCTATCCTTCACAACCCATCAAGCCATTGCTCTACCCTGGACGATTATGAGAAAGTCACTGCTCTGAATGATAAGCTTTATTCTTCACAAAGATTCCAGAGCCCAGAGGTCGCTTGTCGCATTCTTCACATTGCCGCCCAGATCCAGCGGCTAGGCTGTGTTTGCCTTTCAAAGCTGCAAAAGGAATTCGCATCTGCCGTGGGGATCTCACCGCTTCTTGCACAACAAGCAAATGAGCCCTTTTCGTGGATAGAAGAATATCGTATGTATTGGGCACTGTGGCATCTTCGATGTTACTCAGACCTACGCAAATCTGTGGACAAACGATTCTCATCCTTTTACAACACTGGAAATCCCCCGGATAATGCAAGATGGAGTTGGCCGAGTGAATCAATCCAGGCCCTTGACTTGTATCCCACGTCAGATGATATCCACGAGTTCAGGAAAGAGGTGATTTGGACCGTTGCTGTTGCACTCGAGGATTTGAAAACCTGTTCACCTTCAGCACTTCCGGGAGATGTTCTACAACCAGAGTATAAATCCACTCTTTCTTGGGATCTACACCCGAATACACCCATCCCGTTCTTTTCCTCATTCAAACTTCCTCAAACCGTTGAGACTCAATATCCAATCTGGAGTCCACCGCCAGTGCCTGCTAAAAACCCAGTGACAACCCCTTGGCGTTTGCTTCCAACATATTGCACAAATCCCACAGGACAGACGGCGTTGTTTAGATCTCTCCGCTTCCAGGTCATGCGAAGAGGACCAGACAGACGTGCAATGAATGATGTCCTGCGCTATCGCCGATGCGGTGTGCTTCTTTGGGATAAGTGGCGGATGTTTTCGACTGGGTTGATTCCAAACAACTTTCGGGAAAGAGTGCCAGCTCCGGGTGGAATGTTTATCGAGGCTCGGAGCGAGGTTAGCCAGGGCATGGGGGATGTTCTACCTATGTGGTTGGAAGTAGGGCGTGCAAAGCAATAGTCTTTATAGTTATAGTTATAGTTGACTTGGCTGATCAATCGGCCAGACGTTGTATAACTCGAACGACGTTGACCGGTGACCTGTGACCAGTCTTTCTCACGGAATAAGGGGGTACCTAGCGCAGACTCGGTTTTTGTCCTCGAAGTCCTGGACCAGATCCTGCTTGAAATGGTTGAGGACCACGAGTAAAAGGAAGTTTCCGAATCAAGTTTGTTCTGTCTCTCATTGTGGGACTTGGAGAATTTCGGGTTATGGGTTGATATTTATATAGGTTGACGGCGGACTATAAATATAGCGGGCCAAGATTTAGGGAGATATAGCAAGGTGCAGGGGCAGATCGAAAGGCATGCTGTGTCAATTCAAGTTGGATATTATTAGGAATAAGTGCGGGGGGGAGAAAGATGATGAGGAAGCCGAGGATAAGATCAAGCTGCATCCACCGGGTTCATGAAGCAGGGAGAAAACGGTCTCCTGGCGATAGATCTCATTCGGCCGCCACACGATCACAGAATTCACACCCTGTGCCCATGACAGGGTCTTTGGAGATGTTGTCAACGATGACAGTGGCTCGGAGTTGTCGAATAGAGGCTTGGTGGTAGCATGCCATTCCTTCCACTTATTCTGGGTCATTGCGGAAGGCCATAAAACTAGTGCTGGTATTAGTAACGTTCCAGCGTAACTCTAGCTTTAGCCCGGAATGAAATGAACCATTAGAAAAAGCGAAGACAGCCAGGGGAGAAGACAAGACATACCATATTTCCATACTGGAGAATAACCGGATCAGTGATTTGATCCGGGTGCGTAATCCCATCAACAGTAGGAACACGACAGGATATTCCAATCAAGATTATGATGCTTGAACATTGTCAATCTCAACCCATTGCTTGGCCTGTACTCTCCATTCTTCGATAGGGATGCTCTTGGATCTCGAATTTATATAAAACGTCATGACCAATTTCACTTCGTTTCGTCGACTTTGAAGCCAAAGTCGTAAATCTGACTCAGCTTGGTGCAACTCCATTTCTTGAAGTAGGCATGGAAGGCGTCAAGAGTGTGTGCTAAACGGGAAGCAGCCGTTTCATGAAAAGGTCGCACATCTCGAGCTTGGTTTGCCTGCTCTTTTTCTTGATCTATAATAGCCATTTTCTGGGCTATGAACATAACCTCCAGGGATCTGCCCAGAAAGAGACACTGCACTAAAATTCGCCCAGGTGAGGTGCGCGTTTGTTATTTGACTTGATGTGCTTTCTTTTCTTCTTCTGTTAGTCTGGCCTTTTTGGCCTTCTCTTCGGCGTCTTCCCTCGCGAGATGCCTTGTTAAATACTTAATTGGTCAGACTCCCTTGAAAATTTGGCAAGACCTTTCAGTACATGCAACACATACAATGATCTCGGGTCTAATTTCAAACTCCCCGGCTCGGGTGAGCTGAGCTCGCTTGATCTAAAGGTCGGTCCCCCCAACCGAGCCCTTTTCCAGAAACGAACTCGTCCGTCAATGCCGGTCTCTTCAATCCCGTAGGTCTGTTGGCAATGTCCTTCTTGTAAATAACCCACTGACCTGGTGGCCGGCATAGATCCACAAATAGTCTCAGCAAAGGTGAGAGCTGTTGCGTATTCGGCAGTGCGTTATTGTTTAAACCGACAAGCTCTGACCTTCAAATAATCTGCTAAGCAGGTGGACCTTTTCATTTCCTTGATGATCCATGCTCTCAAGCAAGCCAGGTCGAAAGCTCAGGCTCCTCAAGTCACGAACATGGTGCCTTTGAAACCCAATACCTCGGAGCTTCGCCTCAACACTCTATGATGAGAGGGCCCCATCATGTGGAAACCGTTTTCTCGCTCTTTTCTTTATTCCGTCTGTTCTTCATTTTCCTCCTTTATATAACTCTCTTTTTTCCCAGATGCTGTTTTTTCCCTCCTGGTGACTCCTTGGCACGTCTTTTCTGACGCGAATCTGCCTGTTTTAACAACCTCGAACGTGCCACATTGATGATGTCGATTTTTCTCAGCTTATCTTAGCCGCACGGGTTTTGTATTCACAGGGCGATATTGATCGTCGAATTTGAACTTCATCTTGAAGTATCTTCCGCTTTCTCTTTACACATACGTCTCCCTCGCTCTTGGCCTTCAAGTTTCCGTAGGCTGGCTCCATCTGTTGCGGAATCTATATTGCCCTGGTGTCTCGGGAGCTTGTTAGCTAATCTTTTCTCGACGTTGGACTAGAGATCGCGTATCAATTTTCAGCGTGGACCTCTTTCCGACGGTGTTGCATCGGTGAGGTGGTCACTGTGTCGAGCCTACCTTGGAGGATGGTGAGGTTGGGAAATTCATGGGAAGTCGTGATAATGGGTCCATTCACCAAAGGTTGAGGTTATTCAATTCAGTCTTGTTGACTTAAATCCAGGATGATGTTAATGAATATCGGCAGGCTTCTATCAAATAGGGTTATGGGAAGATGGAGCGAAGTTGTTGAAGAAGGTGAAAGCTAAGAGGAAGGCAAGAACTGAAGTCTGAGGACAGAGGGTACTATATAGGTGACAAACGGACGACCAAAGACAAAACAAAGAGATACGATCTCAGGCTGACTCATACTTTAAACTTCAGACCTTAAATCAATATGTAAACAATCTCTATAGTATTTCCGGTATTCGGCATCACCCCTCCACTAGCACCGTTCGCGCAGGGGTCATGGCTTGCGTTCTAGATACTCCAGTAACCACCAAATGGCCCGGGCCGCGACAGACGGAAGTTCGATGTATCGTGTTCAGGAAAAATTCTCCCGCTGATTTACAAGCTATCCATGAGTATTGAACCAATAAAATCACTGTCTTAAGGTATAATAATTTAGTTAAGAGCATAGCTAATAATACCTGTAGCTAGCATTCTTTTAGAGATGTCTGTATTAGTACTATGATTTGATAGAGCTTCAAAACGCAGTGTAGACCTAATACCGACGCCCCAGGCCATCCAAAAAAAGAGCCTCCGGCCGGAATCGAACCAGCGATCTCTTGATTACAAGTCAAACGCGTTAGCCACTGCGCCACGAAGGCAGCGATTCGTAATACCGATTGATACGAAGCAACACCCAGTCAAAGTAGTGTGGAGTTGGTCCGAGATTGCCACCGGCCTTAGCACTCACCTCCGAGCTTTGCTCTTCTTTGCTCTGTCACTCTTGCATCGGCCACTTCTCCTCCTTCTCCTTCACAACGCGCCCCTGGGGGGGTTTCCTACCATCATTATACCCATACACAATATGAGCCAAGCTGTCTAATCACTCTCCAAACAATTGTCCCCCACCAACCCCGAACCCTCCCCGAACCTCGCGCCCAACATGGATAACAAGACCTTCGTCTCGGACTCGCTGATCCGCCTAACCGGCGCATCAGACCCTATTGCCATTGACTTCGTCCTCGCGGAAGCCAGCTCCGCCAAGTCCGCCTCCTCGCTACAAGACAAACTAGTCTCCTTCCTCGATGGCAGCCCCGATGAAATCGGCGCATTCTGCGGCCAGCTCTACTCGCGCGTCGGGAAAGGCAGTTCTCAACCCACACCCTCGGCCTCACGATCTACAGCTGCCGCCGCATCTACGAAAAAGAAATACCGCCTAGTGGAAATGGGTGAGGAACAGACAGACCCGGCCGCAGCATTAGGACCCGTCAACGTGGAAGCCGAGCGTGAACGGCGGAGACGCCGCGATAAAGAGCGCGATAGTGATCGAACAAGAGAGCGAAGTAAACGCGAACCTGAGAGTCGTGGCGATAGCTGGGAGAGAGATGACACACGGAAGCGAGACCGCAGTCGCGATGGGGAGAGTCGTGATCGACCGCGCTCGAAGAAAGTGCGGAGGAAGGATGATCACGATTTTGGTGATCGCTGGGGTGATGAAGAGATACCGGATGATGAGGAGGAGGAGGGACACGATGATCCCGATCAGTTCGAAGAATCGCCTTCCAAACGAACAAGACTCGAAGATGGATCTGCCTCCCCGCGCCCGGCCGATGATATCGATCCCCAGACACAGCAAGAGATTGACCGCCAAAAGGATCTTCGGGAACGTGATGAATTTGCAAAGCGACTCGCGAACAAAGATGACAGCAAGTCGAAGAAGATTGTGGAGGACAGAACGCGAGATGGTGAAGCCGCGCGCCGTCGTGCGCTGGCTGATGATGCCTCTGCGCGAGCTTCCATGATGCCTGATTTGCGTATGCGATCTCGACAAGAATACCTGAAGAAGCGTGAGACGGAACGTCTCGCTTTGTTGCGGAAACAGGTCGCCGAGGAGGCGGCGGAACTTCGAGAGAACCCGAACCTGTCGCGTCGAGAGAAGGAAGAGTTTGCGCGGAATAGGGAGGTTCTTATGATTGCCGAAGAGCGTTTGCGCATTGATGATCATCGTGATGGCTACATGATGCCGGATGATTATATCACCGAGAAGGGAAAAATCGATCGCAAGAAGAAGGAGGATGCATTGTACAAGCGTTATGTTGATCGTGATGAGTCCGGTCAGGAGCGTTTCGTTACGGAGCACGAGGAATGGGAACTGGAGCAAGCTGCCAAGGCGAAGGCCCAGATCAAAAAAGCCGATTTTGTCGATGAGGGCGATTATGAGTATGTGTTTGACGACACTCAGCAGATCAATTTCGTCCTGGATACAAAGATTGAGGGTACTCAGAAACCGATGACTTCGGAACAACTTCGATTCAAGGAGCAGGTTGATGCGGCCGAGAAGAAGGCTCTCACTATGGAGGAGACTCGGAAGAGTTTGCCCATCTATCAATTCCGCGACCAGATCATTCAAGCAGTTCACGACCACCAGGTCTTGATTATTGTTGGTGAGACAGGTTCTGGTAAAACGACTCAAATTCCTCAGTACCTACACGAAGCCGGATTCACCAAGGACGGCTTGAAAGTCGGATGTACCCAGCCACGACGAGTTGCTGCTATGAGTGTTGCTGCCCGTGTGGCGGACGAAATGGGGACGAAGATTGGAAATGAAGTCGGTTATGCTATTCGTTTCGAGGATAATACGAGCGACAAGACGATTATCAAGTACATGACCGACGGTATGCTTTTGCGAGAGCTGCTTACAGAGCCAGACCTTGGGCAGTACTCGGCTCTCATGATTGACGAGGCTCACGAGCGGACGGTTCCCACCGATATTGCTTGTGGTCTTCTCAAGGATATCGCCAAAGCACGGCCAGATCTAAAATTGCTCATCTCCTCAGCCACAATGGATGCTCAAAAATTCCAAAAGTATTTCGACGATGCGCCCATTTTCAACATCCCCGGTCGCCGTTACCCAGTCGATGTGCATTATACCTCGCAGCCCGAGGCCAATTACTTGGCTGCTGCCATCACCACCGTTTTCCAGATCCATGTCACGCAGGGCCGCGGCGATATTCTGGTGTTCTTGACTGGCCAAGAGGAAATCGAAGCCGCCGATCAAAGTCTACAAGAAACTGCTCGAAAATTGGGTAGTAAAATACCGGAAATGATAATTTGTCCCATCTATGCCAATTTGCCCTCCGAGCTACAGACTAAGATCTTCGAACCTACGCCACCCAATGCTCGAAAGGTCGTGCTTGCAACCAACATTGCCGAAACCAGTTTGACCATTGATGGTATCGTCTACGTGATTGATCCTGGATTCGTTAAAGAGAATGTTTTCAACCCGCGCACTGGCATGGAAAGCTTGGTAGTGACGCCCTGTTCGCGTGCTTCGGCTAATCAGCGTGCTGGACGTGCTGGACGTGTTGGCCCAGGAAAGTGCTTCCGACTCTACACTAAATGGGCGTACTATAACGAGTTGGAGGAAAACACAACACCCGAGATTCAGCGCACGAATCTGAATGGTGTGATTCTAATGCTGAAGTCCCTTGGTATCGACCAACTTCTCGATTTCGACTTCATGGACCCGCCACCGGCGGAGACTATCATCCGAGCCTTGGAACAACTATACGCACTGGGCTCCTTGAATGATCGGGGAGAGCTGACAAAGGTCGGTCGACAGATGGCGGAGTTCCCAACGGATCCGATGCTCGCCAAGGCGATCCTCGCTGCGGGTCAATACGGTTGCGTGGAGGAAGTTCTTTCAATCGTATCGATGCTAGGCGAAGGAAGCGCGCTCTTCTTCCGACCGAAGGACAAGAAAATTCACGCCGACAGTGCTCGCAACCGATTCACCATCAAAGACGGCGGCGATCACCTAACACTCCTCAACGTCTGGAATCAATGGGTTGACTCCGACTTCAGTTTTGTCTGGGCAAAGGAGAACTTCCTACAGCAACGCAGTCTGACACGAGCCCGTGACGTGCGTGATCAACTAGCCAAACTCTGCGATCGGGTAGAGGTTACAGTCAGTACCTGTGGCGCCAATAATATCGTTCCGATTCAAAAGGCCATTACGGCTGGGTTCTTCCCTAATGCCGCGCGGCTGCAGCGTGGTGGTGATAGTTACCGCACGATCAAGAATGGGCAGTCGGTTTACCTGCATCCGTCCAGTACGCTGTTTGAGGTCAACCCGCGCTGGGTGATCTACTTCGAGCTGGTGTTGACTAGTAAGGAGTATATGCGCAGCAATATGCCCCTTCAGGCGGAGTGGCTGGTCGAAGTTGCTCCCCACTACTATAAGAAGAAGGATCTGGAGTCGTTGGGACTGGATCGTAAGACGCCGAAGGGGACTGGGGCGACAGGGGAGAAGAGTAAGGCGTGATGATATGGTACTATTTATCAATGTCAATGTCAATGTCAATGTTTTAATATACTCCCAGCAGAGTCTTTCCGTCCAAGTTCATCCAGCATAAATTAGCCAGCATAAACATACCAACATAACTTGAATCCTCGGCAAGATCACACCCACGGAAATTAGGAATAAATCCCATCCCCACCACCCACCCAACCAATCACAACTCACGCATTGGCGATACCTCTGACCGCGGCTCTCCCAGTCTAACCTCGGCCCCGCCTCCACAAACCTCCGCCTTTAATAACGTCACCCTCCGAGTCCCCTTTGATCCTCTTCCATTCCCATACCCCATACATACCCTCCCAAACTCACATCACATCACACACCAACCACCATGTCGCAAACCTTCTCCCCCGCAGACGTTGCCTCCCACAACAATGCCGACAAGGGCATGTACATCATCGTCGACACAAACGTCTACGACGTCACCAAGTTCGCCGACGAGCATCCCGGCGGCGCGAAGATTCTGAAGCGTGTTGCGGGCAAGGATGCTTCTAAGCAATTCTGGAAGGTAAACCACCTACCCCTACCCCCTTGGAGGAAGAAGTGACGAAGTGTTTTGGAACGCTGGCTAATCCCATTTTTTTTTTTTGCCGATAGTACCACAACGAGTCCGTACTGAAGAAGTACGCCCCCAAACTGAAGATTGGCGAGGTCAAGGATGCTGCGAAGTTGTAATGCAGTGCAGTGCAGTGCAGTGCACTTTGGTTCGATTCGATTCATATCCGATACCAATGTGTCGTTCATGTTTGGTCTGTCTGGCTTTTTGCATGTGGGAGGGTGTGATCGTGTGATTATGTCGGAACCGGCCGAGGGACGCCGAAACCGAAAGCGAAGGCCGACGCTTTCAATAGCCGAACACCTCGCAGAGAAGGCTGGGCTCTGGGCTGGCTGAATGATTGTTGTTGATGTTGCTAGCGATGAAATATTGTGTTAATACCCACCCTTTCCAATATTTTCTAGTGTTATTTATAAATTCTAGAATTTAGATTTTTGTTCCAGTGTCTTCAGGTTCTACTGGTAGATCGGAGAAGAGAGAGTTTACCTAGGTGTTTAGAGCCGGTATACATTTCGAGTATACATTATACTATACTAGTACCAACTAGTATCTATATAGATGGAGTTCAAATTCAAGTCCAGTGCCTCCAACGCCCCGTGTCCGAGTCCACCGCTGCTGCTTTGCTTCGCTTCGAGTTGAATGTGGTATCCTTCGCACAATGGTATCACCATGAACAAATCAAATAAATCCAATAGAAGCGAGAAAGTGCAAGAAACAGAAGGGAAGAGAAGAGAAAAGAAGAGAAGAGAAAAGAAGAGAAGAGAAGAGAAGAAGAGAAGAAGAGAAGAATGTGGGAATAAGTATGTATGAGTGGGAAAAGAAAAAGAAAAGAAAGAGGTGTCAAGGAAAGAAAGAGGTAGGGAGGAAAATTAGTCACGAGAAGAGAATAGAGGTGCAGGGTATGGATGTATGTAGGTTCGAGTCAGAAAGGTGGGAAATGGAATGGGAAGGGAAAAGTATTCAAAAACAATACAAAGGTAGTATGTGCAGGCTGAACATGTCGCCAGAATGCCAAAATGTCAGAAGCAAAGGGGCGATGCATCCAGCGCCCTGAACATGTCTCAAGCCAAAAGAAAAGGGAAGACAACTGGAAGGTGAAAGTGGTATAAATGGATAGTGTAGGAAGTAGGCAAACAAGGCCCAATCCAAATCAAAGAAAGAGAAGAATCAAAAATCAATCAGAACCCCCGAAACGGATCCGACCGAAACGAAAGCTCACCCCCCCCATCAACAGAAGGTGCATCAAACTCGTATCTCCCATGACTAAACTGACTAGAAGTCTTTCTTCCCCTCGTCGAAGCCGCAGACGGTGCACACACCGAAGGAACCCCACGAGGCCGATTAATCTGCTCAGCATGATGATCGATGAAAGCTTCCATGCGCACCGTACCAACATCAAACATATTGCTCGCACCGGCACTAGAAGCGCGTCCACTAGCTTCAGAAGTCCGACTAATACTGCTGCGCCCACTGCCGATACCCGGGGGCAGGGCTGGTGGTGGGATTGGGGCGGGCGAGAAGTATGGGTCTGACGAGCCGCTGTGTGAGGAGGGCATTGTGGCCATTGTTCCTGCGCTGGAGAAGCTTCGGATAGCGTGGATGGCTGGTGGGGGTCGGGGAGCTGTGCTTGTGTTGCTGCGCTTGCGGTTGTGGTTTGAGAAGCGTGGGACGTGAGGAGGGTCGGCTGCTAGGTCGTCGTCTGCTGTTGGAATTTCGGGGACGGGGTCGGGTGCGTTGCCAAAGGATCGTTTGCCCTTTGGCATGGGTCTTGGTCGACCTTTTGCAACGCGGATTGAGTCGCGGATTGGGTTGCGGCGGAGACTGGCTGTTGGTGGTGTGGGTGAGCCGGGCATTTCGCCTGTTGGTGCGGGTGGGACGGCGGCGAGGTCGTGTAGGCCCATTGAGGAGTGGCTGAGGAAGGATAGGGCTGTTAGCCAGACGTAGTGGCGCTCTACTGTCAGAGCTGTGAATTTGAGAGCGCGTTGAGGGGTGAGGACGAGGATTGAGCGGTTGAATGGGGTTGGGGTTCCGGAGCCCTTGGGCATAGGGTTGTCGTCTTTGACATCTAGCACGGATTGAATGGTGACTGAAGGGGTGTTGTTAGTTTGAAAGACATATAATAGCTCGAGGTTGTTGCTAGTAACTTACATTTCCGCCCACTCTTGCCCAGTAAGGCAGGTCCACTGGTCGGTTGCTTGCTGCTCCACATTATGGAACCCTCATAAGGCGCAAGCCAAACCCATCGCTTGTGCCGCACACCGCTGTTGGTGATGTTGGCAGATACCTCGTCGGGGTTTTTACCTTCCCAAGGTTCCTTGGACTCGCCCATGCCGAAAGACTTACGTCGACGAACGTACTTGAACATCCATTCACCAACCATCGTTTGGGCAATTGCGTCCACAACACTAGTGGGTTGGACACCACCTGTTGAATCCTCTCGCTCATGGTTCCAATTCATAGACGGTACAGCAGCGCGGTGGTGCGAAGTCCGTTTCTGAGGGTTCTGAGCAACTCGTCGCTCCCGAGGGGCTGTGATATCGTCAAATGGCATAGGTGGTGGACGATATGCAGCGTATGCAGTTGGACTGTCCGCTGTAAACGGAGAAGTAGATCGCGTTGGCGAAGACAGTGTCTCTGGACGCTCAGTAAGATCACTTTGAGACATCGCAGCCGCAGATCGGACCCGGCGAAGTGTTGGTCGCCGGTGGAGAGATGTGCGCGCACCCCGATCCGAGAACTGTCGACCAGCAGAGCGGGTCGGGCTCGGGGGTCCATCGCTGCCAGTCAATGGGAGCTTCCGAGAACTCAACCGGATCGGAACTGGGAATGGAGGCGCAATGCTTGAACCTGCGCTGCCGCTGAGACTTGGCTCACTGGGGCTCCGGGCTCGAGTCTTCTGGTGCGCTGCCGTCCCGCTGGATATCATGGCCATCTTGCGCATACCTGGCTGTCTGCTGCTAGAAGCGTAAGCGCCTCGGCCGCCGCGGGTTGAGGCTCGCTCTGTATCGATGGACTGTCGAGACTCGGGATCGGATAGGTGCTCATCGATTTCCGGAAGACCGATATCATCCAAGCTAGTTCTTTGCTTGGAGTTGACCATTTTGCCACGGCGAAGCTTATACGAGGCGAAGGGTCGATTCAGGAACTCTTCATCTGTGAAGATGTCACGCTCCGTTGCACCGCCCTCGTCATCGCTCAGCTGCTCAAAACCGGCAAAGAGACTGCTAGAGCGGAAAGGACGTCGAAGCCCGGACATAGGATCGTCTGAAAGAGGGCCGTTGTCATTATTCCCTGGATAAGCTTGGGATAGTTCAGATGCTAGTGCGCGGGGTGGTTTTACGGGTCGGTCTGCTGTCGTCGGTCGTTTAGCGGATCGAGGAGGAGGTACTGGCGGACGGTACGGTTGATACTGCTGCACACCAGCATCTTGAGTCTCGGCCCGAGTAGGAAGGTCGGGGATTGCGGAGGGGAGGAGGCTGGCCGGTAGTTTTACTGGTCGGTTATCGATGCGAATCTCTTCCGTTTGTATGGCGATAGAGCGTGCCTCAATGACTGATCGGAAATTGGCCTGGCATGACGCATTCTTCGTCTGCGGGGGAAGAACCACGCTGTTTCGTGGTGATGGTGGCTCTGAGACTGGTGGGTGGATGGTGATCATGGGAACATCCATTTCTGATGGAATGTCATGCGGGGATAGTGTAGCTCTTTGAACTGGGGCGGGTTCTTCGTTAGAAATATCCTCTGTTTGGGTGGATGCCGATGCCATTTCAACTGGCTTGAATTTGGCAGTCTGCTCAACAGCCAGTTCTGTGACGCTGGAAAGATCCTCCGCAGTCTGGCACGAAGTTGATGTCATCTCGGCTGCAACAGTGATCGTCGCAGTATCCTTCATCTCGGGAATATCATGGTAAGGCTCGGTTGAAACTGCTGTGTCCACAAATGCAGGCACGTCCTCTGGCTCAGCCACGGCCGGTATTTTGGGAGACGGAGGAGGCGAATATTGAATTCCCATATCACAGTATTCAACAGCAGGTAGCTCTGGTGTCTTCAAAGGACTCGCCAAATCCAACGCACGGTAATCTCCCGCCGCGGTGGAAGTACTTTGCATCGACAGACCAAGGATCTTTCTCGCCTTCGAGGAAACAGCATAAGATGCAGCCGAGTGGACAGATAAAGGTCGTTCTTCGGGAAGCGCACCGGGCGATGACGGGCCTTCTTCATCAGAAATGACAAACTCCTCTTCCTCATCGAAATCCAATTCTTGCGCGAGATTCAACCCGGAATCGCCCTTGCCAGCTACCATGCTCATCACGGAATATCGTACATTGTGGAAGTTGGGTTGGTCGTCCCCTTCATCGGTCGTCACGCTGGTCATACTAGCACGCCGGCGGCCTTGGCTGCTCGATGCCACACTAGCTGTGTCACTTCCTTTGCTCTTTGCCTTGGTGGTATCATCGTGTTCGCTGGATTGTTGCGAATGGAGAGTACTGCTAGCCTCTTGGGCAGCAGCAACTTCGCTGAGAACCGTCTTCAAACGACCCTCCACCACGTGAACTTTCCGTTCAAGATTCCGCCTTTCATTATCCCAATTCTCTCGATCCTGGTCCCACATCATCTGTGTTCGTTCGGCATCGTCTTCCCGACTGCGAGCCCTTTTTTGCACTTGTTCAAATTTCTTGCGCACATCGTTAATATTTTCTACCGCTTCGTCTCGCTCTCGGGCCAACTCTGCCATCGCAGACGAGGTCCCACCCTCGAGAAGCTGAATCTGATGCTTCAAAGACCGAGCTTCCCGAGTAGCCTTCGACAAATTCGCATTGAGGATCTCGCCCTCTGTTCGCGATTCGTCCAAGCTCAGTTCCAACGAATCGATTGCCTTTGTTTTACTATCAACCTCCCGGCGGAGGTTGAGGATCTCAGAAACGAGCGATGCATGGAGTGTGGGCGTGATTCTTCGAGGATCAAATGGCAATAGTGTATCTTCTTCGACGATATCGTCGTCCATATCGGTGTGTCCATCTTCGGGCGAAAAAGCGGGTGTCGGCAGGCCGGGTGGGGAGGACGGGACTGGAGACGAGTCTCTTCGGCGCCGCGCTGGTCGAGATCTGGATCTTGCCTTTGAGGCGGCTCTGGATCTAGACTGCGCAGGCGATGGGTGAATTGTGGAGGTCGCGGGGGACTGTAAATCCGTGGCCATGGCCATGGCCATCTCTGTCTCTGTTCTTGCGCTTGGTGCTTGCAAGTCAAAACATCACCGGGATATCGTGTTTCCAGTCTGCTAACCAGAGCACGACGCGGCCGGATCCCATCAATCGAATCGTGTCTACCGTAGTTCACTCATTCGTTCTCGAAGCGTCGAAGTCGAAGTGTTGAATTGTGGTGATGTATCGTATTCAGTTGCCACTCAGCTCCAATCGGTCGCAACGATCGTCGATACTCGGTCGAGGGTCACACGCGGGGGGGTCAAATCCAACCTTGGCTGCAGTGGAACAATCAGTCAGCCACTTTGTTACAGCGCGGATGCAAGATGCACAGGCTGGGGCGCGAGGAGCCAGAGCCCAATGCAGTAGAGTAGTTTTAATATGCACGGAGGTTCCTAGAATCTACTTACATGCGATGCGGGCGTCACCAGGCTTGGGGTTGGAGAGAAGTGGGAGGAGACGGGCCACAGATGTCAACTACCCCCTAGAGGATTCAAAGGTCGATCGCGATCACTGGAGTCGGAGTCCACTGGACTGGTACAGAAGTACCTACAGAGGGGAGCCGCTGAGCCACTGAGCCACCGAGGGGACCGTCGTGACGGGCCTTAAGATCCACGGGACTTTTACGAAGGAGGCAACGATCGGACGTGATGTCCGTTAGATTGCCTCGAGACCTCTTCGTAGATCAGCCTTGCTGCAAAGGAATCGGAAAAGGGCCGGATGCGAGGAAGCGGCCTTTGCTCTGGGCTTGGAGCCAAAAAAAATAAGCCCAAAAAGACCAGGGGTGTTCGTTAGGGGGGAGGGACATGGGGAAGCTAGCAATCCACCCGATTAGCCAGGATGCAGCATGCTCCACTCGAAAGCTGCCAACCAAGACACTAAAGCATGGCCCCGGTCTGCTCAGTCCGGACCATCAATCGATCTAAATGCAACACGAGAAGAGAAGCAAGACCGGAGATGGTACCTCGAAGGTAGCTCCATGCACATAGTTCATGTCAGGTTAAGCTCCGGGGGAGAACCGTGGATATCGATGGCTTCTGGAAACGAGGGAATCAAATCTCATCCCGAAAAAGAAAAGAAAAGAGACAATAGCCAATTAAAAAAAAGGGAACAAAGAAAAAGAAACAAAAAGGAACAAAAAAAAGGTTTGTCTGGAACAAGCCCTGACCAAGGCGATGCGGGCGCAGCAGAAGTGTACGAGTAGCACACACTCAATTCGGGATACTCGTAGGAGCCAAGTCGCAATGGGCAAGACATCATAAGTTGGGATCGTCTCAATCCACTTTGCTGCTCGACATGGGGAAGGTGTTCGTCGGTGACGAAAAAGCTGGTTCCACGGTCCCACCATGGGTCCAAAACAACGCGTTCAGCTGGGCGCAAGTCTTTGCCAGGTACGGAGTACGGCCAACAGCGACAAAGCTAAGATCTCGGCCCCTTTTTTGTGGTAATTGCTAAGAGGCATCGGTGGAGAGGAGTAGTAGCCCATCGTCCATTGAGCTGACGAGTATTAAATTGGTGGGTGAGTCGAATAGATTGGGCACTGGTCTGCTTGTGGAATAGGAGAGCCGGTTAGCGTGTTTGGGAATGACTGTTCCCCTGTTCTTGCGTTGGCCAGTCCGTCTTAGCGTGAGGTTCGCAGGTGATGATCGTCGTAGGCAATTTCGTTCAACAAGAGCCTATGGCCCGTGGACGGTGTTTCAGCCAGGCGCAGCTGCATCTGATCTAGGGGAGTGCTGCATCTATCAATTGCCATTCAAATTCGAATTGAATGCTCCGGATGTATCCCATGAATCCAGTCGGTACTGGGACTCGTAGGGAGGGGGGGGAAAGCTCGGAGTCCCCGTCCCGCGAAGTCCATCCCCGAGGTCTCCACTGGGAGCTTGGTGCATCCACTCTGAAAACCGAACTTTTGCTTTGTTGATTTGATTCTTTTTTAGGCGAAATCTGGGACGCGATGCGTGCCGAGGCCATTCCTCCATTCACGCACCGTGCTCTCTCTGACAGATACGAGTATACGGAGTACCCAGGGTACTCGTAGGGCCTGGATCTGACGCCCCCGATCCTTTCATCTCAAGTGCCGGTCGCACTTGTAAACGTTGAGCGCGGCTAAAACATAATCATAAAATTAAAATAAACGTCAACCAATCAGCCACACAGCGCACGGGTTTAATTAGCAATACTCACTTGATTGGGTCTCCTCTGCGTATCGCCCCTCGCCCCTGGCCCCCTCGCTCGATTAACAATGGGACTGGGCCCTCCAAATGCACGAAGACGCGACAATTTCTCAAGCGGGCAGCACCTCCGCGAACCAGTGATAGTGACAGCATAGAATGACCCACCGGGGGTTCAGAGCACCAATGCAGACACGGGCCGTTTGACAGGTCGATTATCCGTGGTAACTTGTCATTCGACAAAGGGACCCCAGTGTTCTTTTTTCTCTTTTTGACAGGGACGCTAATGCGGTGCTCAGACATGAATGGCGTCGTGGTGGAGATGGCGAAACGTTGAAGGTGAAGGGAGAAGAAGAAGAAGCGGGGAGGAGGAGAGGAAGTCGTGACGAGGTCGGCATGAAGGGATGTCTTAGTATATTGGAGGGTTAGTTGGGTGCTTTTGCGACCGGCTGGAATAGTGTAATTCAATTCTTATTTTAACTAAAGTACTTTAGCTATAGAGTGCCTACTACGAGTAACTATTATCTTATCCTAATAGTATAAACAGAGGGTACCTTAAGGTGCTTCAGTATACCTCGTTGTAGCCTATCAGAATCATTCCCTTGTCTTTCCAAGTATGTGAGGACTCTCCCTCTTCCTTCCTCTCTAATTGTCGACTTCTTCATGAATTCCTCCTCAATTTCCTCCACTTCCACCTCCATCATGGCAGAACAATCAGCCTGAACCAAATGGCATCAACAGCCTCGGTTCCAATGACTCAGCTTCTGTCGCAATCTTCAAATACACGCAATTCCACCATTTCTTGTCCAAATCTCACATATCAACCCGTGATCCTCCTGGAACTATTCCGTATTTCCACTACTCCGTGCTCGTACACTCTTCCCATCCATCACCTCCCCTCGCTGGACCTATCCACTCCCACCCGCACATCCCCCCACCCCCCACAATGCCGGACCAACCTCCCCGCGCCCTCTTTTTCGACACGTTCGGTACAGTCGTCGAATGGCGATCCTGCGTAACCAAAGCCCTCCGAGCCGCATCCTCACAAGTCTTGACAAATCCACCCCAAGACAGAACCATCCCAACATCCGTGCTGGACCGTGCATCCGCATACAGCGAAGCAGACTGGCTCAGCCTCGCCGAAGCATGGCGTCGATCCTACGGCATATTTACGCGAACCTTTGACCCATCGACGAAATTCATCTCAATCGATCAACACCACTACACCGCTCTAAAGAACCTTCTCGAGGAACGCGGTATCCTGCCTTTATTCAACGATGCAGAATTATGGGATCTGACATTTGCCTGGCACCGACTTGATCCGTGGGCTGATAGTGCAAGGGGACTAGCGCTGCTGAATACTCAATTCGTTACCTCGACTTTGTCGAATGGGAATGTCTCTTTGTTGGAAGATTTGAAGGAGCACGGTTCTCTGCCTTTTGCGCATTTGATTAGTTCGGAGCATTTTGGCGCGTATAAGCCGTCGTCTAAGGTTTATCTTGGTGCTGCGGAGAAACTTGGGCTGAAGCCAGAACAGTGTGCTCTTGTGGCTGCTCATCTTAGGGATCTGAGAGCTGCGAAGGATTGTGGGTTTCAGGCTGTTTTTGTTGAGAGGGAGTTGGAGGAGGATTGGGATGTTGAAGAAGTTGCTAAGGCTAAGGCGGATGGTTGGGTTGATATTTGGGTTGATCAGGATACTGGGGGTTTTATTGAGGTGGCGAGGCGATTTGGGATTCAGGAAGAGCAGTAGGATAGTTTAACCTGCTCTTAGACCATGTACACTCCTAATAGCTCTACGGAATGTACGAATGCAAGTAATTCCGAAGTCCGCAGAATATTTCCAACCATCCGTGGATGCTGACGCGATGACGTGAGGGGTTTGTCAGCTTCGCAACTACCACCATGCGATTACAAACGATCATTTTATGTTGTTTTCAAGTATAAGACCGAGACCATTTTACCATATACCAACACGAAATCAAGTCTTAGGAAGCGCCAGCAGAATCTATTGGATATCCACACGGGCGAAGTACTAGGCTCAACCATCACCCGGGCATCTCTATTACTAGCCAGCATACAAGTCAGCCATGAGCACCGAAGTAAGCCATCCCTCCCCTGCTCCATGGATTACCTCCTCCCAGCAAAACCCATTCCCTAACCTAACCAGGACACAAAAGTTTACAAACACGCCGACTCAGACGGCCACTTCCGCCGCAAAGATTCGGCGTTTCGATCCCACGTCTCCAAAAGTCCCACGGCTGAATTCCCCGCCGAAAAGGACCGCTACGTACTCTACATCAACTACGGCTGTCCCTGGGCCCACAGAGCAAATCTAGTCCGAAGCCTAAAAGGACTACAAGATATCATCCAGCTAGTCGTTTTAGACCCCGAACTCGGACCGAACGGATGGTTCTTCTCCGGCCGCTACGGATCTGCAGAAAAGGACCCGTTGTACGGATTCAAGTACCTCAAAGAACTATACTTAAAGGCAGATCCGCAGTATGAAGGAAGATACACCGTTCCCACGCTGTGGGATAAGAAGAAAGAGACTATCGTCAACAATGAAAGCAGTGAAGTCATTCGAATGCTTTATTCCGAATTTGACGACCTTTTGCCGCAGGGTTTGAGGGAGGTTAATCAGCTCGGTGGTGGATTTTATCCTCAGCATCTGAGGAATGAAATTGATGCGATGAATGCTTGGGTTTACCCGGAGATTAACAATGGGGTTTATAAGACTGGTTTCGCAACTACACAGGCGGCTTATGAGGAGAATATCTATCCGCTTTTTAAAGCTTTGGATCGGGTTGAGGAACATCTCAGTCAAGGGCAACAACAGCCTTATCTTTTTGGGGAAAACATCACCGACGCTGATATTCGGCTCTATACCACTATTGCCCGGTTCGATGTCGCGTATTATCTTATCTTCAAGTGCAATCTGAAGATGATTAGACACGATTATCCGCGTATTGATCGTTGGTATCGGAAGCTTTATTATGATGAGACGCCTTTGACTCGTGGGGCTTTTAAGGAGACGACTTTCTTTGATATTGTAGGTCTTCCAAGAGCGTCGATCTGACGTGGATGCGTTTTTGATTGCTTACCTTTGTTTAGTACAAATTTGGATATTGCGCGGCTCTTGGAAATAAGACTGGGGATAGGGAGTTGGTTGTTCCGGTTGGACCGGTTCCTGATATACTGCCTGCGGAGAAAGGAGAGTAACGCAAATGCACGCAATCGGGAAATATCCGCAAATAAGATCATGTTTGTTTTGAAAGGGGGGTGTGAATGTTCTACTGTAGTTCTAGTATGGTTTACGATATTTCAAAAATGGCGGTAAATTTCCAAATAATACTAGAGGCCAAGTAGCTGGCAATTTCCTATAATATCGTTTGTCTAAAACTACATCATGTTGCCTGTTGGCGGCCTATAGTATAGCCCTCCATCAGGTGCTTTGGGGATCCCTCTTATGCTGAGGCCTTTTGATATTCACAGTCAATACCACAGAAACCGGCCAGGGAACGGAACCACCAGGAGATTCGCAGGGGAGTGCCTTACTATTTAAAATTCAGAAAAGTTGATTTTGAAATATAAATATATATGCCCAGGTGGAAAGTGCGATGGTAGGCCCATGACTCGGAGACAATTGAAATAACTTGAGCAGTTTCGGCAGGAACTCTTGGTCCAACCTTCCAAAAGACGCTGGCAGCTCCTGCCGAAACTGTTTGTTTACAAACTACTTGTAGATCGTCCAATTGAGACCTCTCGATGTTCCTAGTTACCGCCTACAACACAACACAAGGTGATGACTAACCTGAAACTTGAACGTGGCTTATCCCCGACAGGGTAGGGCATGCTCTGGAATAAGGTGGCGAAGAATATAAAGACACTCATTCATGTATCTAGATCTGTTCTTCGCGATCAATCGTACAATTTTAATTGTAATATAGGGGGCAAGTCGGCCGCCAAGACTCCAAAGATATAAAGGTTTCCCCGCACAAACTTCGTGTGGAGAACCTTTCTCTCGACTGATGCACCGGAAAGAAGAGCGAAAGGCTTGCAAGATTGTTCATGGGACTCGAAGACCCACTCAGCAAATATACTATCACAAAAATGCCACAAAGCCCCGAGTCGGTCAAGTTGCACGCTCCCCGTGCCGCCAAAGCTTGCACTAGTTGCCATTCCCGCAAGATCCGCTGCGATGTCCTGAAGACTGGACTACCCTGCACCAAATGCCAGCTCCATGGATTTGAATGCGCTCTCGCTGAAAGGAAGCGCCGTCGTCCTAGAGGTGAAAAGCTAAGAGGTAATCAAATGGCCAGGAGTCATAAAGAGGCATCGCCACAATCGATGCCTGAGTATGTACTCCATCAAGTGCCTCATTATTCCTTTCTCCGACACTTCATTCCATGCATCCGAGTTCCTCGGGCAGAAAATAGCCAGCCTGGTGTTGTCTTCCCAATTCCTACTCATGACCTGTCAACGTCATCGCACAGCGCGACATCACCACTCAGTGCCGAAGATTCATCATACTTGAGAAGCAGGGGCGTTTTCGACTTCCCGCGCAAGGAACACCTGGATCAATGCATTTCGGCGTATTTTCGATACTTCCATCCATTCTTCCCGGTCATTAATAAATGCTCGTTCCTTAGCCAGTACAGAGCTATCAGGCGAGAGGGGCTTATGGATGGGCAGCAAATGAACCCCCTGCTTCTCAACGTCATAATATCCACTGCCTGCCCGGTGAGTGGTCATTACCCTCTTGTTTATTTCATCTTGTTAATGTGAGCACTGGCAGTACCTGCCACTTCAGACTATCCATGAGATGGGGTTCACGGGGCATAAGCAGGCAAAGAGCTCTTTTCATGCTAAAGCACGAGTAGGTGATCCTCACGCATGAGCAATAGTCCCCGTTTAATAATAACTCAAAGCTTCTCCATAACATGGATCGAGAACCAGACGATGTGATATCTATCCAAGCTCTGTTGCTGATGAGCCATTACTACCCATCCATGGTTGAACAACGACATACTTGGTTTTGGGTTTATCAAGCCATCGGGTTAGCCCAGGGCCTTGGACTACATCGTACTATGGAGCACTCACCGCAACACAAATTCTGGGCTAGAATCTGGTGGTGTTGTGTTGTACGTGATCGGCTGATTGCATTGGGTACCGGTAGGCCCATGCACATTAATAGTCTTGATTGCAATGTTCCTATGTTGAGCTACACAGATCTTCTTGAAGAAGGCGATGATGACGAGCAGCTTCGTGTAAAAGCCATTTTCATTGATCTCTTAAAGCTATGTCGGTGCACGGAGGTGGTTTTGTCACTCTTTACAGCAGCAGCCGACCATCAACCCGACCAAATAGACCTCTGCAAGGATATGCTTTACCACTGGGTATCTAATCTAGATCCATCATCGCGGCTGTATGACGAATGCTCTATGAACACAGCTGGACAGGGCGCAGACGCTGCCTATAAGATACTTCTTCATCTCCTACATAAGTCAGAGACCTTGATGCAAGCCGGGAGATAGATATGAAACATTCTTGCTGACGCCATTAACAGCACAGTCTTAATCTCACTACACGAGCGGCGGAACTCGAGGCGTGGTATCCATTCGGGAAGATACAAAACCGCCTCCCCTGAGGCCCAGTCTGTTGCTACGGACTCGGCCCGCCTTCTGGAAATGCTGAATGATCTGAATATTATAAGTTTATTGCCGACCCAATGGTATGACTCGTTTCAGAACACCCAAGGATAGATCGCTAACACTGAGAAAGTGTAACCACGATCCTTCCACCGCTTATAATACATTTCTCTTTGATGTGCGATCCAGAGACGCTTGCAAATAAACAAACTGCTGAGAGTCATTTTCAGTCCTGTATGCGCTGCTTGAAGAAGCTTGGCAATACTTTTTGGCATGCAAGTTTCTACCACGACCTCTTCAAAATCGCATCCCAAGGTTTGGGGACTAGATTAATTAGTCACCCAAAAAGCAACGTCCAGTCCGAGGGCTTCCAAGATACAGAGTTTAATGGGGATCGAATGTGCATTCCCGACCCACCATCGGCGAGAGGCAGGGACCCAGGGGCAGAAATCCTGGAAGAGAGCTCATCTTCCACCAGCTCCAAACGCGTGTTCTCGAATTATGACCAATCCTCCAGTATAGTTGACTCTTCTGTCTATGAGGATGAGAGTCTACAGAACTGGCTAGATGGTTACGGGCTGTTTCATTCACTCCTTCCTTCTCCATGACCAGTGATGTGGTAGCCCTTGGTTCTTATTCTCATGGAAATATGTATACAGAAGCTCTTGATTTCAACAACCTGGTGGAATTATTCTATCTAGATTCGGTGGTGACTAGCAAGTGAAGTTTGTAGCTCACAGTTTCGGTCCATTCCGAATAGCGAGACCTTGCTCGCTTTGCCAGAAGCTCCCGTTCGGATACTCATAGGTTACAATTGCCTCGGGCTTGTATTCCACACTGTAACCTGCCTCCCAGGGGGTAACGAAAAATCCATTCTTTGTTTGCACAGGGTATTCCAAAACCTCGCTGAAAGAGTTAATGTGTTCGAGGAGACTCTTCTCACCCGATATGCAAATATAGTTGAGAAGGGCAAGATGTTGTGTGTATTCGTTCAGACCAATGCCTCCGCTGTGTGGCACAATTGGCACGTTAAACCTGATAACTAGTCAGTTAAGTTCTAGTCAAAATCCTGTTGAGAACGCTTACTTTTTTGCCATGAGTAGCACGGATAAAACTTCGTTTACGCCTCCGAGTCTGCACGCATCTACCTGACAGTAGTCAATAGAGCCAGCTTGCAACAATTGCTTGAAGATCACACGATTTTGACAGTGTTCGCCAGTTGCTACACCAACACCATATGGCGAGAGTGCCTTGCGAATAGCTGCATGCCCAAGAATGTCGTCAGGAGAGGTCGGCTCCTCGATGAATCTATTATCATATTAATCTCAATTATTATAACCCATCGAAGGCATTCTTTAATGACTCACAAAGGTTTAAATTGAACCAGATTTTTCATATAGTCAATCGCCTCAGGTACACTCCATACCTGATTGGCATCAAGCATCATCGTGCGGTCGTAGCCAATCGTGTCTCGAGCAATTTTGACCCGGCGAATATCATCCTCCAGATTACCCCCGACCTTGAGTTTGAATTTATCAATACCCTCAGCCAGGTTTGAGTTGATCAGTTCGATCATCCGTTCATCACTGAAACCAAGCCAGCCAGCTTGGGTCGAGTAAGCGGGGACTGCCTCGCTTTTCTGCGCGTCTTCGAACCTAGCTGGCTTCGTCTTCTCTTGTTCCTTTAAAATCGCGATCGCTTCATCTGGAGTAATAGCATCGAGAATATATCTAAAATCAATGCAGGCGACAAGTTCTTCTGGGGTCATATCGCAAACTAGTTTCCAGATCGGCTTATTGAGATATCGGCCCCAAAGATCCCAAAGTGCGTTGACACAGGCACTTAGACCAAGATGGGTAACTCCTTTTTCGGGGCCTACCCATCGAAGCTGAGAATCGGCCACAAGGAAGCGCCATGTTTCACCCATGTTCTTGGTCAGCTCGCCAAGTGTCTTGCCGACAAGCCGTTCTGCAATCTGGCGGGCGGCAGAAGTGCAGAGGTCGTTGCCTCGACCGATCGTAAAGGATATGCCGTGGCCCTTAAGATCCGTATTGGTTTTGAGCTGGACGTGGGTAGCACTGTAATCTCCTGCTGGGTTCATGGCATCGGAGCCTGAAGCATCGAGGCTAGTCGGAAATCGCAAGTCTATATCCAGGTTTAATCCTTGCCAAGGGAACAGCACGAGAGTGACCTTACCAAATACTTCAAAATCCTCAATTCTCACATCTTCAATGGGAAGTTTTGATCCGGCGAAAGCAGATGGAGGAGTTAGTCCTTCCCCATTGAAGTTTATGTACGTCATTTTGACGCTCGGGAAACTTTTATTGTTGGCGGTAGGGATGGCAATGGCAAGATTGTCGAAGCTGTTCATCAAAGTTGTTGAAGGGAGCCGACCCCTTAAATACCCAAGAGAATTTTCATTCTGACAAAGTATTCTGCGAAAGTCAGATCGCAGGAACTCCGAGGGGAGGGGGGCAGGTTCCTCGAAGAGGACTGTAAGAGTATTGTAAACTCAATAAACCAAAGTCCACAAATAAAATTGTCCTGAACGGTATTTCGGTTCTATCCCTGCCCAGATTGGCCGGAGAAATACTCGTCTGATTACGAAATGCTCTTATCGGGTGCAATCATCGCAATTATCTCTCTGACTATACTGATATGGTAGTTGACTGAAAAGGAATCACCCCATGCTGATCTTGGAAAGCGTACTGTAGTAGGAGCATTGGTTCCTGGTGGAGGTGGAGCCTTGGGGAAGGTATCAACGAATAAGGTGACCAACTTCGGCACTTCGGCTTTATAACCTTCCAAGGATATCATGGGGCTTTCTCGGCCCACAGAACTCATCTTACTCTCTCCAGCGCCGCACCTCTAAAATTCGTTAGATCATACGCTACCGACGGAATAGAAAGACCAAATCACAAAGTTCGGGGAACTGAAGGCAATTGACTTTTACACTGAAAAGGTATATAAACCGTTGAAATACCAAATATGACGTGCTAATCAAATCTGCATGCAAAACGCTTTATTATTTCTTTTTCTATCAACCTGACTTTTACTTGTCCAGGGTTGTTTTTGTTCATTGAGGTCCCAGAAATTCTGTCATGGACCATAAAGATGCATCTTCAAATGTTGAGCTCAGTGATTGTACTCACGTAGAGCAAGCCTTGAATCAGTGTTTGGCCTCCGACGCTGATCTCGATATGTATCGTGAAGCTTTGGAGCAATACCCCAACGATGATTCAATTGACAAAGAGGCCGAGAAGCACCTAAGACACAAAATCGACCGACGAATTTTACCACTACTCGGAATATGCTATTTCTTTTATGCAAGAATGCCTTTCTGTCGGACTGTGACGGAGAAGCTTTTGCTAATGCTCATTCCCAGTACGTCGATAAGACAACGCTCTCATACGCCGCCATTTTCGGAATCAAAGAAGACCTCCATCTCCAAGCTACAGAGTATTCATGGCTCTCTAGCGTCTTCTACTTTGGTTGGTTGGTCTGGTCTATCCCGTCCAATTTGATCATGCAGCGGACACCCCCTGCCTGGTATCTATCTATTAATATATTTTTATGGGGTGCGCTGTTGATGTGTCAGACGGCAACTGGGAGCTTCACCGTCCTTGTTGTCTTGCGCGTGCTATCTGGTGCCTTTGAAGCCATCGCAGATCCAGCATTCATGCTCTTCACCTCAATGTTCTATAAACGAGAAGAACAGCCTTCTCGTATCGCTGCTTGGTATGCTTGGAATGGGATAGGTGTTGCAGGAGGTGGTTTGATCGGTGATTATGAACCCAAGGATGCTTTTTGCTTAATAGTTGCTAACGCCTAGGGGTCAGGCTATGGTATCGGTCAAATTCGCGGTTCACTTTCTTCATGGCGCTATGAATTTCTGATTGTTGGGGCACTTTGCACGTCATGGGGCATCGCCCTTTTTATCTTACTCCCAAACTCACCAACAAAGATCCGAGGCTTCACACACCAAGAGAAGCTTATGCTCATTGCCCGAATGCGTTCCAGTCAAACTGGAATTCAAAGTAATAAGGTGGAATGGTATCAAATCAGAGAAGCCTTGGTGGATTATAAAACCTGGCTTTTTATGCTCATGGGGTTTGTCTCGGCTGTTCCGAATGGCGGCATATCTAATTTCTCAACACTCGTGATTCAAGGACTTGGCTTCGACACACTTGGAACCGCCTTGCTTGGCATACCTCAAGGTGTTTTGGTTGTGATTTGGATCGGCCTGGGGGCGGTGGCGAATCATTACATGCCTCCAAACAGCCGTACGCTTGTTTGTGCTGCCTTCATGATTCCTACTATGGCTGGCGCATTAGGATTCTTGCTGGCACCCCCAGATGCTTATGTGGGACGGTTGATTTGCTTGTAAGCACTACTAGCTCCGATTCACAACCTGCATTTTAGATCTCAAACTGATGTGGATATATAGCTACCTTACTGGCTCCTACCAAGCATCCTTCGTGATCTGCCTCTCCCTGGTTACAAGTAACACGGGAGGTCATTCCAAAAGGATGATCGTGTCTGGAATTATTTGGTTCGGATCCTGCGTTGGCAGTATTGCCAGTCCCTTCTTCTACAAGACATCGCAGGCGCCTTCGTACCAACTGGGGATTGGTTCATTGTTAGTTACAAATGTGATTGAGTTTTTTCTGTTCTTCGTCTTCCGCTTCGCTTTCAAGTGGGAGAATAGACGAAAAGAGAAAATACGCAGTGCGCTGCGAGAGAGTGGGAGCCTCGGGGATGATTCTGAAGCCCTCAATGCTACGGCTTTCCAAAATCTCACAGACAAAGAGAACCCGAACTTCGTGTACTGCTACTAAATAAGTCTCAGAGAAAGAAATAGAAAAATTCGGATGCATATCGTACCTCACTGATAAGGACATCAAGGAGAAATGCAAGGGTCTGGTCGACTTGTTGCTAGAAAGGGAATACGTGGAAAAAGGGGAAATGGGTGAATTTTTTCTTTTTGGGAGCGAATCGCCTGGTACAAAAGCAGTTTAGTCGTCTACGGCACTCGATAGGGGCGATTGACCCAGTGCAGCCCTAGACTGTCCCAGAAGTTTTAAGGCTCTGCCACCCCCTCAGCGAAGCTATTTTACCTATCCAAATTGCTTGATACTAACTATTCAGGGTACTGGCTATATAAGATACCGAGTATATTCCCAAATAGTATAATGCTTGTATATTTATTACTAGTACTGGCTATCTACTAGAGACATTCGAGCACTAACTAAGTGCTAATACTTCCTGGGCTTGACTATAGATAGTATACAGCTAATTAGCTAGTTACACCAGGCAATAGTCCATCTCCAAAAGTGTATAGGAAACATTCGTATTTGAGGGACGCTGCCACTCTAGCAGAAACACTGGGTCGATTGCCGCTAGTTATAAAGCGCCGTGAGTTGTCATTTGTCTGAGAGGCCCAGAATTGGGATTGCTTTCCTCATTTAAGTAACATGCTTTGCGTAAATAAAGAAACAGAACATTTTCTATAGTTAGGCCCCATCACACCTCACTAAATACAACTTCTCATGCTGAGAATTGACGCAGAGAAATGCCGTATATGCCGGATAGCTTAAAAAAGCATGCCCTTGGTCTGTATAATGTGCTTGATGTTGCGGTCTTTGATAACTGCCATGCAAATCAGACCCAAAGACATGATACAAACACCTGCAATCAACATATACTTGTTCGTAGCCGCATATGCCAGGCTGGTAGCCTCTCGCGTCGGATCACCCACGGGGTAGCTCAATGCGACATCGAGACTACCGAAAATGTCTTCCCACTGGTCAGCGGTACTGTCAGGGAGTCTCCTCTGAAGTTCACCTGGTAAGACATTATTCCAGATAGCACCCGCAATGCAGCCTCCAATAGCGCCACCCATATAGCCAAACAGTCCCAGCAAACCCAAGAGAGCTGCGATATCGTTGTGCTCGGCGGACGCCATCAGAGCAACCTGCTCACCGATAGTAATGACACCACCACCCAGGGCAATGAAAATCTGGCACATGATGATATAGCCAATACCGTTTCCGGGCTGGCGGAAATAAATCATCAAGCCAACGCCGAGAATGTACATCGGAACTCCCCACATAAGCACCCACTTATAACGACCGGTGTAGCTGATCAAAGCGCCGACGATTAACAGCTCAACACCAGCAACCACGTCGTAGATGCTTCCAATATAACCAGCTCCAGCAAGGGATGTATTATACACGACCTGCAGGTATGAGGAAAACTGCTGGTACCAGCAATAATAGGCAATCTGGTAGACAAAGTCCAACATGCAAGCACCAATGACGGATCGACTGGTCAGCAGCGACCAGGGAACGAACGGCGAACGAGCACCGAATCTCTCCCAGAAGGGGAAAGCGACAAGCAGGACAAATCCGACAATCAGCATGGCGATAATGTTGCCGCTTCTCCATTTGTCTTCCGCATCGGCGGCGATGATAAACGGTAGAAGGAAAAGTATGAACCCAGCGACCAGGAGGATGACACCCACAGCTAGAGAGTGTAAGTCACTAAATTGCCCAAGCTAAGTTGGACGGGGTTATTCATACCATCAAACTCGATAAAGTAATGGATCATGCTTTCAGTCCACGTCCGACCGCTAATCTGACGAGGGGCGAGTCCATTCTTCTTCGCCTTGCGCTTACCCAGGGTCATCATGATGATCATGGGCGCAGCGACCACGGGGAGAATAATGGCCCAGGCGCCGAAGCCCCAGCGCCAGTTATCAGCGTAGATGGTCTCTGCTGCTTTGGGGCCGCCAAAAGCGGTGATGATGTAGGGGGATGAAGTGAATGCAAAGGCCAAGCCACGATTTCGCAATGTCGAAGTATCGGCGGTGACTACATCAACACAGAAGGTCATTCCGGTGAAGCCGATGGAGTAAAGGCACTAGAATAGGCTTCTGTTAGCCATGACAACTCATACAGTCAAAGTAAAGTAACGATCTGAGGTTTACATTGGATGCGGCATACAGCTCAAAGCTGTTGGTAGCTGCCATGAGGATCATGCCAAGAATGGCGATCGAAAGCATCAGTATGAATCCAACAGTGCGATCCCAGATGTTCAAGATTTTGGCGACGGGCATGTAGGTAGCGCCAGTCAAGACCTGAGTCACGACAGTGATGACCGACATCAGAGAGTGGTCGTTGAATGAGCTGGATACATAAGGCGTAAGATTGTTTGACAATGATGCCTCGAAGGCATTGCTGAAATACAACAACCACATACTGTGTGATGAGTGAGTATAAGGGTTCATTCTTGTTGGCGGTAATTCAATACAATGACCTACCTCATGTAAACTATAATGAGAGAAGACTTGGTCCACGACAGGGTGATGGCCTCCGCAGACTTGACACCATATTGGGCATTGTAGTCAGGAAGATCCGGATTGTGGGCCAAATCCTCACCATCGGCGGGGATCTCTTTCTGACTCTCAACATTGACATTCATCTCCGATTTAGAGACTTTTGCCTCCTGGGAGAACTGGTGGTCGGCCATGACGATATCGAAGCCACTTGACGATCAACGACCAAAAAGGCTTGAAAATTGACACCAGGAGCTGCGGTTGGAGGAAATCGAAAGAAGGATGAAAAGTTTAAGACTTCTGATCAGCGCGCCGAGAAACGAGCAAGGTTGCCACGTTAATAAGCTCATCGGGATCAACTGATCTCGGAGATTCACGCCAAACTTTCCGCATCCTGCGTATGTTGGCCCCAATTGTGTATAAACCCCTGCACTTCTCATGCACATCAATCGATCCCTGTCGTAGAAATTGAATCCTGGAACCTAAAATCATGCATGTCCGACCACTCAAGCAAGACCAACAGCCCGGTAAAGGATCGGAAAGACCATTCTCACAGCCAACCATCTAATCTGATCCCACGTTTGCGGGTGTTGGGTGGGGAAGGGTCGCAGGGTCTCAGTTTGTGAGCCGCTCTACACGCGGGTCCAGCTTGGGGGCAAATGCGAGACATACCAATCAAATGGGTCGGCAGTGCAAACGTAGCAAGGGCACTTATCATCCTTGGGTGAGGTTGGAGCCCCAGGCGGCTCTCTCATTTGCCAGAAAGCGATTGATTGTCACCCTGCTCCATCGCCCACCGAAGTGCCAAGACGTTCCAGTTATTTCTCCCTTGATTTTCCGAGATGGAGATGATCAGATAATTCCAAGTTGTGTTATAGCTCGTCCATGGTTGCAGACCACTGTGCTCCTTGTCAATTATGGGCGTGCCCACAGGCAATACTGCATCATACAAACGATGCAGTGGTCGCAATAGACTTTTGGCTACTAATTTCTCGATCGATATAGGGGAAACTATCTATAGAACAAGGCTTTCATATTCACTGCAGCTCTCATTAATGAGATCAGCATACTAGTCCCTATGGAGTAACTGAAACGGTCTTCTCCGACAGCTTTGCCTCCGCGTCGGAGTCGAAGATGGGGCCAAATCTCAGCTACCTCAGCTACCTTAGCCAAGACAAAGCCACAATGCTTTTTTTTCAGGGGATGGCCATCAATCATTTACGCAATTGCCGCGGCGGCCGGCCAAACTAGGCTCGCAAAATCTTGAAACGCAGTGTACGTGGTGGATGTTTACTTCGGACTCGGTGACTATTACGGCGACCAGAATGGGTCGTGGATGTCACTCGGGTAAGTCATCATGATGTGATAAGATGGTGGGGTGTGGATATCCTCCTTATTTTGTACTACTCGTAGGGCGTGCTATTGCTCGCACTCCTGTGCGGTAAGCCTATAATATAATATATCTTGCTACGCGAACCGAATCGACAGAAGATCTTTCCGCATTCCGTCTTGACCGCGTACATGTCAAAATCGATGTTTCGGACGGAGTGTCCACCGCCAAGTGCGAGTCGGATGCAGGGACCTGACAGCTAGGGCTGTCTGGACCTCGCTAACCGAAAAACACCCGATCATTTTACTGATGGTGGGTTGCACGATGGATCTGATAATCATTTCCCCGTTCGTGCGTCTCGGTGGTGTGTTGTGGCGGTAATGCGGGACCGCGTTGTGTAAATCTGAAACAACATCTAACCGTCAGTAATAAAAATGCGTTTCTGTAATACCAGCTTCATACAGCACCAGCGAGTACAAGCTTATACAATACCAAGCGGTAACCAAGCTCCATCCTGCATCTCTTGGCGCTGGGCATTAGGGGCTTCTAGCCTGATGAAATTGTGTACAGTATGGAATTGTCTTTACCAGATACCAGATATATTATTTTTGGCGATGTTGTATTGTGTTATTTTCCGCGCTGGCCGCGTTGGCAGTGTCGGTTAAACTTTCAATTTGTCTAACATATGCAGCCTTGTGGAAAAGCTGAGATCGTGCGAACAAAGCGAGTAATCTAGACTAAAGTCGACGTTGCATTGCATTGCATTGCATGGCCCAGAACGCAGCATCAATTAAAACCCACTCCATGGCAATTGGATGGTAATTGAATTGGCTAAGGACAATGAAAGTGGCATATACAACTTGAACCTTGGAATGTTGAAATAGGTATATGCGATCGTGATATAATTTCTATAAAATTTGAACGCCCAGGTTCATTCTATATACATGGCTTCGTGATGATTACAGCTTGCTATCAACCCACTGGGGCTCGCGCTTCTCAGTAAAAGCCAACAGACCCTCTCGTATATTTTCGCCATCATTCAATGCTCCCTCCCAATTTTCACTCAAGAGACGACTGGCGTTTTCCGCGCTTCCGTCCTCCCAACCCGCCACAATTCCAGCACGGCTGATAATAACACTGTCGGGGCTATTATCGCAAATACTAGCAGCGTATTTCAAGGCCGCCTTCACAACCGGTCGGTCCAGAATTTCATCATCGGCCGCGCCATCCTCCGTCACCGCATTAATCAACCCCCACTCCTTGGCCTCGGCAGCAGTGATACTCTTTCCAGTGAGAGCGAGTTCCGTGGCCCTAGGTCGACCAATAGTCCGAGCAAGTCTGGGCAGCGAGCCGGCCATAGCGACCACACCTCGCTTGGCCTCGGGTAACGCAAAGAGTGCACTCTTGGCAGCAACAACGAGATCCAGGTTGGAGACGATCTCCATACCACCTCCAAAAGCGATACCATTCACGGCAGCAATAATAGGTTTCTTTCCATGTCGTCGTGAAAGCGCGCCGAATCCAGATCGTGGCATTGGTGCCCCGTTGCTGTGTTCGCCCTTTGCTCGCCGAATGCTGACCTCGTTCCACTCCTTCAGATCCATGCCGGCGCAGAATGCGCGCCCAGCGCCGGTGATAATGGCGCAGCGTAGCGACGGCTCACTGTCATACCATGCAAACAGTGTTTCGAGGTCATATTGGGCCGCACTGGTCATGGCATTGAGGGCTTTTGGCCGGTTGAACACGACCAGCATGACATGTGGCGCTGGGAATGAAACATAAGCATAAGATTGCGGTGGCGGTAACCGCTTGAAGGAAGTTGATGAACCCATGGCAGATGTTGTAGAGCTCTACCCTAAATTGAAGTCGTTGGATGTCGAGTCAGCTTTGCAGTAGTCAGGGCTGTGGTAATATGCAAATGACAGCGTGCTGCGTACGTCCCTTTTGACCCGCCTTGTTGAATTGGGAGCTAGCGGTGGTATTGATGGAAGATTTGAATTTTTTTGAATCGTAATACAATAGTGCCGAGGTCATGAATATTATCTGATGCGGTTTTAATCTGATTATTATTACCTGTACTCAGTACTCTGTACTTCGTATTCCACATCGTCTTCAGGTGGATTGTATTACAGTGGCTGCGCCCTAATTACGGCGGGGCGCATACGAACGTATTGAAAACTCGTATCCACGGAATACGTAAAGCATAATTTATCTGATTACGGGTATCTGATTAATCTGATAAAAAAAATTTCCGCTTGGGCCTTGGTGACTGTTTTCTCCACCACCAAAAATTCCGATTCCCGGGTTATCACCCCTTTTGTAGAACATCAGCTTTGATCGAGTCAGCCAAGGCGGCATGTATACGATTACCCACAGCAGTGGAGGTTCAACCAGGCTGCAGTAGCGTGTTCTTGGGAATTTTCTCTCGGCCATGCAAATGCCAAGATCGCTACGACCATCGTCATGCTCTGAGTTTGGACCACGAGCCCAAAGTAGAGTTTTTTACGCAAGCAAGTGGATCGTCACAGGATTCATGAAACCAAGCTTATACTTACGAGACCAAGCTTATACAAGGATTGACCTCTAAGTTACCCGGACAGGTAGCCGGCGGGAAATTCCGTGCCTGGGTCTCGTACATGACTCCAATACTGTATGTAAATGCCCTCTGCCTCGTGTATCCATTCCTATAAGGACGGAAACATGTGGGCATCGACTGAATTCACGCCGGCGCTGCTCCACCGGCCAAGTCTTGCTAGTAATTTCTTTTTGGGTCCTGGTCCTTGCGCTGAATTGCGCGGTCTTCCGGCTGTCACTTCGTCGTTTGATCTTATCAGATTTTTTTTTCTTTTCTCAGCTCGACAGCTTGTGGTTAATGTCGATCCGGTATCGGCCCACTGCGTTCTAGCTCTTTTTGCTGAATACGAAGCTGGCGAGGGACTTGAAACTTAGATTGCGCCAACCCCAATTGGAGAACTGAAGAAACGCAAAGGTCTCGGAATCGAGCTTTAGACTTCTCCAAAAGTCGCGCCCTGCCCTTTTGAAAACAGCGTCATTGCTGTGCAAGGCATTTCCCACTCGCCATGGCTGATGCGACGACTCCAGCAGAGACGCCAGCGGAGACACCCGCAAAGGAGAGCTTCCGCGTGGTAGACAAGGTATGCTGTCGCGAACTCCATGGCGCGCGTGAGTGCGCGCGCATGAACAAGAGAGAGCTAAGCTAACCCCTCCTACAGATGAAGGACTTTTTTACCTACTTTTCTATTTACTTCCGGACAAACCCATCAAATTTCGACATCCTACTGCTCGTCGGTGGTGTGGTGTGCGCCATTGCGTCCGGTATCCCCTTTCCACTTCTTGGTATTATATTCGGTCAACTTATCGACAACTTCAACTCGGAGAGTTGCGCGGCAAGCGAAACTCTCGATGCCGCAACCCAGGCTTCTTACCAGTCCGAGGTTAATGGTAAAATACTCTATGTCTTGTACCTCGCCATCGCTCAGTTTGGGTTCATGTACATCCATCTCGTCTGCTGGTCAATGGGCGGTGCTCGACTCGCTCAACGATTGCGCGAACTTTATTTCCAGAACCTCCTGCGTCAAGAGCCCTCGTTCTTTGATAACCTCCCATCTGGCGAGGTGTCTTCTCGATTGAATAGTGATATCCAAACCATTCGCTCCGGTACTTCGGAGAAGGTTGGTATTTGCATCTCTAGTGTCTCGTTCTTCGTGACGGCCTATGTGGTCGCATTCATCAAAGATACGAAGCTGGCAGGAATTTTGGTCTCACTGCTGCCCGCCTACTTCATAATGTCCATCGGAGGCGGCTGGTTCATTGAAAAGTATTCCAGCCGAGTATCTGATTGCTTTGCGGCATCTTCGTCCATCGCATCAGAGGGCTTGTCAAATGTGGCAGTTGTGCATGCATTCAACGCCAACGAAAGACTGGAGGCGAAATTTACCACCCATCTGCGCACTGCCAGAGACGAAGGCATGAAGAAAGCCTTGGCAACCGGTATCCAAGCTGGATTGATGTACTTCATCGCCTACTCCGCCAACGCCTTGGCTTTCTGGCAGGGAAGTCGCACTATTGCCGATTCTGTCGCGAAGTCGAGCTCTAATGGCGGTGGCGGTGCTTCTGTTGGATCCATCTTCACTGTCATTTTCTTGCTCGTTGATGCTACCCTAATTCTCAGTCAGGTGGCTCCATTCTTGCAAATCTTCGGCGCTGCATCTGCGGCTTTTAGCAAGTTGAAGCGGGATATGGACCATAAGTCTCTTATTGACGGTACCTCTACTGAGGGTCTTGATGTTCCTTCTACCACTCCCGGTCATTTTGAGCTGCGCAATGTGTCTTTCACCTACCCTTCTCGACCTGAGCGACAGGTCCTTCGCAACGTGTCTCTGGAATGTCCTGCTGGCAAGCAGACCGCCATCATTGGTCTGTCGGGTAGTGGTAAATCTACCATTGCTAGCTTGATGCTTCGACTATATGACCCATTGGAAGGCTCACTCCTACTGGATGGCCAGGAAATCCGAGGCCTGAACACACGCCAGTTGCGCAGCTGCATCGGCATGGTCCAACAGGAGGCAACTCTTCTGGACCGTTCTATCTTGGAAAACATCGCGCACGGTCTAGTCAACTCTGCAAAGCACGAACACCTTGGTAATGCTCTGATGGGACCTTCACTCGCCGAAGCGGCTGCTGCTATCCGAGGCGGACAGGACGCCACTGAGGCAGCTCAAGCCTATGGCACTGACGTGGTGGAGATTATCGGCATGGTCCAGCACGCTGCTACCCTCGCCGATGCTGCACGCTTCATTGGTAACTTGTCAGAGGGCCTGGGAACGATCGTCGGATCGAACGGTACTTTGCTGAGTGGTGGTCAGAAGCAGCGTATTGCTGTTGCTCGCGCACTTGTTAAAGATCCCAAGATCTTGATTTTGGACGAGGCCACCGCTTCCCTTGATTCCAAAAGTGAGAAGGAGATTCTCGCGGCTGTGGAACGCTGCTCTGAGGGTCGTACTATGATCTCTATTGCTCACAGACTCTCGACTATCCAGAAAGCTCACAAGATCATCGTCATGCGCGATGGTGTTATCGTCGAGGAAGGAAACCACGGTGAACTCATGGAGAAGCAAGGGGCTTATGCGGGCCTTGTCGGCCTCCAGAATCTCAACACACAGCCTTCGGACAAGCAACTTGATGCCCAGTCGGGCGATATCACGGAAACGGAGCAATCTGGCGATGATGCAGAATCGACTGAGTCGGCTTTGGGCAAGGGCAAGGAGCAAATCTCCGTCGATGCGACTGAGAAGGCCGATGACTCGTCCCCGCCCACATCTTCAGGCGACGAGTCCACAAAGCCCCGGAATAAGTCCGTCTGGCACTTGATGAAGGGTGTTTACCCCATCATGCGTCCCTATATCCTCATTGCCTTGCTGGCTCTCCTTGGTGCCAGTATCGTCGGTGCGGCCTTCTCGATCGAAGCTGTGATTTTCGGTAACACCGTTGGCAGCCTGACACCCTGTGAATCACCCGATTATATCCGGTCGCGTGGTGAATTCTTCGGCTTGATGTTCTTCATCCTGGCCATTGTTGAGTTCTTCGCCAATATCGCCAGCTGGGTTGGATTCGGCTGGGTGTCGGAGAAGTCCATCTATAACATCCGCATTCTGCTCTTCCGCTCTCTTTTCGAACAGGACTTGCAATGGCATCAATCGGAGTCTCGGACGCCGACTGGATTACTTGGATATATTACCAATGATGGCAGTCTGATTGCCGGCCTCAGTGGATCTGTGATTGGTACCATCTTCTCCATCTGCATTAACCTCGTCATTGCTATTGTGATGACTCTCTGCATTGCCTGGAAGATGGCTCTTGTCTGCATCGCTGTCGTGCCTCTACTTCTGGGAGTTGGATTGATGGAACTGAACGTCCTGGCCAAATTCGAAGAGAAGCACGAGAACGCATTCAACAAATCCGTCAGCATCAGCGTCGAGGCAATCAATTCGATCAAAACAGTTGCTGCCTTATCACTTGAGAACGAGACATTGGCCGTCTACCGCCGTACACTATCTGGACCACGTCGCGAAACGACCCAGATTAGTCTCTGGGCAAACTTATGGCTGGGCCTAGCCTTCTTCATCGGTAACCTGTCCTACGCTCTAGCTTTCTGGTGGGGATCAAAGCAGATCTTCAATGGCACCTACAGCGAGACCCAATTTATCATCGTCATGTTCGCACTCCTAGTCAGCGCCCAACTCTGGAGTCAAATGTTTGCCCTTGCCCCAGAAGTATCCAACGCCCGCGCCGCAGTAGCCAGAGTTCTACAAATCCTCGAGCTAGGCCAATCAGGCCTGTCTTCCAAGGTCAAAGCCCTACCCGAATCTTCTACCTCACCCTCATCATCCGAAAAAGACGTCGAATCAACCGGAGAAACCAAATCCTTCTCGCCAAACGCACAAGGCGGCGTCGACGTCGAACTCCGCGACGTGAAATTCTCATATCCAGCCCGCGCCCACGCCCCGGTCCTCCGCGGCTTAAACATCCACATCAAACCCGGCCAATTCTGCGCCTTAGTCGGTCCCTCCGGCGCAGGAAAGTCGACAATCATCTCACTCGTGGAAAGAATGTACCTCCCCAGCTCGGGAGCAATTCTCGTCGACGGAACGGACATCACTCAAAGAAGCGATATAACCTTCCGCGACGAAATCGCTCTCGTCCCACAAGAAGGCACCTTATTCGAGGGCAGTGTTCGATTCAACATGTCACTCGGAGCCCGACCTGGCACCGAAGTCTCAGAAGAAGAGATTGTCCAAGCGTGCAAATTAGCCAATATCCATGACACGATTAACAGTCTTCCGGACGGGTATGACACGGAGTGTGGTGCCAATGGCAGCAAGTTGTCTGGTGGTCAGAAGCAGCGATTGGCTATTGCTCGTGCCCTGGTGCGCAAACCACGACTGCTTATCCTGGACGAACCGACTAGTGCGTTGGACGCTGAGTCTGAGAAACTTCTTCAGGAGGGACTGGAGGTTGCGTCGCGGGGTATTAGTGTGTTGGCGATTGCTCATCGTCTTAATACTATTCGCAAAGCTGATAAAATTTATATGATTGAAGCTGGTGTTTGTGTTGATTCGGGGACTCATGAAGAGCTGTTTGCGCGGTCTGAGAATTATCGGAGTAATGTGCTCAGCCAAACATTTGAGGGTTGAAAGGGGGAAAGGGAAAAGGTTCCCTGATCTTCAAGTTCTTTCTTTCTTTGCATTTCCTTTTCTTATATACCTTTAGACTTTTTGCATTGCATATAACATTCTTTGGATGTAATTTATAGATTACTTCAAGTTCATTTCAATCAAGAAATTAATTGCATTTCATTTCGTGCGAAGGGATATCTCTTCATACTGGTATCTGCTATATACACTAGCGAGTCGTAATTATTCAATCGAAATGAAACAAGTAACAGTACTATGTGCGATGTTTCAAGAATAAAGTCCAGAAACATGACGGGAAGAAGACAAAACCACGATAGTACCCCTTAAAACATTTTATAACCCAGACCCAAGCAAAGTTCAATTCAATTCAATTCATAACACATTCACAGCCTCGGCTTAAAGCCCAACCCAGTACCCGCAATATGCGGTGTCCCCTGGTTAAACGGACAAAGCTGGAAGAATCGCTCACGCGTACACTTAACCAAACTAGCACGCTTATGGGGCAAATCAATGACCTGATCCTGATGCAAACCGAAGGTATAATCATAAGTGAGGACCTTATCATTAGTAGACATAGGTTCACCAATGACATTCTCCGTGCGATGATCGTCGAGGAAACAGTAGTGAATCATACTAGGCCACCAAGCCATAACACGATGGGGACCACGGAATGCATCATTTCCAACAAGAGTATGCCGGCCGCGATCGAAGTCTCCCGAAGCATAATGCGCGCCGACATTATCCTCCTTGCTCCAGAAGATCTCATAATAGCTGAAGAACGTATCGTTGAACCGGCCCAGAACAGTCAGGGTGTGCGGGTCCTCGTGCTGGCGACGCAGATAATCGCGGTGTTCGTCCAGGGTACCAGTTTCTTTCCAACCGGCCGCGACGCGAGGGTCATTCTGCCATGTGTGGAATAAGTTTAAATGCTCCGGATTCTGATAATCGAGCGCAATAAGCGAGAAATGCTCATCTAGAAATGGGATGTAGCGACTGTAAACAACATGGCCGGGAGTAGGCTTTGGATGACGGCGTGGGTGGCGACGATGCACCGTCTCGGTTGAGGTCATTGTGTAGTCTCAGGCTGGGGACGGCGACCGCGGGGTTCCAGCTTGGTAACCAGATCGGCTGTCCACCTAGTGGCGAGGCGCAACCTTGCCAGAAAGCGCTGCGCATGACGAGGAGCTCGTTGGGGATGGTCTCGTAGGTTGTTGCGCTGCTCACGGGCGCTGGGTGGTCGATTGCTACCATTGACAGGCGGAGAGCGAGTGCGAGAGACTCGGCCTCGGGACCTTGGAGCTGGATGCGGAATGTCTCGATTTGCTCTTGCACTGTGAAGATGGAGTAGAGGAATAGCCAGATTTGGCCGACTGTGGGTGCGGAGGAGGTTTCCCAGGTTGCAATGCTTGCTGGGCTGCGCTGGGCGCGCGCCCAAGCTGTATTGTTGGAGGTTGTCACTGCGGTCTCTGGGTTTACGGGCTGTGGAGCGCTGAAGTAGAGCTGGCCATTCTCAAGCTCATGGGGGAAAGGCTGAGCTTCGCCGCCAGAGGCCTTGTGTAGCTGGAACAAGCGGTTTCCATCGTTGAGCTTGCTGGAGGGTACCAGATGGTAAGTGGTGAGGTAGGGATGCGGCAGCCGAATCTTGATCGGCGCCAATTCCTGGGAGCTGGCCATTTTGTATTGTGGGTGTGAGGGGAATGTGAATTGAGTTTCAACTTTCGTGAAGATCAAGCAATAGCCAAGGGACAAGGTTTCCTTCAGACACTTATAATGTCGGACACAGCCTGCCTTGGCCCAGCTTCCACATGCCCCCGAAAAGCTCCGTGGGCAGCGCCAGCCGACCTCGCTCAACGTAAGAGCTTGCCACGATACGTATTATGTTCTCCGGTAGTGCATCCAGATCCGAATAAGTCGGTCATCATGCACAAAGTGGAGAATCTGGGTCCCTTGGCGGAGTTTTGGGAAATGGAGGAGGCAATCGAGGCGATGATCAGTACGGGGGCCCACTGTACATACGTCTCGGTATGTTCCGCCTAGGGCTATTCGGATAACGGAAGAACAGAAGACTTCTCAGGAGATTATCCGCGTCAGATGCAGACTTGGAAATTGAGCCCGTGGCTCAAGTTGATTGCCAAGATCCTTGGCCGATCGCATTCTGCGATGCAGCCCTGCAGCCCTGCAGTCCTAGAGCTGGGAGGTTTTGATGCACGAAGCGACACCATGCCACATGTTGTGTTTCCTGGCTGCAGGCAGTCTTCTTCTCGGACATAACTACCCTTTTGCTCTCTCTTTGATTGAGAAATAAAAATCACTGGATTCGTGCGAGTATCCTCACTGCAAAGATCGGCATCAGCAGCGGTGGGGTATAAAGTGAGACAAAGTCGATAATTTACGCTTATACACGTATCGATTAAATACTATAATATACACTAATACTTGTGGCTGTAAGATACGAGTGACAATACCAAAATACCGGGAATACCTGGGAACTGCCAATTATTACCATACAAGTATGGAACGTAATCTTATCTTTACAGCCACTGCCCATTGGCACTCACAATCGATCTTGCACTAACTTCCTCTGGTCAAAGTGTTTTATTTTCTTCAGCTACAACCGGTGACACACCCGATGATGTCCACCGTGGGTCTCCCTAAACCCCGAACACCCGGCCCAGGGCTCGTGTTCTGGAAAAGCAATGCGATGGGTGGAGGGAGCTACCTGGAAGAGAAAAGCGTCTCGCGCGCGCTCTTTCGACCTTGAATAAGTTGAATTTGGACTTGGACTTGGATCGGCCCTTTCGAGTCCTGACTTCCATCATACTTCGACACAATGGCGGGCGCCGTTTTTTCCTCCCAGCGAGGCGCGCCAAAAGGTCTGGCCAGATTTGCCCGCTTCGATGTGCCCCTCCTGCGGGCGGCCGAATATCGCGGCCACGAGGTCGATCTTCTGCTGCTTGCATGGGCCCTGCTGCTCTATCGCTATAGTAATGGCAACCCCGTAGAATTCACCTGGGGAAGAAATGGCACCGCTGCTGATTTCACCTTTAACTGTGGTACCTCCAACTTGAACTGGAGCTTGACCCAGACCATTGAGAAGGCCTTGGAGGGTTTGCGATCATACCGAGAACAGATTCAAGCCGGCAAATTGGTGGAGCTGGATAGTGCGATTGTGTTCTTCAATGATGAGTGCGCCCCAACTGATCTTCCCAGCAATGCCTGGGTCAGTGACGGCGATGCTCTTGGTGGTGGGATGGCATGGGTAAGTCAGACAGAGGATAACTGCACGGCGTAACAACAAGTTGAACGGAGATCTAATCCGTACGTTTATTTTAATTAGGGAAATATTCAACTCCAAGCAACCATCTCAGATGGCAGTCTGTGGTTGCGACCCTGCTGGCGCGAACCGCTCGGCGCAGAGTACCTTGCGACACACTATGCGAACGCCCTGGTCGAAATACTCAACACACTCGTCTCCGACCTATCAAAACCTATCTCATCCGTGCTGGAACTGAGCGAGACTGACCGATCTGAACTTTGGCGCTGGAACAAGGATATGCCTGCCACAGAAGATGTCTGTGTACAAGACTTGATATTCGAGCAAGTCGAGAAGCAGCCGACAGCTCAAGCGATCTGCTCATGGGATGGCAATCTCACCTACGAGGAAATTGGCCGATATGCAACTTTACTTGCCCACCACCTTGTTCGAATAGGAATGAAGACTGGCCAGATTGTCCCCATCTGCTTTGAAAAGTCGCGCTGGACAATTGTCGCGGTGCTTGGTGTCTTGAGAGCCGGAGGCGCCATGGTGCTGATGGATCCCAGCCAGCCTCTTGACAGACGCCACACGATTGCCGAGCAGGTTGGCGCAACTTTGATCGTGACATCTCAGACACATGCGCCCTTTGCCCCCAAGATCGCACCAAGTGCCAAGGCGGTGGTCGTCTCCCAAGACACGCTGGACGAGCTAGCGGAACAGGCGACCAAGACCGCCAAGCCTGAACTTCCAGTCGTTCCTACCGACTCTATTCTCTACTTAATCTTTACTTCTGGAAGTACGGGTAAACCCAAGGGTGTCATTATCAATCACCGTACTTACACCACGAGCGCGATTGCGCGAAGTGCCGCTGTAGGCTATACTGCCAAGTCACGAGTGCTTGATTTCGCGTCATATGCATTTGATGTCAGTGTTGATAGTATGCTGTGTACGACGCTGCGCGGTGGTTGCCTGTGTATTCCCTCTGATGAGGACAGACTGAATGATATCAGCGGTGTGATTCGCCGGATGGGAGTGACCATGTCCAATATGACCCCGTCGGTCGCACGCATTCTAGACTCCGACATCATTCCCTCTTTGGATAGTCTTGGTCTTGGTGGAGAATCATGCTCTGTCGGAGACGTGTCTGAATGGGGTCAGTATACAAGAATTGTGATCGGATATGGTCCCTCAGAGTGTACAGTTGGGTGCACAATCAACTCGAGTGCGGCAGGCAAACCATATGTCAGCATTGGACCTGGCAATGGAGGTATCATTTGGTTGACCGACCCAGATGACCACAACAAACTGACTCCAATTGGTGGTGTTGGTGAGCTACTGGTCGAAGGACCGATTGTCGGTCAGGGTTATCTGGGTGACCCCGAGAAGACTGCTGCCGCATTTATCGAGGACCCCGCTTGGCTCCTTGCCGGTAGCAAAGAAGTCCCGGGACGCAAAGGCCGATTGTATAAGACAGGTGATCTGGTCCGTCATGACCCAGACGGTGAACAAGGGTTTATCTTTGTTGGCCGAAAGGACACACAGGTCAAGCTCCGCGGACAGCGCGTTGAGCTTGGCGAAATTGAACATCACCTGCGACGACTTCTCCCATCGGGGACCGATGTGGTCGCTGAGGTTATTGCGCCACAGGGCCGGAGCACGGAGTCAATGCTTCTTGCATTCGTTGCAGACCCCAACGCCGAGAAGCCTCAAAATGTTAAGGATAATGAGCTTCACCAGATCGAGTTCTCTTCCGCAATTCGTGAGAAGATGACTGACCTCAGCGAGCAGCTGTCCAAAGCTCTCCCGATCTACATGGTTCCCTCGACCTATATTGGTATCAATCGTATGCCAATGCTTGTCTCAGGCAAGATTGATCGCAAGCTGTTGCGTGCGTTCGGATCGCAGCTAACTCTGCAATCCAACTCTGAATCTTCCGGTGGGGAGAGCCAGGAGCCCACCTCGGAGACAGAGATCTGCTTACATGAAGTTTGGTGTCGTCTTCTGGGATTGAAGGCAGAAGAAGTTAGCACTACTCACAATTTCTTCATTCTGGGAGGAGACTCTGTTCTGGCTATGAAATTAGTGCCCGCCGTTCGTGAGCAAGGATTCGTGCTGACTGTGGCGGATATATTCAGCTTCCCTGTTCTATCAGACATGGCACGAGCAATGGAGAAGGAAGAGGCAAACTCGCAGGTCGAAGTTTCTCCGTTTTCCCTCATTGACTTTGCCTGGGACCGTAAGGCCGTTTGTGAAGAGGCCGCTAACCAATGCGGTGTTGAACTCTCTTCGATCGAAGATATATATCCCTGCACACCTCTGCAAGAAATTCTCATGGCATTTTCTGCCCGCTCCGCTGAGAGCTATGTCGCGCAACGAATTGCGGAAATTCCCAATGAAGAGACAGCTGACAAGTTGAAGGAGGCCTGGGATGTTGTCATCAATGATAGCGCGATCTTGCGCACTCGTGTCGTCGAGTTCAAGGAGCACGGCTTCATGCAAGTCGTCATCACGGATACTCCAGAGTGGCAGTCTAGCCATCTGAGTCTTGAGGAGTTCCTGGTGGACGACCAAAAGACCCCGATGTCTGTCAATATGCCCCTAAACCGGGTCTCAATCGTCCACGATGATGCTGCGAGCAAGATCTATTTCGTCTGGACAGTTCATCACGCCATCTACGACGGCTGGTCGACAGACCTGATGGTCGAGCATGCAAAGAACGCCTACAAGGGCGTCCCTACTACCCGATCAGCCGGGTTCAAGCACTTCATTCAGTTCCTTGTCGATCCTGCAAGAGAGAGCTCAAAAGACTACTGGCGTGTTCAGCTTCAAGGCGCAACCGGCCCCCAATACCCATCTCTACCATCGCGCATGTACATCCCCGAGCCCAATGCACTGGTTCAGCGAATTGTCCCTGTAGAGCAGATCTCACGCTCTAGCATTACCACCGCGACTCTCATCCGAGCTGCATGGGCTCTCGTAGCCTCGCAGTACACCATGAGTGACGACGTGGTATTTGGCGAGACATTTTCAGGACGAACACTTCGTCTTCCTGGCGTCGAGCAAATCGAAGGTCCCATGATTGCCACAGTTCCCGTGCGCGTTCGTATCGACCGATCCGCACCCGTTCAGGAATTCCTCCAAGGAATCCAAGAGCAAGGCCTCGTCAGAGCCGCGCATGAGCATCTCGGTATGCAAAACATCCGCCGTGTCAGCGGTGATGCTCAGTTGGCATGCGAGGTGAAGATGGGCTTGGTCATTCAGCCTCGATCAGCGGAAGCCTCAGAGGAATCCGCTGATGGGATGCCTCCTTTCCGCGTTGAAGATGCAGCTCACGAAGCGTTGCGCTTTAATTCTTACCCGCTCATGCTTGCTTGTTCGCTACGCTCCGACGGCTTCGAAGTTACAGCAAGCTTTGATTCGAACCTCATCACCGAGCCCCAGATGCACCGTGTTCTCGCTCAACTTGAATATGTCGTTTCGCAGCTCTGCAGTGATGATACGGCTCAGCTGAGCAATATCACCTGCATGAGCGAGCAGGAGCTTGCCGAAATCTGGTTGAACAACAAGGTTCCGGTATCTTCAGCGCCAGATGTCGCTGGTGTACTACTCGAGGAGACGAGAGGACTTACAACAGGAGATCAGTACAAGACGGCATTTGTTCCCTGGATCGTGAACCCCTCCAACCACAACCAACTAATGCCAATTGGGACCGTGGGTGAGCTCCTCCTGGAGGGCGTGGGGGAAGCCGCAAATCTCGATGCCCCCGAGTGGCTTTCCAAGGGAGCGGGCGATGCTCAAGGCCGCAGCGTGAAGCTCTATCAAACCGGCGACCTTGTCAAGTATGCCGATGACCAGAGCCTGATTTTCATGGGTCGTAAGGAGAGTCTCCGCAAGGTTGACGGCCATGTTATGGACCTTGCTGCAGTGGACCTTCAACTCCGACAATGGCTACCGGAAAATGCCCACTCGGCCAGTCAGCTTATTGTGCCCAAGGACTCGGGCAATCAATCACCAGCACTGGTTGCATTTGTGAGCGAGCCTCCTTCGAAGGAAGGCCGGGTAGTTGACCTTGGGCTCAAGAATCTTAGCGCACAGCTTCCAGTGTCTAATGTCATCTCGTCCGAGCTGGCGGATGCTATTGTCAGCTTGAACAAGAAGCTCGCTGACGTCCTCCCTCCTTACATGATTCCTTCGATCTACATCCCTCTCGAGAAGCTGCCATACCTCGGTGAACAGGTTGATGTCGACTCTCTGAAGGCCATGGCAGAGCACGTCACTCAAGATTTGCTGTTGCAGCTGCGAACGGCTTTCACCAACCTCCGGTCAGGTCGGGCCAAGCAAATGACCATGAAAGAACGAACACTGCGTGGTCTTTGGGCCAAGTCCCTCGGCATGGAAGAAGAGAAGATGGCACTTGATGACAACTTCTTCCGACTGGGTGGTGATTCTATCATGGCTATGAAGCTGGTTTCTGCGTTGCGTCTGGTGGGGTATCATCTGTCTGTGACGGATATCTTCCGCAACATGCAATTGAGTTCCATGGCCGGCGCTTTAGAAGAGGTGCCTTTGAACGGCGAGCGAGTGGTCAAGGTATATAAGCCTTTCTCAATGATCAATGTCAGTGATCGTCAAGAATATTTGTCGAAGAACATTGTTCCCGCCCTTGCCGATCCAGCATGGGATATTGAAGATGTGCTTCCCGCCACAGATCCCCAGCAGCGCGATGTGGAAACGACTGTCTCCAAGCCTCGGAGTGCAATTCAGTATAACATGCTATACTTCAACAAGGATGTTGATATGACCCGTTTGCTGGATAGCTTCCAGAAGCTTGTTTCCGCTCACCCTATTCTGCGGACCATCTTCGTCAAAGAGGGTAGCCGTGTCATGCAGGTTGTACTCAAGGACCTCAAGGCACAGATCTCCGAGTCTACTACAGAAGATCTCGTCTCCGATTTCTGCAAAAAGTTAGCAAAGCAAGACATCGAAGACGGCTCCTCATTCAACCTCGGCACATCATCTCTAAAACTCTTCCTCATCCACGGGACCGAGCAGAAAGCGCTCATGATCCGAATTTCCCACGCCCAATACGACGGAATCTCCTTCCCAGAAATCCTCCGCCAACTCGAGCTCCAATACGAAAATAAAGAACTCGATCAACCATCAACCCCCTTCCACAACTACATCCAATACCAATCCGATTCCAAGCTCGAAAACGTCCAATACTGGCGCGAGGTTCTACAGGGTTCTTGGTTAACTTCCCTCCCACCCGCAGAACCCACCAGCACGCCGCAATTCATCAAGAAAGAAGTCGACCTCTCATCCCGATCTCCGGATACAACAATGGCAACACTCCTCACAGCGGCCTGGGCGCGCGTTCTCTCAACCCATCTAAACACAAAAGATATTACATTCGGAGGCGTCGTTTCCGGCCGAACAGTCGACCTTCCCGACGTTGATAAGATCATGGGCCCGACATACCAGTACATGCCACTACGGGTTAAGTTCGACTCCGGATCTAGCGTGAAGGATCTTCTTGCTGGTGTACGGGATCAATTTCTTGAAGGAAGTCGTCATGCTACGCTAGGCTTCCAAGAAATTTCAGATAATTGTACCAGCTGGTCACCGACAATCCCGTTCTTCTCAAGTATCGTGCATCATCATGATATTGAGTACTTTGATACGATTCCGTTCGCTGGGACTGAGTGTGCTGTTGATTATACGAATCCCCATCCTGAGGCTGCGGATCCGATCCGTGTTACTTCGTACACTGAGGGGGGGTAAGACGTTTGTTGGTATTGCGGCTGATGAGGAGAGGGGGGAGTTTTGGGGGGAGAGGTTGGGTGAGTTGGCTAGTGTTATTGAGGGGTTGGTTAGGGATCCTGAGGCTGTGGTTTAATCCCCTTCCTCTTCCTCTTCTGGTTTCCTTTTCCTTTTTCCTTTTTGGTCTTGACTTGCTGTGCTCTGTACTTTTCATGCCTTGTTGTAATTATGCATACGTGTATATCTGCTGCATTTTCTTTCTGTGACTTTATGTTTTACTAGATCAACTCATTTCTTTTTCGACTTTTGCATGCATATTAATTAGTATGGAAAACCCTTTCAGGACAAAGCCGTGCCGTGGTTCTTGCTCATAATTATTACTTCAAAAAGAAGATCAATATTCCAGCACGTCTTCTAATTCATGTTGAGATTTGCCAACCAATAACTATGGTACTACTAGTACTAAGTCGGAAATCTTATCAATCTGATTATTTCGACCGCGGAACATGTCTACGCCACCGCATCCTCACCTCTACCGACCCAGCTTCCGGACCAAAGCAACAATCTACTACACTTACCCCTTTCATAAGTTAATGTCGGAAACTGCGGATGGCGGAGGCTGTGTAACAATACACGTACTAACAGTGGATCCCGTCACACACATGTACTCCCGTACAGCAAAGCCCTAATTACCGGTTTCCACGGTTTCCACGGTTTCCGCGGTATCCAACGATATCGGCTCTGGCTTATCTGATCACTGCAGACCGTTCTTATCTGATGTGATGACTCTCCCTCCGCAAAATCCTCTGTCCCCTTCTCTTCCCCCCAATTTCCCCCCAATTCAACCCTCCTCCTCCCTCTTACGCCAATTGCCTCCAACATGGAACTCAAAGGCCTCGCAAACCTAGCCCGGGGCCAACCAGGCATCCTCCACCAGATCGTAAGCAATTCTCCTCTCCCATCTCCCCCACCTACACGGACCCCATCCCATCTAACCACTCCTCCCCTAGACATCAAGCCTCGTCTCCTTCGAATTCACCCGCGGCTCCCCCCCGTAAACCCAACACATTAATCTTCGTCGGCGGCCTAGGCGATGGCCTAGCCTCAGTCGAATACCTAGCCGACATCGTCCGCGCCCTAACCGACACCAAATGGACCGTCTTCAATCTAATCCTCTCCTCCTCCTACGGCGGATGGGGCATGGGCCGACTAGGCAAAGACATCGACGAGATCGCCCAAACAGTATCCTACGTCCGCGAATACAAGACTCCCATCTACGGATCCGGCAAGGTAGTCGTGATGGGCCACTCAACCGGTTCCCAAGACGTAATGCACTACCTCAACTGTCCGAACCCGCGACCCGCGCACCCGGTCTTCGACAAGGGCTGTGCTGGTGTGGTTCGGCCCCAGATTGACGGGGCGATTATGCAAGCGCCTGTTTCTGACCGTGAGGGTATTCTTTGGGTTATTAAGTGCGGTACCAAGAGGGATAGTCCTGAGGTTATGAGGGAATTATATAATAAAGCCGTATCTGATGCGAGGGAGAATACGTATGAGGATGATGGGTCTGTTGATACGGTTGTTCCGCTCTCTGTTACTGGACGCATTGGATACCCGTCCACGGCACCGGTTAGTAGTCGGCGGTTTTTGAGTCTCGTTAGTCCTGATTCGCCCGGTGCGCCGGAGGAAGATGATTTGTTTAGCTCGGATTTGAGTGATGAGCAGCTTGGGAAGACATTTGGTCAGGTTGGCGTGAGGGGATTGTTGGGGCATAAGTTGTTGGTTTTGTATTCGGGTCGTGATCAGTCTGTTCCGCCGTGGGTGAATAAGGAGGCGCTTATCAAGAGGTGGGAGAAGGCTATTAATACTGAGGGGAGGGAATATTGGGATCGGAGGAGTATGATTATTCCTGGTGCTTCGCATGCGTTGAGTGATGATGATCAGGCGGAGCCGAGGAGGATTTTGGTTGAGCAGGTTACTTCTTACCTGAAGGATATTGAAATTTCGTGATCTGGGTGTTACATGTACAAAGTTGAAGTTTTTAATACTGGATTAAGTAAAAGCGATTCTTGGCAAGGAATACAACCTTGTAGGGAAAAACAAAAGTTGGAATGAAATCACAAAGCGAATTGATACTAGTAAAAACATACAATCCGACTCGGAGTCATAAACGTCAACAGCCTGAGAACAAAACCCAAAACTTGAAAAACTTCAATCTAAAAGAAAGGTGCATTTGTCCGGGCTACTACTACTAGTAGTACTAATCTTCCATGTCGCCAACGCCTAAGGTCACTACGGTTCCAGTAACTGTATTAGTCAAGTAATACCGTTGCCACCATTATATTTTAATCAATATACAATATGAGGGTCGCGTTATTACTACAGTAGGTTAATAGAGATATGGCTAATGTTTGTATAACCCTAAGGTAATAAGGTTACTAGTACTATTAAGCCCTGGGGGCAATAAGCCGATGGGGAGGTCGTACCTGCCAACACGACTTGAAACTCTAGTATATCCAAGCGCCTCCCTCCCTCTATTTTCATCCGAATCTCCCACTCCGAAACTTGAAATTCTCTCTTCATCCAGTTAGCCTTGATCTATCTCACTCCCCAGTGACCTTTGTGCGGATCTTCACGCTAGGCCTAATTGTAGTGCTCGACTACCTCGCCCTGGTCCACAGGTCAGTCCTATCCAAGCAAATCAAATACTTACAATTGTCGCTGAAATGGACCATCCGCCCCGGAAGAATTAAACTTGTCAGAGCACTTGCCAAGGACTTGGACGAGCTCATTGAGATGCATGAAAATGCCGAAGAAGTCACTTTGAATAGGCCACTGGAAAGGAAGTGGATTTTCGACATCTTCGGTGCGGAAAGGGAAGAGCGAGCGATTGGCCAAGTGTGTGCCTATAACTACTAGTGAGTAGTTAGCACCTTCCACTTTCGACAGGACTAGACTTTATTGGGACTATATCAACCCACAACCAGAATGCTGGGCCAGTTTCTATGTAAGCTCACTCGCGGCTGATATTCGATTACAACGCCACGATGCTTAGGTGGATCTAGTGTTTTACAGCGTGCTACTACGGAGTAGCTCCAGAGCTATGTATGCCAGAATAATTTCCCCGGAAATACTCTGCGATATTTACCATAGCAACCGGGGATACGGAGTACTAGTACTGTACTAACTAGTAGTTAGTTAGTTATTGGGGCTATCTACTTGAACCCACTTATGACAAACGACGTCTCACAAACAAAAGTACCGAACTACAACTGAGAAAATAAACTTGAAATCCTTCATATGATATCATAAATGCTAAAGCTTAGCTGGGTTCAAGGTCAGGTACAAAGTACTTCTAGTACGAGTACGAACGAGATAGACTAAATACTGCCACGGGCACGCGCATGGAGGCTGTCTTTAGCAGGAAGGTCGTTCCCGTGGACAGCAACAACCAAAAAGGAAAGGAAACAAAAAGCAATCCTCATTGGTAGTCCGACTCCGACTCCGTCCTCCGTGCTCAAAGTGAAGCTCGGTTAGCCCCATGCACCATCCACAACGGCCCGAGGCAAGGGCGCCCCCGCCCCCCTGGCCCGTTTTCAGGGGCAGAGAACGGGCAGATGCGAGTAGACCTGGAACAAGCTAGGCATTAGCTATGGCACCAGCGTTAGGCACAGGCCAGCCCATTGACCAATTCTGCAATAGTCCACCCAAGAGCCAGCGCGGCGGAACGGAGCCCTGCCGATCAAACTAGGCAGGTAGGCAGGCGGATAGGCAGGAAGGATTTCCAACTACTCCGTACGAGTACACGAATAAACTAAGCTAAAGCAGGGCAGGCCAAGAACAGATTAAATCAGGGACGCGTCGTTGCGTTGCAGTCGAATGGGTCGAAGGATGCATGTTCTAGGCCGGACAGGACTGGACCCGTTCATGAGGGGATGGGTTCATCCTAGGCAAAAAGGCAAATTGATCCAACCAGAGTGAAGGGGATAGATTAAATTAAATTCGGGACTAGAGGCCCAGAGGCCGAATGGCCCAGTTCAGGAAGGAACAAATGAACAAATGAACAAATTCAGCATCCGATTTCCTCTCGATTAAGCACGGCTCGGGCGGGAGTGTGCCATATGGCGACCGGGTCTCCCAACGGCCGGGAGGATCCGTTGGTGACGCTTGCCTTTTGTTCCAAGGTTATCATTGGTGAAGGCAGTTAGTCCCAGTTGGTCCGAGTTGGTCCCGGATTGTTTTAGGGGGTGTTTTGCGATGAGGATGGCCCCTTCGTCGGGTGTTTCCGCTGGGTCCGGATACTTGCCGAAGCAGTTAAGCGAGAGTTAAACAGAGGCCAGAGTAAGGTTTACAAGTCTACGTGTCTATGTGCCTCTGTTTTATGATGTTTAAATCGACAGTGGGTATACTCGTCGCTATGGCTTAGACAAAAGGGCTCTCAATTGCTAAACCCAAGGGAGTGGAAGAGGGAGTTAGTAGCACCTTAGAGCTAGACTCCAGAGCGCCAAGAGGAATTAGTTGAGACAGCTCCAAGCTCCACAGTCCACTGGGTCCACGATCGGAATACTCTAGGAGTACTTTATTTCAGGTGTCTACGAGTAAGTGCACAATAGTAGTATGAATGTATTCTGCTACTTAAAGTTGTCACTGTACTATATTCCCGGTATCAGATATATCATATAGCTCTGGCTATGGCTTGCCCGATAGGTTACCCGATAGCTATGGCTATAGCTACTAGTAATACTCTAGGGTACGGGTTGGGATAATCATGCAGGAAATACCTAAAAGAAATCAATAATTATAATTATAATTATAATCATAATTATAATATCTACTCTAGTACCTACTCCCACTGCCCCTTTCCTGGGTACCCTAAACCCTATGGCATCCCCTAATTCCTGCCCAGCCTAGACTTCCTCGACTCGAGTCCACTTTCCGAGTCCACTTTTAGTCCCGTTCATTCAGATTGTGCCCTGTGCTTCTGTTTGTGCCCTGTGCGTCTACCCTGCTACCCTGCTGCTATTGCTCTTGCTATTGCTGCTGCCCTGCTGCCCTGCTGCCCTGTGTCTGTCTGTGCTGGACTGGATTCTACTCTATTTCCATTACATCTATTTTATTCCATCCATCCATCCATCCATCTACTATCTACTCTACTCTACCCAACCCTATTTGTTGCACTAGCACCTCCTGGACTGTGTGGGTAGCTCTCCCGCCTTTTTTCTTTTTCGTTTTCCCCCGCCTGGAACGTGGCCCCTCGTTGAATTTCCCCTCCCTCTTTCCTCCTGCTTCTCTTTCTTACCCCCCCCCCCCCCCCCTCCTCTCCTCCCCCCCTTACGATTCACAATCACACCCATTGCCCGCCATGTCGGGGAAAATGACCTTGTACAAGCTGGTGGTCCTGGGCGACGGTGGTGTCGGAAAGACTGCTCTCACCATCCAGGTATGTTCTCCCCCTCCCCCCCGACGGGGAGCAATCCCTGACCTCTCCTCGCTCCAACCACACCCCCAACAAGGACTCGACACTGATCATAATAGCTCTGTCTCAATCACTTCGTTGAAACATATGACCCCACTATCGAAGATTCCTACCGCAAACAAGTCGTCATCGATCAACAGTCATGCATGCTCGAGGTGCTGGACACGGCGGGCCAGGAGGAATACACCGCACTGCGCGACCAGTGGATCCGTGATGGCGAAGGCTTCGTTCTCGTCTACAGCATCACATCGCGTGCTTCCTTCTCTCGCATTACCAAATTCTACAATCAAATTAAAATGGTCAAGGAGTCCGCCAGCTCGGGTTCCCCCTCTGGCCCCAGCTACCTCAACTCCCCCATGCAGGGTTCGAACGGCCCCCCACTCCCCGTCCCCGTCATGTTAGTCGGCAACAAGAGCGACAAGGCTGTCGAGCGCGCCGTCTCCGCGCAAGAGGGTCAAGCTCTGGCCAAGGAAATAGGTTGTGAATTCGTCGAGGCCTCCGCCAAGAACTGCATCAATGTCGAAAAGGCTTTCTATGATGTCGTCCGCATGCTGCGCCAGCAACGGCAACAAGCTCAAGGTGGTCGGTCGCAGGATCGCCGTCAACCGGGATTCACAGGGGGTCGAGACCGAGACGCCGAAGCCAAGTATACTGGTTTCCGGTCCGATAAACCTCGACATCGCAACCGACTCTGCACCATCCTGTGAATCCGGCCGGGCCCGTCCGGGAGACGTGCATCGAGTCTCTTATCTCTTTTCCTTTTCCTTTTGTGTTTCCTCGTCGATTCGTTTCAACGCTTCTGATCTCCTTTACCCTATTCTCTCTACCCCCTCTGACATGGCTGTTCCTTTCTAATTCTTGTGCTCCCTTTTGGTTGTATGTTTCCAGCTGGTTTATTGGTCTCGGGTGCATCTGGAGGGTGGTTTCTGTCTTTTGGTTACGACCTTCCGTTCGGCGTCGGTACCTTCTTGCTCTCCTCTTATCTCTCGCTTTCGCTCTCACACAAACACGCGCACACTCACACCCACACCCACACCCACACCCACACACACACACACACTCTCTCTCTCTCTCTTCTCCCCCGTCTCTCAACCTGGCCCCATCCACCCACTCCGCTTGCTGTCGAGTGCGACAAAGCAGCGATTGCCACATACTCGACTCGACTCGACTCGACTCGACTCGACTCGACCCAGACTGAATTTGGTCTTGTTCGATGGTGTCTTTCGCATCGCACATCGCACATCGCTCGACAGCTCGCAGAAAGGAGCGGCCTCGCATTTCATTGGAGCAACCCTGACGCCACAAACACAAAAAAACTTTCCCCGGCGACGAAGCCAGAAGATCGCAGTCGCGCATTAGCAGGCATTTCGATATGATACCCTACGACTGAGCTTGTTCTATTATATTATTTGGATTGAATTTCTGCCAGCCATATTGCAACGTATATAGACAATACAGATTTCGACTCAATTCTTTCCCTTATCCTGCCTGCTCTGCCCCTGACTGACCCTTGACCCTCCCCCCTCCGAATCGTATTCTTAGACATCTCCCTAATATGAGAGGTCCAAAAAAGAAAAAGCGAGCATAAGTACCGTATGTATCCAATAGTTAAAAGTACGTACAAGAGCAGTGTTTCAGCCTCCGCCCTCGATAAAAGTGGTACTGATGGGGTACTGGCGGCGCCACCGCGTCAATGGCGGCAAAGCAAGTACCGCAGAAGTAGCGATTCTCCTCCGCCCAAAATCGCTCAATGCGGGGAAAAAGCACAGACTCCCTCGGGCCAGAAGTGCTTCCCCCGCACCACATCACATTGCATTTCACGCTTTCACATTTTCAGCTCATTATTCGCTATGCACACACAGACCCCTGCATCACTTAGTTTCTCTTCCACAGGCCCGAACCAATCGTATCGGAGCGGCTCGGATGGACTTTGAGAACCTCGGGCCCTGTTCACTTCTTAACGCTGGCCCAGGCCGCGCAGCATTACAACATCACATCAACTTCATCCATCCCTCGGAATTGGAATTGAACACAGTTTGCTTCGCTTAAGCCCACACCCACACCCACACCCACATTCAAGCCCAGGCCCAAGCCCAGCCGCAGTCCCAACCAAAATCATGCCGCCAACGCCACATCCACAACAAACAGCCCTCACCCACTCCCTCTCAGACCCAGAAACATTCTGGACCGCACACGCGAATCGGCTCCACTGGGCCCAAAAGCCAACCCAAGCACTGACGCGGCGAACTAAGACGCTGGCCAGCGGGGTCCAACACGAGCATTGGTCTTGGTTTCCGGACGGTGAGATCTCCACGAGCTACAATTGTGTTGATCGGCATGTGGAGAATGGACTCGGTGACCAGGTCGCTATTATTTGGGAGTCGCCTGTTACTGGGATCACGGAGGAATATACTTATCGACGGTTACTGGATGAGGTGGAGGTTTTGGCGGGCGTGCTTAGGGAGGAAGGGGTTAGGAGGGGTGATGTTGTTATCATTTACAGTACGTTGGGCCTTCTCTGCTCTGCTTTGCCCTGGCTGTGGTCGATCCTGTGATCTGAGACTGTATATCCACCCAAGATGTCTAAGGACATGACTAACCTCATCGTGCCATCCAGTGCCAATGATCCCCGCAGCCCTAATCGCCGCGCTGGCCATAACCCGACTCGGCGCAATCCACGCCGCCGTCTTCGGTGGCTTCGCTGCGGCGTCACTAGCGCAACGGATCGACGCAGCGCGGCCCAAGGCCATAATGACCGCCTCGTGCGGTATTGAAGGAGCCAAAGGTCCCATCTCGTACCGGCCGCTGGTGGAGGGTGCCGTAGCTGCTGCCACGTTCAAACCTAGCAGGGTTATTATCTGGCAGCGGGACCAGCTGCGGTGGAATAATCCGGATAAGCTTGGTGGTCAGCGGAATTGGCAGCGCATTGTTAAGAGTGCCCGTATGCGTGGGGTGAAGGCGGGCCCTGTTGCTGTCAAGAGTACGGATGCGCTTTATATTATCTATACCAGTGGTAAGACCGACCCATTGAAATGCCCCAACACAACACTGGAATCCATTCTATGATTACGATTACCCTACCGTGACCATATCAGTTTCACTGACAAACTCCCAGGCACAACAGGTCTGCCAAAAGGCGTCGTCCGCGAAGCAGGCGGGCACGCCGTCGGCCTAGACCTCTCCATCCGCTCATTATTCAACATCCAGGGACCCGGCGACGTAATGTTCTGCGCCTCAGACATAGGCTGGGTCGTCGGCCACTCATACATCCTCTACGCACCACTATTGGTCGGAGCAACAACAGTCCTATTCGAAGGCAAACCAATCGGCACCCCGGATGCAGGAACCTTCTGGCGCATCATCGAGAAACATAAAGTCAATACCCTCTTCACAGCACCAACAGCCATGCGAGCAATTCGCAAAGATGATCCGAACGACGCCCTCTTCAAAGAAGTCGGGGAACGGGGTGGTCTCAAGTCGCTACGTGCGCTGTTTTTGGCCGGCGAGCGCAGTGAGCCTAGTATCGTTTCTGCGTATCAGGGATTACTTTCGAAATATGCGGCGACGGGTGCGCAGGTCGTTGATAATTGGTGGTCTTCGGAGTCCGGGTCGCCTATTACGGGTCTTGCGTTGGATAGCCATGCAGCTATTGTTGCACCTGCACCCAGGAAGGAGACTCGGAAGACTGAGACAGCGCCGTTATCGACAAGACCCGGCTCAGCAGGTCTCCCAATGCCAGGCTTCGACGTTCGAATCGTCGACGACGAAGGGAATGAAGTCGCACCCGGAACAATGGGCAATATCGTTATGAAAGCCCCACTTGCACCGACGGCGTTTACGAGTCTTTTCCAGGACGAAGAGCGCTTTTATAAGGGCTATTTGAAGAGATTTGACAGCGTGGGAAAGAATTGGGTTGATACCGGTGATGCGGGGCTTATTGATGAGGATGGTTATGTGCATATTATGTCTAGGTCGGATGATATCATTAATGTTGCGGCTCATCGGTTTAGTACTGGTACGTGCATTGCAGTAGAGTGGAGTGGAGTGCAGTGGCCATTTAAGATGAGACAACGAAAAGCTAACATCATTCCCAGGAACAATCGAACAAGCAATCCTCTCCCACCCATCCATAAGCGAAGCAAGCGTCGTCGGAATTCCGGACCCGATAAAAGGCCATCTCCCCTTCGCATTCATCCACCTTCGCGACGCAGATTCCAACACAGACATCCCAGCAAAACCACCCGCAAAACTCTTCGCCGAAGTAAATGAGATTGTCCGGACGCAGATCGGGGCTATCGCGTCATTGGGCGGAATGATTCAGGGCCGGGGTATGATTCCTAAGACTAGGAGTGGGAAGACGTTGAGACGGGTGCTGAGGGAACTTGTTGAACGGGGTGTTGGGGGGGATTTTGAGGGGGTTGTTAGTGTGCCACCGACTGTTGAGGATGCGGATGTTGTTGATGTTGCCAGGCGAAGGGTTAGGGAGTATTTCGAGTCTGGGGCTGGGGTTAAGGCTAAGCTTTAGGTTTGAGGGCTTTGGTTGGGCTTAAGATAGCTAGGTTTTGAAATCTAGGTCTGGTAGGAATTATGAATTTTTTTTGGTGTAAGGATTGTTTAGGTGTAAATTTCGAGGGCCTGTAGGGTAAAGGTGCGAAGAGCGCAGATACGAGGAAGATCGTGAGATGACGAAGATCACGATATGATGAGCATGGATCAAGATACGACGCGCATCAAGATAGTACCAGGATTAAGATGCGACAAGGGCCAAGATCCCATCCCGTGGGAGAAAAAAAAGGAAGCAGGAAAGGTGAATATGTGGATGTCTACGGCGCAAGGCATCGAGGCAACAACCATGTGATTCGTTACAAAAGACAAGATAAAAGAGACATGATATTGTCAAAGAATTTTTGCGCTTTCCTCCGCACTTTCACTGGTATCACTCCCAATTAATCTGTATTCCTGGCGAAGCCTATTTAGTTCGTGTGAATATTGCAAATATTCAGGGTGATCATCGTCCAATAACTCCATTGCCTTCTCCATGGTCAGAATGGATTCAAATAGAGCATGTTCCTCATCTTTCTCTTCATAAAGAAGATACAAACAATGAGACAAAATGCCCAGCGTGAGATAAGCATTCGGATCTGTCGCCAGGCAAAGGTCCGTAACTTTTCTGAGCTCCTCGATTCCCTTTTGTAAATCGTCAACGTTCCCTTCTAGCTCATATCTCATACAGTGACATCTTCCAAGCTGATAAAAAACACTGCCTTTCCAAATGAGTTTTGGGGAAAAGTTTTATACAGCTCCCCAAAGATCTAGATACTCTGATCCAATCTTCAACTTTGTTGTCAAGGTAGCCCCGCTCGCTTATATTAGCTGCAAGGTCTAGGGAATAGTCGAATGCATTGTCTGTAAGGTGGACACACTCTTTCAAGTCCAAAATAGCCTGATGGGGCAATTCTATGTTATCAGAATGATGGAAGCCAGCGTAGAGGACTTGAGCGTGCTGGTACACAGCATAGGCATGATCAACCCTTCCAGCCCTTGGAATTTGCATCGCTTTTTCTGACACCAGAAGTTCTTTTAAATCCTCGGACGTTTAATATCGAGAATATTTGAGCTCTAATCCCGTGCTCAGAATTCCCAGCCTCCTGGCTAGCTTTGAGTCACCATCACGGGTTTTTTGGACGGCCGTTCGGGCCAATTCAATACCGTACAAGAGATTTGCAACGCCTCCTAGCTTGGGGTAATTTCCCACTAAGCCTTGGCTCAACGCAGTCAGCATTTCAGGTGGATCTGGAAAGTAGGACTTCTCAGGGAATTCTTGAATTGCATCACAAAATACCCGGGCTGAAACGTGGGTTGGCAGGGCCGAGCAGCAAAATATATCCGTTGGCAAAGCTACTATTGTATGACCATAATTGGATGCTATCTTGTTTAGCAGCAATGCTTCAAGGTCTTCAAGTTCAAAACTTGAGTCTCGATAGCTTTCCTTGAAGTGAACAATCCAGTTTGAACATCCGTACTCTCCGAACTCAAAGCTGTCTTTGCACCAGCTGTGATAATCGTTCCGTTCACTGCTAAAGAGTGCCATGTAGTCACCGATTGTTTTAGAGCCGGAATCATTTGAAATGAAAGGCAAGGAGATGTAGTTCATACAGATATCTGCCAGCGTCCTGTGGCAGTCTGCGAGGTCGAATTTAGGTAGCCAGCTTGGAAAATCCCCTTCTGAGAAGTAGTCTTTGACAGTCTGGTGGGTGGGGTAGACTCGGCCGGCCACAATGTCAAATACAAAGCCGCAACTTCCACAGATCTCGACCTCCATAGCCCCATCTGGTAAGAGAAAAAAGTCTTCTTTCTTTTGGCAATTGGATTTGGGTTGCAGGTGTAGCTTCACCACAATTTTCATTTCTGTGATAGTCAAGGGCCTGGTCGCTGCGAGCAAGATTTGAATCATCGCTTTAACAAGTTGCCGATTTCCCGGTCGAACATCTTCTAGGAACTTCTTGTAGACCTGGTGTATTTCTTTTGGAAGTGATTTGAAGATATGGACCCAGTCTTGATAAATTCCATTAATTGACTGAGCACTATTCTTACATTGGCGACTGTCAGAAATAAGAAGTGACTCTTTTCTTTCTGAGGACTGGCCTGGGGAGAAAAATTAGAGGAACTAGTAGCATTGTCTATTCCACTATTTATTTTCGCTGCTACTATCTGTCGTATATTCGAGGACCCTAATTAGGACCTAATAGACAGTCTTACTGAGATCCTTACCCACCGACATAATAAATCTAACATAGATAGAACATATCTCCCTGTTTTGGAGCGGTTACTTGTTGGACAGACCGAGAGACAGAATATCGAGAAGGAAGACAAACAATTTGCCATCAGATCAATTCGAATGGGGATGAGATAGTTGGTTATAGAACGACTGCTTAAAGAAAGGCTTAAAGAGATGGGGCAATACAATACTACATTAGGAATATCTGTCTTTACAGCTCTTACCGTCAGGCCTTTTAGGGGTCTTAAGTAAGAAGAAATTCTAGAGTTTCTGGATGGTTTGTTTAAGTCAGCCTTAATGAATTTATCCGTCCCGGAGAATAAACAAGAGATCTCCATCGCAGATATTATTAAGGAAACTTCAGTATGGTATAACCAGCTATAGATATATTACAACAGTAAGTCTAATATTATCATCGTTACGTTTAAATAATGTTCTCTTTAGAGCTCGTTAGTATTCACATAGAGTTAGAGGAACATTAATCGAGCAAGCGGATACATATACATACTAGCTCTACGGCTAACGAACATACCAGAAATCCTTAGATGTGTCTAGTATCGGAGACTAATAGAGCTACAGTATTCCACCTAATAGAAGGGGATGGTAATCTAATTCCGTTCAATCATTCGCAGTACGTAGCACTATCATATGAGTCTATTATAAGGCCACCCGAAGCGATATAGTATGTGATTCGGAGTAGCCAGCTAGCTGAGCCTTTGGAATTGAGTAATGTCGGATATAGTTCCCCTCTGCAAGCTGAATCTGGTTCCTGTTTACAAAGTACTAGCCCGCGTTATCGCGAGTTTAAGGATAGGAAAGCGTCTAATTATAAATACAATATATTATAGATTCACAAAGAGAACCTTTATATCGTGTGCCCCTTTAATCAGTAGAAACCGCTTATTAAAATAATTTAGTCAAAATAATTGTATAAAATAGCGTATGTTTCGAGGGTATTACTAGGTAGAATTATTTGTTAAGTAAGAGGATACCTTTATAAAAGCAATAAAATATACTAAACTCTATCCCTACCCCTAGGAATTAGTAAGTAAAAGTAAACCTATAGAAGCTAACTAATCTATATCTTTCCTAATTTCTATTGCCTCTAATAACAGAGATACCTTTCTCTTATACAAAGATCTATTATATGTTCTGTTCCCGTTTGAATCTTCATTATAATAATTCAATAAATCTTCCCCCGTTTTTGGTTTTCCCGAAGAAGCTTTGGTTATCAGAAGTTTGATTTCTTGACGAAGAATCTTGGCGGTAGGAGAGAGTTATTAGCTTATATCGAGAGATTGATAATCGCAGCTAAGGCGACTTCGTTTTTTCCCGTAGTTATTAAGCTTCTGCCGACTAGAAAAGATTAGATCTTAGATCATAATAAGTAAGTAAGTTCTTGGGGACTAATTGCTTTTTTGGTGAGTGAAAGAAAAAGGAAAAATAGGAGGGGTATTAAGGTGTATATCGTGTACTATCGGTTCGGGGGTTTAAGTTGGGTAGAAGTCACGTGGTATTTAATGTAGCGCTCGGATATAAACATATTGTAATAAGTAATCTCACTCCCTTTTATTCTAACTTTCTAACTCCTTATCCTCTAAATTACAACCTTATATCTTGAAAATAAGTGGCGGTGAAGATCTTAAAGCTAATGTTATCTAGTAGAACTTATCTTCTATGTATATGCTTTTGTCTATACTGCGAGGAAATCTATCGGTATGGCTTTTACAGTACCTACGCAAGCATATAGTTTCGCCTTTCTTATTGCGATACTGGATATGCGTATGATTATAGATTGAAATTTCCAATTATAATAGGACCGAATAATATTAGATATGAAATTAACGAATAAAGGGCTCTCTTTATAGCTACTAGGGTAGATCCGAGCGAACTCTTTACCAGTCTAGTAGACTCTTATATACTGGAAATAATGAGCCGTTATAGATGGTCAGAGGAAATGGAGACCACATATAGGGATGAGTAGCTTAGTTAAATCCCTAAGTTTAAGAGAAGGATCGAGGTAGTAGAGAATAATATGGCTTATGAGTGGGTTCGGAGCGTGCGGGAGTATCTTGTGACCTCCGCAGAATTAAATATCTTCCTCCATAGGTCCTAAATATTCGAAATAGGACCTCTTTACTCGTTGAATGACGAAGATTGTGGCTCTACGATTAAGAAAAACCTCCAAACTACTAGTAGAACGCCCTGTACCTTACTGCTTGTGAAGCTTTCCTCCGAAATGGTTGAGCTTTTGCTCTAAAAAGGGGTCGACCTAAACGCTAGAGACATCAATAGTCGTGTTCCCTTTATGGAAGTTGCCTTATAGGGTCGAGTAGAGAATATAAAGGTTCTTCTGAAATACGGAGCTAATCAGGACCTGGAATGTGTGAAGAATAGATGGTGCGTATAGCCCGAAGACTTTGCTAATCCCCTAAGGAAAATATCAAAAACTAATATTAGCGCTCTTTTTTATATAGGGAACTGATCTATGAAAAAGACCAGGATCGTCGAGAGATTATTCGTTTGCTTGAAAGAGTCGTAAAGACGTTGTGTCCTAATTCTGCCTCTTTAGCAGATTTCTCTTTCACAAGATCATTTGGGCCTGAAAAACTAGCGTTGCTCGCTTAGTTTGATATTTCTAATGAACGAAAGATAGTTGGAGTACTATACCGGGGGCATAATTTTCCTCCGGTGGCTGTAATGAGTGGTTGGGCTTACCTTGATGATCCCGATATAAATATCTAGATCAGCGGAAAAACATGGACACCTAAGGTTCGCCGCCTTAGCAAGTTTATCGATTATAATCTTGTAATGGATAAATATGATCAAGGATAACTAGGACAATTCTATACTTATCATGTGGAAAAACAATTGCTTGCTTTCTTTGTCTATAGACATATCTTTTTGCCTTCTGAAATAGGCGAGGATGTTAATTTGGTAGTATTAGACCTTGATTAGCTTCCGGGAGAAGAGTCGGACAGAGAATATAAAGATGACCTTTCGAAGTTAAGAATTATGGGTCTATCTATTTCTCTTAAAGTGGCTAAGATAATGGTGTATCGCCCAGTTTGCCTAGACTGTAAGCACTTTTTAGAATTAGTTATTGAAATATTTGGCTTAAGAATTTTAATCATCTATTATTGCATAACGCCTAGTTGTGGATACTACAGAAATTGAGATAAACAGAGATCTACCTATATGTCACTAGATCAAGAATTTATTTTTAATTGGCTTTAGTGTTCTCCGCGATTTGCAGTGCTACCCACTTGCCTTGTTAGAGTAGCTTCTTTAAGCCGATATAACTTGGAATAAATCGATGAGGTCAACCATTCACTGGTATCAGCCTTAGCTGTTGTTAGTATATAAAAATAGCAACTTGGTAGGTGTAACTTCATTAACTGATGATTGCGGTAATTTGCCCCAGTTTTTAATATTTAGTGCTGTATTAGCTGAAGATAGATACCTCTTAGATATATAAAGTATAGAAAAGTTCTATTATATGTCAATCTGTTCTCGAGAGAGTGTATGTTGGCTTCTATAGAGCTAAAGTTTATAGAATTGTATCAATGCTATATTGATGCAAAAGAGAGTAAAAAGATTGGGAGCGAGAAATATTTTACTCGGTAAACGGTGTTCGTCCGTGATGGGATGAAAATTCAGAGCTGCCAGAAGGTGCAGGGTGAGAATTATCCCGAGTCGCGCGACCGCCGCACTAACCCTGAATTAACGCCCCGCTGAACTCAATCTAAATATTACTAGACTACCACATTCTATCTAAAACAGCCCTAGAGGCCTCGGTCTCTTGGCATCTGCACATAGCCACTTCCTTCTCCCACCGATTATATCTCGTATCTTGAATTCCTCCTAATAGTAGAACGTATATCCCCTCATCATAAATAGTTCTAAGGTCGGAGGTTGGAACCTCCTTCATAATACTCACGGATTTACTTAAAGATTAACAATAAGAGTAGCCTCAATCTACAGTAATATTCGAAATCGGGTTTACCTCCAATCTTTCTCTGTTTATTTCCCAAGACCCCACCTATAGTGAACTAGTCCGCATTAGGATAATACCGCGCTAGCCTTTGTATTGTTCTTGTACCTTCGATAAGCGCGACCGTAAAGCGGCGCTCACCTATTTCTCACCCGCGCGGCACCCACCCGACTATCTGCCGCACATAAGCCACACACCATTTGCCAATCCTAGCAAATAAGGTAGTTTAGCTTGGTGGAGAAAGTGTGATCGCCACTTTATGGTCGCGCGACTATGCTTGATGTGTGCTCCGTAATGTGGCGTTGTGCTTGGTGATTGCTCGCGGAATTGGGTCCTTGTCAAGTCGATCGTAGCCAGTGGAAAGTCAAAATGTAAAACAGCAAGGCCAGGATCCCGACCAAGTTATGGCTGATGGTGATGGGTGATTCACATGTGTTGTTGTTTTTTTTTTTTTCGATTGCGAAGACGGCCAGAAAGGTGATTTGATGATTAGACACGGCTCTGGGCTAGATGGAATGGATCGGATGTATCAGCCATAAAAGATTCGCCCAAGACGTATAGAACTTCGGAGGAAGGATGGGCGTTGGTCAAATATCCAATCTCGGGGATCGTCACCCTGGCATAGCGCATAAGGCGGGAAAAGGCACATGCCGTGCGGCCAAGACGGGGCAACCCCACACCTCGCGCTAGAGTTATTGTCCAACACCAGGCTGAAACCCCTTTTTATTTTCACTGTGCACCTGATAACTCTTCTTTCTATTTTTCAAGGCGACTATACATAGTGAGATGACCCCCGTATGGCTGACATTATGTTTATCTTCCTGTCCTTTTTGGTATTCACAAGGGTTTCCTTAGCCTCCAGCACATCAAAGCTGGAAGGCTGGCAGTTTGACGATAGGAGCCGCTCATCGTGGGACCTGGTGTGGACGTGTTTGTCGACGATTTTCGCCTGCACATGGACGGTTCTCTGTTTGAATGTCCCACCGAGGAGACACCATAACTCTCGAGGCGGTCAATTCTCTCGCCTCGCGAAAAAAGTCCTGGTTTGGCTGATTTCTGTGCTATGCCCGGAACTAGTGGCATGGATTGCCGTGGAGGAGTACTTTCGCGCGAGACAACTGGCCATTTACTGCAATGCTATCCAAGCAGAGGTGAATCCTGAGGTGAGCCGACGACCAACGCTATCACAACAGACAGAAGGCCCACAGAATAGTCAAGTGCAAATGCGGCCGGTCCCTGTGAAGTGGACTACTAGACAAGGCTTTTGTATAGAGATGGGGGGGGTTTGGCCGTGCAAACCCAAGACGCGTGGCTTTTTACCATTTCCAGAAAAACCATTGGCGCATTTGTACGTGCGGGCCTGGTCAAAGGCTCCGACTTCGATGATGAGGACATCAAGGATCAAGCCAAGGTGGATACTCTGGGGAAATTATTTACGGTCGTCCAAAGCGCCTGGCTTACCTGCAACATCATCGCACGCGTAGCATACTCGCTGCCTGTCTCTCCGCTGGAGCTGACCACCGTCGCATACGTGGCCTTGGGGCTTCTGATTGCCGGCTTTTGGTGGCTTAAGCCGAAGGATATGACCACGTCGATCGCTATACCCTTGCAATGCAAGCGGGATGATCTACCAGTTGAGATTCTGCAAGTCATGGACGCAAGTCCAAAAAGCTGCATCCAATTACGAGCCGACGCAATCGCTCAGAATGCCGCCGCGGGTCACGCTACTAAAAGCCCTCCCTCTACAAGTTCAAACCGCAAAAAGCCGTACGTCCTTGCTTATGAACCTGAACGCCTTCCCAAATCCGCAGAGGACGATCTATCCCACAGTGCAAAAGCTTTGAATGTCACTTTCGCTACTTTACTGGTTATCATATTTGGCGCCGTTCATGTTGCCGGGTAAGACCTCCCCGTTTCCTTCTGCATACTGTATAGCGCAGGTCCTATATTCATCGTATTCCTTCAAATTATTACCTAGGATATTCAAGGCTGACTTGCATAACCCATAGCTGGAACTTTATTTTCCCCACCATTGCCGAACGAACGGCTTGGCGAGTGTTCTCATTGATCGGGGTGGGAGCTGGAATGGCGCCTGGCGTTTTGGACCAATGGCCCTGGGTTACAGTGTGGCTAGGGAAGAAGAAATTACTTCCCTCGTGCATGAAAAGCCTCGGTGATCCTACCCAACGCAGGACACAGTTTGAGGAATTTCTTCCAAACTTCTTTGTCTATATCTACATGCTCACTCGGCTTGGGATTTTCGCTCTTACTTTGGCATCATTAAGAGCCCTTCCGGAGAATATTTACATTACTCCGGATTGGCTTTCAAGCATTCCGCATATATAACACTACGGGGCAAGTCTCGTCCACTTTTATTAGTATATACCAAAATGGCTACATTGACACCAATGAACGATTCTGTCGGCGGCGCCTGCCGAGAGGTCAGACCTTAGACCCGAGGTGTCCTACAGATACTATTGAAGCACAGTAACTTCTAAGGCCAGAAGGATAAGAGAAAGGGAAAGGCCGATGGACGCAGAGAGAAACTTGGTGCCGTAGCCAGAAGAGTGTTTTAAGTTTATTGTAGTCGGCTAGGGCAGGAAAGAGAGGATGGCCTGCGTAGGAGGGGCGAGCATCATCCTGAATCTAGGCTTCTGATTCGCTGTGTCCCGAGTTGTAGATGCCACTCGGTAAGGAGGGTGAGCGCGCAATCAGTGGGGTGAGATCCGGGGTGAGTTGTAGTGACAGTAGTAGAGCCGGTGACTCCGACGCAGACATAGTAACCTGCCTGAAGACCGGTACAGTCATTTTTGACAGCACTGAATGACGAGTGGTAAGTGTGGTAGACAGATTCTAGATGGCAAGTTTGACTTACGGGTTCCATGAGTAGAATTGATCCAAGGTGAAATTGCCATAAGTACTTGTGATGCCAGCGCAGTAATCGCCTGATTGCACAAAATAGAAGGCATTGCAGGTTGAGATCAATCCTCTCTGTGTAGGAGACGGACCTGATGCAGCTGTTGTGGTAGTAGTAGTAGTAGTAAGCGTGGAAGTGCTCGTTGCCTTGGTGGTAGTTGGTTTGACTGCAGGAGCCTCCACGCAATAACTCCACCCCTCAGTCAGAGTACAGGCAGTGGTTGACAGCGAGGGATTCTTGATGTAGTCCAAGTCAATAGAAGTTCAATATGAGCGAAGGATCCGAGTTTTCGTGCTTACCCAGGAAACTAGCTGCGCGACGTTCATGCCGTAGAAACTCTCCAATGCGGCACAGGTATCGGTCGACAAGATGGAGTTAGCCCAGTAAGTACAACCAGTACTCACGTTAGGATCTGTCTCACCCATCGCAAAATCACCATTGGAAAAACGTGGTCTGAGTGTAGCAGCACTGGCTGACCCCAGGGTTCGGGAATAAAAGTGAAAGAGTATAGAGGTAAATCTGATTTCGACTATCACTGTACCTGCGATTTTCATACAATCCTTTTTCGGCAAGATTGCGTGGACAACGAAGCTTCGAAGTGAGAAGTTCTCTGTCCCGCTCCTGTACACTTCAGAATCCAAACCGATTTACTTGAGCTTGAGGAAGTGAAGGTGGCACGACAGAAGAAAGAAAAAAAGTGTTGAATTCGCAAGTCAGTAATTCAGTGCTCTTATCATTGACGAGTTCGACTAGATGGGTATACCATGGCATTTTTGAGATGATTTAGCTGAGGCCATCCTGGTTTGCATTGACCTGCTCCACATTTTCTGTGATCTGTCAGATGTTAGCCTCAGACATATCCATCGACTACAAGACCAGGTAAATACCCACAGGTATGATGATGAGACATGCCACTGCCCATCCGGCCGCGGCCGGATGACAAATAGAAAGCGCTTTTCCGACCGTCCCTTTGATTTTCTCCATGATTTTTGAAATTGCCAGGGTGACTTCTCTTCGGGTAGCGGACTCTTCGATTTCTGCGAGACGCAATTTGGCTAATCGTTCCATTGTGGCTTCTCGGTCGTCCGTGTTGAGACCTCCCATAATCATCGCGACGTTGTTGACTGGTGCCAAAGAGAAATTTAGTATAGTCCTCCTGCAAGACCCGATAGAGGAGGGGCTTACCATTGCTGCATGAGGCCACAACAGCCAGGTGGGGGTGAAGAAACTCCTCATATTCAACAACAAGATCCTTGGTGGATTTTGAAGCTCGGAGCTCATCAAACGCAGTCTCCCAAATCTCCGTCGCGCTGAGACCCGGATGTCGCTCAAGAATGTGTTTCTGGCTTCAATCAGTGTCACCAGCTGCGGCGGCGTCCGAGTTCGTGGCTTCATGCGCATCGTTCGCGGTCACGGTGGGCTGGAATACAACTGCCTTTCTCTACGGAAGTGTAGGCGCTCCTTGAGCCAGTCTCTTTTCTTTTTGCTTTCTTACATCACTTTTCTGTTTGTTCGAATTCCTCCTAGCTGGGAAGATGGAAGGAAAAGTCCAAAGCTGGCTGATCAGCCCTCAACAGTCATGCATGTCTAGCCCGATTTAATTAGTCTCGTAATGTACGCAGGCGCCTGACAGTTGACGCCCGACAGCTAATTTGTCCACACAATATGAGTATTGACAAATCCTGGCGACGCATTTAAGCGCCTAGCAGGAATACCTGCTATTTTAGACTCTGTTGTAAAATGTCGGAGCTACTCACACCGGGAGAGAGCGACGAAACACGAAAGAAAGGGGTCAAGGTAAAAATGCCAGGGTACGGAGCCAATCTGTGCTGGCGTACTTTTTGGTCTAATGGCATGCTTTGCCCTATTTTCTGTTACAAAAAAGGTGGATAGAAATAGAGAGAGGGGGGAGGGAGATAGAGGGAGAGAGAGGGAGAGAGAGCAAATAACCAATCTAAAGCAGTGTTCATAGCTAAGGGGGATCCCCCTTAGCGCTTATTAGGACTGTTAGTTAGTAGTTACCCGTGCTCAGTAGGATGCGTAGGATGCTTATCCTAATACTAGTGTATCTTACCTTTTAGCTCTCTACTTCCACCTATGGACATGCCTATAGGTAGGCTACTAGGTGTGCCATGTGTGTTATTATTTCATATAAGGGCTTAGAAGCTTCTGATATGTATCAAACTATTGGTGATACTAGGATACTAGTACTAGTAACTATTGACATGCTTTTGGAGAGTAAGTTTATTAATGTAAAGAACGGCTAACGATTATAGGACTACCCTTGATGTGTAATTGACTTCGATCGACCTTGGGTGTTGTGTATCCTAGAAAGCTTATGGGAAAACAGCCGATGTATTACAACTAAATCGAGCTTGTCAGACGTATCTTCACCTCACTAGTCAGGCGTGAAATCTGGAATTAATCAGTAAACTCATAAGAAGGTTATGATATCATGCTAGATGACTCCAACGGGCGGATTCCATTTAATTATGTAGTCTCCAGTGGCTTGCTTGTAGGCACTTTATCACAGGAAAAGAACACTCGCACTGAAAACCACTAAGTACATAGCAAGAAAACCACCTAATCCACCCCAAATATTCGTGCTTGGAGCAACTCTTGTGGCGGAGCTAGAAGGTGAAGCAGTCTTGCTGGATGTAGCAATCGGTAGGTCGGACTGATGATGAACAAGTGATAACATAGGCAATACCGAAACTGCGACGAGCTGAGAGGCTTCCGACGGACTGAAAGTTCGCGTCGTGACACTGATTGGCTGCGTCCCAGTGATAATATTGATGAGCTGCCTGGAAGTACTCTCCTCGGAAATGATTATTTCGGTGGAAGTGCCGACGTCCGTAGCAGGAATCTCACGCATGCATCCTTCTGTGATTTTGTAATCAGAGACGGTAGAGTAGCATCCGACCGCGAGGTCTGCGGTCATTGAGCTGGAACGACGAATCAGAATACGCACTTATATGGTGTCAGTTTGGGAATTTTGACTTACTCTGGACAGCACATCACGAGAGTCTCGCTCGGGTCCAAAAGATCCATCAATAATGTAGCTGGGTTTTGCCACTGGGGTATGAAGGTAGGCATCGAAACCCTGGTACCGGAACTCAGGACGCCCGATGAGCTAAGACTTTTGTCGGCATCGCGTATTGCAATTCCTTTTGTAGTCCATCCAGAAGGACAGTAGAGGCCAGGTGAGAAATATGCCTCGTTGTAAACTGCCTTGGGGTTGTCATTTATCGTGGTAAAATGAGATACTGTCCCACTTGGAATACAGTCGCCGTAACCTAACGTAGAGCACTGGATTGCATATTCCATGACAGGAGCTGTCGTGTTTAGTCCAATCATATAGTTTCCCGTCGCGGTAGTGCAACTGGCGGGTGCCGTGAAAGTTGTTGTCAACTGCCCCCAATTTGTGAAGGTATACCCTTCGGTTAGCGAAATGCTGGGCATGATGTCTATAGCAGCTCACGCGCGGTAATAAAAGTCTTCTCAGGGGAGGATGCTCTTGATAAAAGAAAACGCCAGTCGTCTCGGTGTCACGTCAGTTGTAATTGTGGGCATACCCTAAATATCCATAAGGTCCGAATCGATCTCGGGCAGGGGGGGTTCGCCAGGGGAGAAAGTTGGGAAGAGAAATTTTACTCCGCGCGAGAAATGGGAAAAATGGTAAAAGAAGGTGGCGTTCTTAGCGTCGTTGTGTTGGAACAACATGTCGGTCGAGCCTGGGGATCAGATCGCTGTGTCTATTCTCGCACTGTTTACCAGGTTAGACTCCTTCCCAGGCTACTTTTGGCGTCCCAAATCTCCTGTGCCTCGCTTAAGCCAACCCGAAGTTTCCATACTGACGCCACACCTTTAGGTGCAAATTTGCGGAGACTAAGCCCAAGGTTGGTTAGTTAGCCGCAGTCTGCCGGAATGAAGCGCTATATGGACCACAAGAATACTGGCGTAGCCACCGGGTTACATCGAGCTCTGGCCCATTCTTTTGCTCAAACGATAGGGCATATTTGAATTTTGTCTCGTCATTGAAATTACAGTATTGATTGGCTATGTAAAATTCAAGTAAGGTGTTTGAATACCGATAACTCGAGGGAATTGCGGTATCCCAACTTGTACTAACAGCTCCACAACCAAAGCTTGGCTTCTGGCAATTCTACTAGCTGTTGTCCCCCGGGCCTTGGCATCTCCCGGACCAAAATAATAGAAAAAGTCCCTTGAGGTTAAATACTCGTAGCATCCTTTCTTAATGTACTCCTGGTAGCTCACAAAAATTTACCGTCCAAGTAGCAAAGCGGTGGCCCTTTTAACAACCCCCCCCCCCCATTCGTGGGTTATTCTAGAGTCTAGTCTCAATCCCCGTCAGGGTCTGTGATAAATAAAGGCGCGGGCCGATTCTTTCCTCTTCCAACCCCTCCCCCAGGTCCCATCCATGAATGGTCTTCATGTACATTTCTGTTACATCTGCTCACCTTCCCGCTTCACTATTTTTCTTTCGTTGCCCCTGCTTCAGCGAGTTGATTTACAATATGCGCGACTTTCGAGATCCAGTCGAAATCAAAAAATGTCTTTACCCTTACGATTCAGGCGTTATCCAGGTGAATATGCAGCACTCGAGCGACGATAGTATTTGGCCTAGACGTGCTTCAGCGTCTTGGAGCCCCATTATAGAGATACCTGCTGGACAGAGCGAACATCCTCAGGATTCATTACCTACATTGTTCGATACCATGATCACATGTGCCTTGCATCCCACCCTTTCTCCAAATAGGAGAGTCTCCTGGATCGTGAATCGATTTATATTACAGTACGTCATCAACAGCCAGTTATGTGCTGTCGATTTATTATATATCTTAATAGCACGCTAGACATATAAGCGGTATATATTTTGTATAACCTCAAAGTCAATTCCGCACTCATTCATCCACAATCTTTTGTGATCTTCCTCGCCTATATCCGACTGCAGACGCTTTCCCAGACATAGAAGATGCATCTTGGAAGGCATTCAACGCTATCATTTCCCTCCTACCAATGAGTTTTCTTTTGTGTAAGTCCTTGTCCTATGGACTAAAAACAGAATCTTCCCGCGCGAGCCACTGCCTTCTCATGATCTTGTCAAGGCTTGGCTTGGGAAAGTGCTTCGCCGAGTAGATGAGCTTTTACGTGTCCTTGTCTCTCACGGTTGCGACTTCACAATCTTTCCATCGCCGGCAGCATTCGAAATCTACTTATCTCAGACAAAAGAGACTGGTGGGGTTTTTGAAGAGGGCAATATTGATCTAAGCCGGGGAGCTGAATCGCGTGTCTGGCGTAGCGTCATAATGGATTCATGAAAAGGGGAAGGATCTAAAGATTCCAGCGAGAAAGAAAAATCAGGTTATTGGGTTCGAACAAGCTTTTTTGATTGGTTGGAGAGGCTAAATATGCAATTTGTCTGATATATGAAACAATGGGATTGGCACGAAGTTAGTGCAGACTATTGGACTATACATGATCAGGAACTCCGTCCACACTGGCAACTTCACTGACATCTCTCGTGCTACCCTCCCGACTACCACTTTTCCTTCAAATTTGCCGTTCCCTTCAGTTCCTCTCCAAGCGATATAACTCCTCGATCTGACACTACTCTTCTTTTCAATGGGTCTGACTGATCTAGTTTCCCAGTACCACCGTTGTGGCTTTTGCTATATTGACTAAGTATAGGAATATGCATTACCCAATGCCTCGATTGAACTAGGACAGTGTGTAGAAGTCCACATGACCGTACCCTGATCGGCAAAATTCCCTTCATCATCAACGATAGTAGGGTCAACCGAAGCACAAAATGGAAGCCAACGCCAGCTTCATGTTCTTGGCAACATTTTGTTTGCACTATCTAATAAACTATTTATGTTCAGAATAGCCGACTCCTCGATATTGACCTCGAAATATTACTGTATCTGGAACGGATGACGACTACCAGTATAATGAGAGATCTTTTCTCAGCACGTACTTTCTCAAAATGTCCTAGTATTTTTTCACTATTTAATAAGGAGTGAATCAAGTTGGTATTCAGCAATGAGAAAAACCAACCTTGGAAGTACAAATATGGATGGTCTGAAGATCATATGTATCGCCCAGGTTGGTGACTTGAATCAAGTATACGGAATTTGCTCCTAGGGATTTTCTTATCTTCCGCCTTTCTTTTAGATTAAGAAAGCTTATGCCTACTGAGTTTGAGACAATTTAATCGAAACACCAACATGAAAGTAAAGCAGCTGATTCGTTAAATTGGACAAATTGGTTCACCATTAAGTTCCTCATGGCTGCGAAGGAACAAAAGCTGGAATAAGACGATTTTCGATTTTCATGAATTCCGTGTAAGAGAAGCAAGAGGGACGGAAATCTAGAATTTCATAATTAGGCATGTCAATAGAAAACTGCAGGTCTCTCAGTCATCAAAACAAGAACTCACCAATAAAACTGCAGGTAGCCATCACGATTATTGATTCTTTCAGCCAAATTTACATCCCCTGGCATGAATCCGCCTGCATCATTCTGTAGTTCAGCTCGCAGGACGGGGACATTGCTAGCACCTTCTTCGGGATTGAAACTGATGTTTCTGGCACGCTCAGTGAACTCATGTCCACCCCATTGAAAATGCCCTAATGTAACCTTAGCCAAGATAAATTAAGTCATATCCATCACATACCCCCATTATCTCCAAGGCAGCTATCCAATCGTAGCCTGCTTGGGTTCCAATGCTGGTGACCATCCATGCAATAGGCCACAAGATATGTGTCTGCTCCTTCGGCTTCGATGTGAAGGTTAGTGGTAGAATTCATCTTATCAAACTTTGGGTAAGAAAGATTGTGTAGTTATTGGATTGACCTTCTTACACTGCTTCGTTATTAAGGCAATATTTATATCTTGAATACCATGAAAGTTTATTGCTACGCTCGGGTGCTGTCTCTTGACCACTACTATGACGCATCCACTGCGGTAAATTAGAATTCATAAAAAACTGGAACATCTTGCGGCATCAATCTATCTTGAAGAAAATTACGTATCAATCATGCGCACGATGATATCATCTGCTCAATAGAATGGGGATCAATTAGTATATCTAGGTTTTATTCGACACAGAATCACCTGCATCTTCGAGCTCTTTGTTAATTGACCAATCGGAATCAGGCCGCTTTCTCTTTAGTTTAATTTCCTATAAATGGCTAACTGAATCTCGCGATCCACGACGCTTGGCAAACGTAATGGCTTAAGTTCTAGAATCAGCCTCGCGGGACCGACCATAACGTCTTCTATGCCCTATCATTCCATGGTTACCATATTTTAGTAGTGCCTTTCTACGGGCCGTGAAGATACTAACGTCAGTTCAGATGGTAAGGATTGCGGAGGTTTGGTAGCCTCCTTTGGCTGCGTAGCTGATGGGCCTTCTGACTAGAATTACCTTCTTCGCTGCAAGTACTGCTTGACGTTTAGGCCGATTGCGTTCTTGCCTCTTTTTCGTTTATAGCACGTCAAACGCTTCTGGACCTCATCACATGCCTTTTTGAACCGCTCAGACGCGGCTCTGAAGCCATAAAACTACCCATTGGGTACAATATCATTGCAATTACCTCGTACCTAGGTAATAACGATAGACTCATAAATATATTTCTGCATATTATTATGTTGTTTGTAACATAACACTAGCTTGGTGGGCTGAGACGAGGTCTACACGGAATCGAGACCTCGGAGGTCAATGGTCAGTCTAATGATACCCGTCACATATTTGGTGAGAGAATGGGGAGGGAATTAATTCTTGCATTTCATTGAAGTGATCTTACTCCGGCCGCTCATCCCTAGGCTTCGATTGCGTCGGAATGGCCTGTGATCGGCAGAATGCACCAACTGAACCTTAATTGTAAATTACGGTTACCCAGCAGATCTGTATGGGCCTAGCCAATGCCTAGTTGACAATCAGTTCTTGGCACATTTTCTCGGTACAATATACAATATTCCAGTAAACGGATTACCCCGGCCTGTTCCATTCGACAGATATGTCAGATTATGGTCAATGTCTGTTTGCTCTGTTTGATAACCAGAACCCCGCACGCCTCGTGACGTGTCATAGTGGGGACGAAGGAGGATTCCATTCCACTGCCAGTTCCCACAACTTGAACCTGCCCGTCATTAGGCTGTTCCAGAACTACTAGTAAGTATTCTTTCCACCGCATTAGACAACCACATTACCTTGTAATACTGTGAAAATCCCACTCCTGACAATCTATGTGACGTCCCCTATTTGGGAAACATGACGATTACACAGACTAAAACAGAGGCAATCACACCACCATCATTTGAGGATGAAAACAGATAGAACCAGAGATAAGAGACCATGGATTCGACCATGATGGCCAGAACCAAATCGATCACTATCTCTGAAGAGAAACATGGGTTGATTCGACAGCTCATTCATATTCCATTCGTGATCCTTGCACTACGCAATAATCAAGAACCATACGAATTTGTAGATGCAAATGGTTAGCCGTATATTATGTGCTCGTCTTCATCATTCTCCAGTCAGGTCGAAAAAGAGCATCATCCACAGAAGATAGAGATATGTTACAGTAACGAGTTCGCGACACTTGACCGTCATATTTGGTCTCCTTTAACACCAGATGAGCAAGATTTACCTTCCTTTTATCCCTCTATGATTCGAGATTCAGGTCAGGTCGAACCAATCGAGTCAATTTCGAGTGTATATCATAAGATACAGCTCAAGGCGGACAAACCTGAGCAGTATAGCTGAGAAGACAATTGTCAGCACTTACAAGTGATTTTCCAAGCAATTAACAATGTAATCTGCATCAGATCAGCTGAGATGCCTAGGTATATTTAAGCGCATAGCAGGGATACCTATTAGTTCAGGCTTTCTTGTAAAGTATTGGAGCTACTTATACCGGAAGAAAGCGACGAAACACGAAAAAAGGTGTTAAGGCAAAAGTATTAGTGTACAGAGCCAGATCTGTGTGTGCGCATTTTTTGGTCTCATGGCATCATGTTTTGCCTTATCTTATTTTCTGTTACCAAAAAAAGAGAGAGCGGGCGAATAAACAATCTAAGGCATGCCATGACACCCTGGTGCCTGAGGCATAACAGGGCATGAAAAGTACCACCACCGCGGAATTATATATAAAACATTTGAAAGTGCTTTTTGGTGCTCAGGACATTTCACATTGACCAAATACAATAATGATGCTCGGTCTTCTGCTGCGCACATGGCTTCGCCATGCTGCACCTCGATCCCGCGGTGATCGGCAAGCTGAACTACCTAATATAAACCCAGAATGATAATCATCTCACAGATTTGCTGACCGCTATGATCTCTGTTTCCCGCTTGCAAGTCAGAGTGAAATAAAGTAGCTTTTTCGCAGGTGATGCCTTTTTCTCTTATGGTACTTGAAGACTAGCCTGTGGCTGAAAGATCTACACGGACATTCCTGAATAAGTTGTCCGGTGCGGGGTACTCCGTAGTCTTGAAGCAATATCACGATCACTAGGCCGGCGGAGAGATGGTCCTAAAGAGAGTTATACAATTCAATTGGATGATGAAAAATGAGGCTGGGAGTTGAGGTCTAAACATTTGCTATAGCTGTTCCGGCTCAAGGGCCCGATCCTGCCTGAACCAGCTGCTTCTTTTCTAGGGTCATTTATCAACTACCGTGATACAGTGGGCTGAGTATATCAAATAGAAGGCTGACTTCATACGTCATTTCCACGTTGCACGTATGCAGACTTCTAAATATCCTACTATCCGGCATTCATCTGCATTGCCGAATTTCGCTATTCGATACTAAGGTTGCATATGAAAGGCTTCGCGGTTATGGCAATAATCATGATAAAGAGACAAATTTCGTTTTGCATGAGGCTATGGACTATGTTATCAGAATAGGATAATAGCCCGTCAGGATCTCCACCAAAAACGCCGCTGGCATCAAGATCTATGATCAACTTAGGGAAGGGCCGAACCGTTCTCGCAGTTCGGTCTCTCCTTGTCCTAGTGCGATGTTACCCTGGCACATTAATCTAAGTTGGGTTCATTCAGACAATCTGTGAAATATTGTAAACCAGGATAATCCGGGATGATTTACGTGAAAGCCGTTCTGATTCTGCTCTTGGGTCCGATTAACTCCGGGCTAGACTAGGAATCGTGATCTTAGTTACCCCGCATTAAGACTGCCTGACCACATAGAAACAAGTTTGCGAGGGGGCCGAGGGAAGAAAACAGCCTGACCATAATCCTTCCTTTCATAAACGATGTAACTTCGGCTAAATATGGTCTGGCCGAAGAACACATTATAATTCCGAGTACCAAATGAACATGAATGTATAGCATCATTGTTTGTAGCTTCGAGATAGCTTATAGACCAGAAGCAAGTATACTTCGCTCCACATTAGGGACACAAAACGCCTAAAAGCTTGAATCAGCGTGGCTGAATTAGAATCCCGCAGACCGACTCTTTGCTTACACTTACGTTGTGGCTTCTATGGTTTACACTATAATATTCGGCTTCAACGCGCCAGACCAATCATACTAGTAGGGATAGCAGCTGAGAATGTGATCTATAATCTAGCCTAATGTCGTCTAGTAACATACGCTATAGTTTTAGCATGAAGATTGAATTTAGCTTCTCCGTGTGAAAATGGAAGCCGATTTTGAATGTACAAAGCTGTATTACCCCATCTTGCCCCTTTGTCTGCCTGCTCATTCGGTTTCGGTTTTCGGTTTTTCGAAAAGGAAAATGAGATATCCTATTACTTGTCAAAACATATCACTGATTAACAGTTGAAGCATCAAACCCTCCAATAACTTGAAGTTTGTGGAAGCCCACCCGAAGTGAAGTGTACCAAAAGTCACGCGAGCATTCCAGTACCCCCGTGATATCCACGAAGGCCGTGCCCTAATTTCTTCAGAATGCTACCTTAAAAATGAAGTGTTTATTTCCGAAAGGGATGTAAAGCCAAGCTAACTGATTGCTCAAGGCACACTCACTACCCCGCAGCATCGACCCTATTTAAACATGGCCTAAGCCCGTAAACAAAGGGAATCCAGACACTTTCAAAATATTCTTGTCCATATCTTCAAAGCGAGACCCTTCCTGACCACCAAGGAGTCACCATGCCTACTTCTCCCTCTTTCGGGCTTGCCATAGGCCTGGCTGCCATGGGCTCCCTGGTCGCAGCTGGTCCATGTGATATCTACGGCGATGGCGATACACCTTGCGTCGCAGCCCACAGCTCCACTCGCGCTCTGTATGATGCTTATAGTGGCCCACTTTACCAAGTGTCGCGGGCTTCTGACAGCAAGACCGCTGACATTTCGCCTGTGTCTGCGGGCTCAGTGGCCAATTCTGCTGTCCAAGACAGGTTCTGTGCCCGCACCAACTGCAGCGTAACTATAATTTACGACCAGTCCGGCAATGCCAATCACCTTACTCAAGCGCCTGCGGGAGGTGCAGCGCCAGGCCCAGACAATCTGGCCAGCGCAACTGGAGCCCCGGTCACGCTGAACGGGAAAAAGGCGTATGGTATCAAGATCCAGCCCGGCATGGGATACCGCTGCAATACCGCTGTAAAGACAGCCACTGGCGATGGGGCGCAAGGCATGTATGCTGTTCTTGATGGAACAGATTACAACGGTGAATGTTGCTTCGACTACGGTAATGCGGAGACAAATAGTAACGACAATGGTAATGCCCATATGGAGGCTATCTACTTCGGACTTGGTACTGGATATGGTACCGGAACTGGAAGCGGTCCCTGGATTATGGCTGATATTGAGAACGGTATATCTGCCGGTGATCAGTTCGATGTGACATCGACCAATCCGTCAATTACCTCGCGTTTTGTTACGGCTGTCGTTAAGGGGGAGCCCAACCACTGGTCTATCCGTGGTGGCGATGCTACCACTGGCTCGCTTGGAACATACTGGAGTGGAGTTTACCCAGATGGTTATAGCCCGATGAAGAAGGAGGGTGCTATTATTCTGGGTATTGGTGGTGATAACAGCAACTGGGCCCAGGGAACTTTTTATGAAGGTGTTATGACTTCGGGTTATCCCTCGGATGTTACCGAGAATTCGGTACAGGCCAATATTGTCGCGGCCAAATACGCTACCTCCTAAATCATCGCCGACATCACTTGACTAGTTGGATTACTACTTGAAGATGAAGATTTATCTCAAGATCTTTGGTTTCTTGTGACTAGTTTGATGGTTAGGAGATCTTGATAGAAATACAGACCTTAGGCTAGAATTCATTGAAATCAAGGACACTGTGAAATGAGATATAGCAACATGATGGAATATCTTCCCTACGAGCCCGTGTTGGAACCTACGTCTTATTGTATCTCTATCTTTCTTTCCAAGTTGCTACCATGCTGCTGCAGTTGATGTTCCCACCAGCCGACACGAGGTGCTGAATCAGTCCACCATGGAAAGTCCGGAGCCCCGAGAAATCCTAGCTATGCACTGAATCGTATCCTAGGTTGTGGGTCAGTTTAGGGGTATTATTAGTCTTATGTTCATTGAGTGATGAAATGATTTATAACATAACAATCATCAACAGACCGAATCAGGTGTCACATTTCGCCCGTCAAACCATGCAATCAATTCCGACGAAACGCTCGAAACGCTCGCAGTTTTGCCAAAGAGGAAAGAGAGCATCCAGGCCCCGCGACACCTGACAGACCAAACAGTCCATATTAACAATTGAACGAAGAAAAACAAAACAAACCCATCTCAAAAAGCAAGAGCCTTCCCCAGATAAAGATAATGCGCCAAATCCCAATTAAGGCCACGCCCAGACCTCCAAAAAAAAAAGCAGAAGCGCCGTAGTAGGGAGATATTTCAATCCCAATGCAAACTGAATTTCTTCAACAGAAGAAAGAAATTCAGAACAGAGATCGCCTGAACATAGGTGGTTCATCCCCGGGACTATTTCTTCAGGTTCTTCGTCTCGTCCGTAAAAGCCCGCTTGGTCAAGGTACCGCCCTCGATAGCTTTCTGAATATCCGCGATATTCTTCTCGAGTTGTTCACGGCGCTCAATATCACGCTCATTTTCACCGATGGTTTCCAATTTACCGAAGAGCCACATCTCCTTCATGGTGCGTGTGAGAGATAGAATATCCTCCGCGGCTCGGACCTGAGGTTTGTGCGATTAGTTGGGAGTAGAGGCCACGGAGAGAAGCGGGCAGGAAAAACTCACGAGAGCAGTGGACTCAACATCCAGCTGATATGTTTCAACAGCAGTAGATGTGTGGGTGGTATTTTGGGCCTGCGAGTTGAAAGGTGGAAACATCAGTCTATGTTTTCTTTTCTTTTATGGGCGTTCCACTGTGCCGTACCGTTGCCGTGGCCATGATATTCTCGAATCGCTGGAGCAATTGCGAGATATCGGTGTTGATGCGCGCTGGAATGATTGGTTAGCTGAATTCGAGGTCAAACGAGCGGGAGTTCAGGTTCCGGGTCTAGCTCACTGTGCAGCGCTTTGGCATTTGGCTGGGTGTCCATCTCAGGCAGTTGAGAGAGGGGATCTGGATGGTCCTCCAGACCAGTCTTTAATTTGCGGGGGCATTTCATCTTGATAACAGAAGGGCGGTGTGGGCGGTGAGTGCGTGTGAATGCGGTGAGGTGAAGTGGAAGTGGGAGAGGATGAGGTAGAGGAAGAGGAAGAGAGGGGAGGCAGGAGGCAGGAGGAGAGGAAGGAAAGCTACAACTACCCTAGGGTAAATATACACAAACTTATACTTAATTGAATACACCTGCTGGTGTTAAAATTGATTTCCTATATACGCCAGGGTATTGCAAACAGAGAACTGCACATATCCTCCTCTAGTATTGTGAATATGAATGTGAATGAGCACGCTTTTATCGAACGTATTTAGACTAGGCAAAGCAAGTTAGCAAAACTAGGAATTTGTGAGTGCATTGAATACACAAGGACAAACGTACCATGAATCTCTTGTGGAAGTCGGAACGCAGCAGATCCTGGAAGTACCCATGTTAGCACAATGTCCCATAAAGTCTTCATCTGGGCAAGACCATACGTTAACAAACTCCTGCCCATCCTTCCTCTCAGAGCCACGGGACTGGTTCTTGAACACCACATCATCGTCCCAGCGACGCTTCATGTTGAAATCCTGCGAGTTGAGCAGCGGGTTGCCGCGAGCAATATCAACCTCACGCTGCTCCTCTTCCTCGGCGGCAAGTTCTTGCTCCTATGTGTACAGCATCAGTATTCATATCCGCATTCCCTAGGGATCCTTATCAACATACCTCTTTCTCCTTCTGTGCCGCCCGCTCCTTCTTGATCTTTTCCAACTCGCGCATCAAATCTGCGGCTTCGTCTTCGGAGTCACTTTCCTCGTCGCTACTATCTTCTTCCGATCCATCCGAGTCCGCATCAATATCTCGCGATTCTTCCAGAATGCGCCTTCGCTTCGCCTCGGGATCTTCTGCCGTCTCGCCGTCTGCTGTGTCTACATCTGCATTCGCGGGTGTTGATTCAAGTTGCCGCTTGTGGGCAGTTGATTCGAGGGTAGTCTCGTTGACAGGGACACCGTTCTTCTTAGCAAAGTGCGCAGCCTCGGCCTGGAGCAGCTCGGCGCGGAGGTCGCGAACGTCGTGGTCGGCATCACCACCTTGTCCGGGTTGTCTGGTGGGTCGTTAGCACTGGTTTGCGATATGCCCGTCCCCAATCTATCGCATATACGTACCGAACTTTCAGATGGGTGTGTGCGGGGAGAAGTCTTTGGTGGTAGGCTGGGCCCCGGAGAGCCTCTTTTCCTTGTGCCTATATTTGATCAGCTATGGTTCATGGAGTTGAAGGTGTGGGTATTGGTATTCGTGATGATCGTACCGGATCGAAGGTGGGTCTGTGGGCTGTGAATGGTCAGTCAGGAATTTCATGTAGGGGTAGAGACAATCATTGGAGACACGTACCGGTAGTCATGGTGTGTGATGTGGTTTGTATGTGTAATGGAGGAGTGTTGGAGGAGTGGGAGAGTTGCAAGATGTTCCTGCCCTCAGAGTGAATTCACCGCCAACGAAACCCGCTCGCTGATTGGTGAAACTCTCTCTGTAATGCGGCCAGTCGCGGCAGAAACGGGCGCGGCCCAAAAAAAGCGAGGAAGGAATCCCCACGTCGATCGATCGTGCAGGTGCAGGTGCAGGCTTTAATCGCATCATGTCAAAAGAAGCCCCCCCTTTCCAACGCAGAGCGCGACTTCGTTCTTGAGGCGCTGCGCGAAGATGTGCGTCTCGATGGCCGCAACCCCGATCAATTCCGCCCGCTGAGCGTTTCCTTTGGCGATGAATATGGACATGTGAAGCTGCAGCTAGGCAAAACTAGGTTGGTGCTATCGATGCTACTTTGAAGCTTTCCAATGCTTTTTGGAGGTTACTGACTGACTCAATCTTTCTTCAGTTTGGTTGTCCGCATCTCTGCCGAAGTTACAAAACCCCGCGATGACCGTCCCTTCGATGGTTTGTTCCAAATCAATCTCGAATTGTCTGCGATGGGCTCACCAGCCTGGGAGAATGGCCGGTAAGCTTTATGACTGCGGTGGTTTTGGTAGTGTTTAATTTCTTGGCTTCCGCTAACCAACTTTCTGTTCTGTTGCAGCTCCAATGACCTAGAAGCCTATGTCACCCACGTCCTGGACAGCGTAGTCCGCCGTTCCAACGCCCTCGACACCGAATCGCTCTGCATTCTCAAAGGCGTAAGCTGCTGGAGTATTCGCGCCGATGTCCATGTGCTGGATTATGACGGCAACTTGACCGATGCGGCCTGTGTCGCGATCATGACCGGACTGCAACACTTCCGCCGGCCGGATGCTGTAGTACGGGATGGCCAAGTCATTGTCTACGGAGTGGAGGAACGAGTGCCCGTGGCGCTGAACATCACACACAAGCCGTTGTCCATCACGTTCAACTCATACAACGAAGGCAAGAGTATTATTCTCGACGCAACCCGCAAGGAGGAGCAAGCGTCGGAGGGAGAGCTGGTAATTGGAATTAACAATGGAGGCGATGTCTGCTTCCTGTCCAAGTTCTCTGGCGCCCCCGTTGATGCCCTGGAGATGGTCACCAAGTCTACGGTTGCGCTGGAGAAGGTTAAGGAGATCAATGCTCAGATGGAGAAGGCGATGCAGACCGACCTCGCGAAACGGGCTAAGCAGGGCATGGCGGACCTGTCTCGGGCTGAAAATGACCGGTGATTTGGCTGTTACCACTTCCAATGTATGACTAGAACCTTTATGATCCTGGGCTGGAGTTCCGCATTGCTTATAAGAACCAATCGCATTGAGTGTAAATTATGCACTATTTGTATCCTTTTTACGGACTAGACGTGGTGAATATAGCATTATGCTACTACTGATAGACTGATAGACGGAGGAGTGTATGGAAAAGTAACTTGATCGTATAATTACTAGTGCAGAATCCTCCAATTAACTACAGGGTGCCCATGTGGATTTATGAGAAGTTCCAACCTTAGTCGAACCTTGGCCGCGGAGGTACTACTACTACTAGTAGTAGTGGTATACGTTCAATAGTTATCGGTGGATGCTAGGAGCTATAAGATTACCAACTATCCATTCTACAAAGAGTAGTACTAGTACTGCAATCATGGCTAAAACCTAAGTCTACCTAGGTAAAATACCATTGATTTGAATTACTGCCAGAGCTCAGGCTCTAGGGCTCACAACCATCGTGACTGCATAGGTATTTTATACTACCAATATATATATACTAACTTTACTAGTAGTAGTACTAGTACTTGACCAATACTTCTTATGCTGTGGCCTTAGATACTACTAGTATATATTATAGTGTCGGTATCCTCTTCCTCTATGGTAGTATTTCTTACTACCCTTGCAGTACTAGGTGTACTAGTAATATATTTGCGACTGCGCCGCAGGAATGCTACTATTCTGGGATCTCCGCGTTTCAAGTCTAACCGCAGCACTGACCTAGGCCTACTATTCGTCTGTGGTAGCCCTGGCGATCAACTTTAACGCTATCTTTTTAATTTAATTATCCTTCATTCTTAGTTTAATCATTTTCAATCCCATCTTGACCTTAATCAAGTGAAGTGTATCTGTTAAGCTCCTTTGTTGCTTACCGCCCCCCAAAAAAGCGGGACTGCGGTCGATCAACACTCGACGAAGACGGCTGCCTTCACCCGCTAAGCCACCTCATCTCCTCCTCTTCCACTTTTTTTTTGCCCCCCCCTTCGCGTATGTGTCTAACGCGAATCCCACTGACCCCTTCCTCTATCATCTATCCCTGCAGATCGAGCTGTGCGCGTCGCCCTTGATTTTCTGCTTCCGATCAATGCCTCAGGGGCATCATCATCACCACTTCCAGTGAGGCTGTCAGCTTCCCCCGCGGCGCCATGGCCAGCGGTAGGCCCCCCTGGGTCGCATCCAGCTGGCCACGATGATGATCTACTGCTAGACTCAGGATCAGGCCCTATCTACAACTCCGGTCAACCCCCGCCCGTGAACGATGACCATCTCTTGCGCCAATACAACATTGACGATTCCGACGAGCCCCATGCGCAGCCGCGCCCTTCCGTGTCCTACGACAACTTTGTCGGCAATCCAGCACAGCGAGCTGGAGCTCAATACCATGCGGCCCCTGCTCCTGCGCATGGCGATGCTGGTGTCTATCTCCACGATCCCTACACGGACTCCGGCATGAGCCGCACCTATTCCCAAACATCAGGCCTCGCGAACTACCAGCGCTATTCCTTTGACGAACTCGAAGATAACCATTCCGGATATTACGACCTCGACCCAGACGACGACCGTGGACCGAGCGCGCATCATGTACGGAAAGCGAACGAGCGGAATAGCATCTTGGGCTTGGGAGGTGGATTAATGGGGAAGGCGAAATACATGTTTGGCATGGGGAACCAATACTCGGAGATGGACCTACCTCTGACTGAGGCCGGGGCCAGGAGAGCGACTGTTGGCAGTACCGCTGATCCCAGAGCTCCCCCCCCAAGGCCAAGAAGAAGTTCCAGGCTTCCGATCTAACATCCATCTTTGGGCGTCGCAAGGCCGATCCATCAACGATGGGCCCCCGTATCATCCAAATCAATAACCCGCCTGCGAATGCCGTCCATAAATACGCCAATAACCATGTGTCGACCGCCAAGTACAACTTCATCACCTTCGTCCCCAAATTCCTCTTCGAGCAATTCTCGAAATACGCCAACTTGTTCTTCTTGTTTACCGCTATTCTACAACAAATCCCAAACGTCTCCCCCACGAATAAATTCACCACTGTCGTTCCGCTGGCTATTGTCTTGTTGGTGTCGGCCATCAAGGAATCGGTAGAGGACTATAAGCGTCGCATGTCGGATAAAGGGTTGAATTATTCGAAAACACAGGTCCTTCAAGGGTCCTCATTCCACGAGACAAAATGGGTCGATGTCAAGGTCGGAGACGTGGTTCGCGTCGAGTCGGAGGAGCCTTTCCCCGCAGATTTGGTCCTCTTGGCATCGTCCGAACCCGAAGGTCTCTGTTATATTGAAACAGCAAACTTGGACGGAGAGACGAACTTGAAGATCAAGCAAGCCATTCCGGAAACTGCGCACCTCGTTAGTCCTAGTGACCTGAGTCGTCTGAGTGGTCGTATCCGATCCGAACAACCCAACAGTAGTCTTTATACCTACGAAGCTACCTTGATGATGAATGCTGGAGGTGGAGAGAAGGAACTGTCGCTAGCTCCGGATCAGTTGATGCTTCGAGGTGCCACTCTGCGGAATACTCCGTGGATTCACGGTATTGTCGTCTTCACTGGTCACGAAACCAAGTTGATGCGAAACGCGACGGCCACCCCTATCAAGCGAACTGCCGTGGAGCGTATGGTGAATATTCAAATTTTGATGCTTGTGAGCATTCTTATCGCTCTCAGTGTCATCAGTTCCGTTGGCGATCTTGTCATCCGTAAGACGAAGTCCTCCGAGCTCAGATACCTCGACTACGGCGACACCAATATGGTGAAGCAGTTCTTCCTGGATATCTTCACATACTGGGTGCTTTACTCCAACTTGGTTCCTATCTCTTTGTTCGTCACCATCGAAATCGTCAAATATTTCCAAGCCTATCTCATCAACTCCGATCTGGACATCTACTACGACAAAAGCGATACCCCCGCCACTTGCCGAACCTCTTCATTGGTCGAAGAACTTGGTCAGATCGAGTATATCTTCTCTGACAAGACTGGTACCTTGACTTGCAATATGATGGAGTTTAAGCAGTGCTCCATTGGTGGTATCCAGTACGGAGATGATATCGCTGAGGACCGACGGGCAGCTGGAGAGGACGACGGTGAATACGGCATCTATGACTTCAAGACTCTTCGCCGCAACATGCAGTCCCACCCAAGCCAGGACCTCATCAAGGAGTTTCTTACTCTATTGGCCACTTGTCATACTGTCATCCCCGAACGCACAGGAAACAACCCGGAAGATATCAAGTACCAGGCTGCCTCTCCCGACGAGGAGGCACTGGTCGCTGGCGCCGCGTTGCTTGGATACCGGTTCACCAACCGTAAACCCAGGTCCGTCATCTTCACAACCGATGACAGACGCGATTCTGAGTATGAGCTGTTGGCTGTGTGCGAGTTTAACTCCACTCGGAAGCGTATGTCGACTATCTTCCGTTGCCCCGATGGCAAGATTCGTATTTATTGCAAGGGTGCCGACACTGTCATTCTCGAGCGTCTCCACGCTAACAACCCGATTGTGGAAACTACTCTTCAGCATCTTGAAGAGTACGCCTCGGAGGGTCTGCGAACTCTGTGCCTAGCCATGCGTGAGATCCCAGAGGATGAGTACCAGCAGTGGCATAAGATCTTCGACACAGCCAACACCACTGTCAGCGGTAATCGTGCAGACGAACTTGACAAGGCTGCTGAATTGATTGAGAAGGACTTCAA